CCCTGACTGTAGAGAGGTTAGGGGAAAATGCTCATTTTTAGCAAACTTAAATATGTATTATACTTATATGTATACTCTGTACCCTAGTTATAATTCAATATGTAAATTAATAATAAAGTAATATTCATCATTTAGATTAGCTTATAGTATTGTACAATCAGTTTTAGGGCCAGGAAAACTCATATACAAGAAATATAGGGAAAACTCACATATTGTGTTGTATCTTACTCAAATGTTGCCCAATTTACTTTGTTTTTTCTGGAATTTGAAAGATAATTTAAAAATATAATTTTTACAACTTAGATCATGTAATTTGGTTAGGTATTAGTTGAATTATAGTAGATTTTGTATTTGAGTGTACTTAGTGTGACGAAAATCACGAATCGCGCGTGTGACAACAATTTTGAAAACGGCTGTAATGTTCTTCACTATGACATATTATATATAAACACATTTTGCACATATGCTTACAGACTGCATTGTATAAATACCTGAGATAAACAACACAAGAATATTTAATCATTTTTATGCATGCCTGAGTATATAATCATGTCAATATATGCTGAAATTACAGAGCTGATCCTAAGTGTTTTACTCAGTGAATAGTAAATACAGCACATAAGTACGGTAGACATGTTACAATGCTAAGCTGAAATAAGTGTATATTCTGTAGAAATTTATATACTATACATTGTATACAATACATAACTTTGTGTACAGTATGGGTACATTAGTTTCACAAATATGTACATATCTCATACACCTGTATGTGTATAAGCATCTTTGATAAATTCATATGCGTGGAATCCTAGCGTTGAAGATAGTACTTTCAGCTCAAGATGTAGTGATGGTAAATGGATCGCAGGCATCTACAGCAGGGCTGGACGAGTAGGTGAACGTGAACGGTTTAGGGATGACGCTGTGCCCCAAACTTCCGCCTCCCGGATTTCGACGTCGACGTCAGTGATACTGTGTTCCACAAGAACGTTCCGACACTTCGAAGCTACAACAAGGCTGTCATGGCCAGAGAGAGATGCGGATGTTACACTAATCGAGAGGACGACGGGTGCAAAATAATCTCCGGCGTTCCCGATGCGGACAACATTGATGCTGGTCCATTGCACTTTCATCGATTCCAGAACGTCGTGGATTTTGAAAGCAAGGGTGTCTTCCCAGATCTCTTTGATAGCGTGGTTGCCGACGGGGCAGAGCTCCTTGTCTGACTGGTGTGCCTCCAGGCCGGTTGGCTCCTGCCACAGAGTGGCACTGGCTCGAGCAATCAAGACTGGGGCAGAGGGCTGGTCAATATCTTGCATGGCGGCCGAACTAGTGTAAGAAAGTGAGTGTAGAAGGGAAGCTGAGAGCCGTGTCTCACTTACTACTGAGCCTTTGCAACCTCAATGCATTGAACAAGGAACTCAGGGATTATCACTAGAGTAAGACAAGACAAGAAACTGGGCTGGGTACAGGAAGGTGGCAAAAGAGAACCAGAACTCACTTGTGATACAGAGTAGATAGATAACAATGGTATGACAGTTGATTGGGCTTTAACATTGACTATGAGGTCATAAATGTGTATTCAACTGTTACTAACAGACTCCTTATCAGTTAAGTACAACATGTATCCTAAGTTGTATATAATATTAATATTATTATAATAGAAAATTAGAACATTTGTATCAAGACTGCTGAAATACTAGTAATTGAATTTCTATTAAATAATGTTAACTAGTTGTTATTTTTTAATAATATAATAATATAGTAACAATTAATCCTTGTATAGACAGTATACTGTACATGTAAACAAAATACAATTAAAATCCAAAACAAGATAAGAATTAGTATACAAAGTCAAGAAGTTTTTCTTTTCTTACAAGATAGTAGTTGTAATCTTTGTTAATTATTTAATACTATTTATTCATTCAGAATACTTTTGCTTCTGAGTAGTACTTAGTATAATAGTAATCTTAACAATGATTGAACACACAGTTAAGCTTTGTTTATTAGAGTAAGTAAGAGAACAAGTAAGTATTTTACTTCTAGTTTAATAATTACAGGACAAAGAAATTTAAAGGCAAATATGAAATTATAAGTAAGGTGTATATCATTTTGATTGACTTGACTTGATTGTTAATACTCTTTACTCTGAATAAGAGACAGGTTAGTTAATCAGTTACTTAAGTAAGCTGAGTTCTTAGTATATAAGTATAGAGTCTATATGTAATACATCTGAGTAAGTAATAAAACATACTTACACATGAACAAACTTCTATAAACTATTTGACTAATAATAGCTTGATAAAGTAAAGGGAATAGGGCAAAGATTTACTTGGATAATATAAAGGGTCAAGTCCTTCCTTCATAAATCACAAGTTGAACGGATTTGCAGTAGATCATTATTTGATTTATTACAATTACAGTTTATTTGTTTGATCATTACAGTATCCACAAGGAGTAAGGAATCCCAGAACCGGACAGAGGAAGGGTCAAAAGTCAAACAGACACACATGCTCATACTCACCTTGGGTCGAAGAAGTGTGTTGAATCATTGATCTTCCGCTCTGAGACTCAAGCGCTGTTGTTGAGCCTGAAGTAGGGGTTGAGGCGCATGGTGCACAACAAAAGCGGGTAGTCGTCATATGGAGAGAGAAACGAACATACTGGAAGTAGTTGACGTGAATGGTAAGAAAGAAGGATAGGGAATTAAGGATAGGAGAACTAGACAAATCCTCCAACAAGCATGCTGTTCGATCTCAAGCAGGGGTCGGGACGCATGAAGCATATGATGCACACAAAAACGGGTATTCATCATATGGAGACATTCAAGGAAGACGAACTCATTGGAAGGTAGTAGAATTAGTAGACGTGGATGAAAAAAAGAAAGAAGGATAAAGGATAGGAGATACGAGAACGGGAAGTTATCGGATTTGTGGTATGGACGACTTTGTGGGCATGTGCTGTATCGGACTGTGCTGCTGTACACGTCAGATTGAGCGTCTCATCATCTCATCATCTGTCTCAGCGTCTCACATGCACGGCGCACATGGTATCCGAAAGTGTGCTAATGATGTGGATTGACTGTTCTCGGAGATGTAGTCGGACGGAGGGAAGGCCGAGCTTGGGTCTAGCCCTAGCCAAAGGGTACCAGCGCAGTTACGACGGGAAAATCGGTGACCGTGAGCCGTTGAACCGTTGAGCCGTGAGCGCGAGGGCGGTGCCGAAAGCCATATGTAACCAACATGAGGCACGCTGATGCACGTGCTTGTGTACTCTCTCCTCACTTTCATTAAGGAAAAGAATGAGAGAAAAAGGACGCAGATGCATATGGATGCTAGAGAAAGTAGAGAAGATGGATAGTCATTTACGGGTTATAGATAGGCACTTACAGACACCTCGAGTCTTCGGACTTCGTTCGGGAGCGGATGCATGGGCATGTGTGTGTACGTGAGATGCATGTGGGCTTGCACTTACTGTTGGGGCTGGGAAGATGGAGAGAATTAGGGATGATGCCCCGTCCGGAAACGTGTACAGTGAGTGACAGAGTTACTAGATGATGTGCAGAAGTATAAATGGAGGAAGACAATGACGGTGACAATATTAATGAATGATGATGATTAGACTACTTACACATACACATATGATCGGAGTACATAAGCAAAGGGAAGCGGATTCATAGAGCGAATAGACTGCGCGAAGGGCGGCCGCCAGTACTTTAATGGAGATGTAGATGTGGATACGTAGGATGTTTGGGCGGGAGTGGGTGGTGGCAACGAGAGGGTGTTCACACAGAAAGTGTACCGAAGAGACGGCGGGCGAGGAAGAGGAAGGCGTCGATGGATGGATGGGGAACGAGAGGGAATGCACGAAGACAGGTGTGCAGCATGGTCCATTTCCGAATCGGGCAGGTACCACATGTGCTCGCTCCCGTCTCCCGCGCGTACAATTCCCCGTCACTTCTTTATCACATTTATTTATTTTATCTTCTGTGTGTGCTGAGCGTCGTCTGCTGGCAGACAAGAGCGGGTGGCGGCATAGGCGAAGATGTGACTGAGCAAAGAATAGTTTCAGAGCGAAGAGAGAGAAGGAGAGCGAGAGACGGGAATGTTGAAGGGATGAGAAAGGCGATGAAGGGTCGTAAGAATGACCATGTGGAAATCGCAGCCATAGCTTCTGCACCTTGCCATCTTCAGTCCACCTCTCCTCCTCCCTCTCCCATCTCCTCCGTCCTCCCATCCCACTAGCTGCCACTGCAGGCAACTGCGGCGGCTGCAACGTCTCCAATCTCGTCGACGACGCACAGAGCACCTGGCAGTCTCCACCACAGGAACTCTATCTCTCTGCCTTCGACACTTCCGCCACCATTTTCCTTAATTTCTCCTCTTTTTTTCCTACACTCTTCCCGTATTCAACATCTTCTTAATATCCCTTCCACGCCCACCGTGCATCCTGTTTTCACTGCTTGTTGAGTCGCTTTGTTGAGTCAGAGTCGCGTGCGGCTTATCGGGACACTCAACTGCTGTCTCGTTCGGGATCTGTCTACACGTCTGTGTGTCGTTGCGTTTCAACCCCGCATCAGTGCAACGCTCAGCGAGTGAGAGGCGGTGTCTACTCGCCCCCTGCCAATTATTCTAGTTCTCTAGGCTAGACACTCGATGTTCACCGCTGCGCGCCGCCACGGCCTACCGCTTCCCTCGCCAGCAGCAACATCAACACGAGATAGACAGAATAGTCAGGACCAGCCAGCAGCGACCAGCAGCAAGAAGAAGAAGGACAAGCCGCCCGCGCTCAGCGCTCCGCCCACCCCGAGCAACCACGCACATGCGAGTGCGTACGCTGGACGACCAGCGACGGCGGCAGCGGCACCTGCGAGTTTCTCCCGTGCTACGGGTCGACCCCTTGCCCATGGCCAAAGCCAGACCCATGTGCGTCCTTTGACAGCCACCGGTGCGACTCACCTGCCCTCGTCCGTCCCGCAGACGTTCCCGACTCCCGCACCGAGTCCGTCGCTGTCACCTTTGTCGACTCAGGCGCCCTTGAGGCTGGCTATGCCACGAGCGCCAGCCTCCGCGTGTGCAACTCCGTCACCACTTTCTAGTGGTCTCCCGTCACCCACGTTACCTCCCTTACCGGCTTCACATTTTTCGTCTGCGCAGACAATGGGCCAGACGCAGGAGAAGCGGCCACCGATGGGTTTTGCGAATGCGGCGGTTACACCTGCCCACTTGCGTTCACCCGTCATCAACATTGGTACTGCTTCGCCTATGGGTCATCACGCACGCAAGCTCAGTAGGGATGAGTTCGATTATCGCACGGTGGCTCGTCCTCCACAGATGCACACTCGACAGTTCTCCGTGTCGACGTCGTCGGAGTCTGGTACTGGCACCGGCTTTAATTCGTCACCGGACTCACCGAACTCTCCGTCTGATGCTGCTGCATCACCTGCATCACGGGGTAGTAGCGGATCCGTACGTGAGGACGTGCTTTCACCAGGTGATCGAGTGGGCGCTGGCTTGATGCTGCAGGGTGAGGTTATGCGACACGTGTTCAATGAGAGTGAAGCTTCGTCATCAGCTGTGGAACTTGAGGTTGTGCGTCGTTTGGGTGCGGGGAGCTATGCAGTCGTCTATCTTGTGCGTGAGGTGCTACGGCACCCTCTGCCTGGAATTTTAGATGGTCTCAATGATTTGCATCGCTATGGCTCTGTGAACGCCTCTACGACTGGGCACTATGGTGATAAAGTTGATGAATTGGAAATGGATCTTTGGGATAGCTCGGATGTGGATTTGGACATGGAAGGGATTGAGCTCGACGGGATGCAAGGGGAGAAGCGAAAGAGTGTTACAGGTGATGCAGATGAGGTGTATCATGGCAAGGAGTATGCGGTCAAGGTGCTTAGCAAGGCTGGCATGGACGATGAGGCGCTTGAGGCGCAGTTGGTTGAGGTACGTGTTCTGTTTATTTCTTTTCATTTCTGTGATTTTTAAGGCTAATATTATATTGTTTTTCTCATTAAATTCAGGCGAGCATTCACCAATCTCTCCCACCGCACCCTAACATTGTTACCCTCCATCGCGCGCTTGAGACGTCTGGATTTCTCTTGCTCGTCCTCGAGTATGTCCCAGGCGAGGATTTGTACTATTTCCTTGAGCAGGCCCGTGATCATTACGAACCTGAACCACCATCTTCTGGTGTGGTGAGCAGCGAGAGCGAGAGTGAGGACTCAGGAAAGCGGCACAAGGCAAATACAAGTGTGCTATCTGTCAATTCGGTTAATACGGTTGGAACGATGAACACGACGCGAACCCCTCCAACGCCGAGCTTGTTGTCAACTTTAAATGAAAAGCAGCTTCTCGGAAGAAGACGGTTAAGACTCATTGCGAGCATGTTTGCACAGGTTAGTATCTAATCTATGTCAATTTTGACTGTTTGAAAGTCTAAATTGTTTCATGTCTATTTAGATGTGCGAGGCAGTTGCCGTGTGTCATGACGTCGGCGTATATCACCGCGATATTAAACCGGAAAATTTCATTGTCACCGATGGTTGGGAGGATGATGGTGAACGACGTGCTGTCGTCGTGAAGCTCACTGATTTTGGGTTGAGCACCCGCGATGCGGCGAGCAGTGATATGGACTGTGGAAGTGCCCCGTACATGAGCTATGAGTGCCGCAATAATTGTGCACCTACTTATGCACCTCGCGCGGCGGATGTGTGGAGTCTTGGGATTGTGTTAATAAATATGTACGTATTTTTTTCATCGACTTGTCTGATTTACAAAGTGATCTAATCGTCGGTACTAACTAATGTTTCAAGGCTGTACCATATTAACCCGTGGACGGACACGACGCAGGGCGTCTGCCCGTCATTCTCCGCTTTCCTCGCAGCACCGGAGCATTTCTTCATGCAGCGATTCGCGGGCATGGTTCCCTCCGTAGCTTCCTTCCTCTGCCAACGTGTATTTTGCATCTTACCATCAGAAGACCCGTCGGATAGTGCAGGCCGACGTGTAAGCGCACGCGAACTCGGTCAATGGGCCCGTGAACTACCACGGTTGATGGCGACTGAGGAACCAGTTGGTGTTCCACTTGCGTTGTCAGATGCAACTGTTTCCACTCTGGCATTCCCTGCTTCGCCTGCGAAATTCAACGAGAAGGAAATCGAGAAAGAAGGAGAAAAGGAGATACTTTCACCTACGAGCCCGTCTTCTACATTACTTGCGCAGTCGCTTGCGGCGGTTCTTGCACAGCAGGAGGCTGCTGCTGCTGCTGCTGGGTCGAGTAGTCCTGCTTGGCGACACAAACGTGGTTTGTCGAATGCAAGCGTTGGATATGCGTTGTCGAGTGTTCCGCAGAGCCGGCGTCCTGCAAGTCGACAACAGAGTTTCTCTGCGGAGCGTGCGCCGCATCTTGGGTTACCTGGTGTATCAGGCTTGGGGAGCACAGCTGGTTCGCGAGCCGCGACGCCATTGTTACGTGGTCGTGCCTTGGGTAGTGCGGGCCCGCGGAGTCGTGCGCCGAGTGGTTGCGAGACGCCTGGGACAACAACATTTGGTGTAGTCGAGCTGCCTACGGTGTTTGATGAAGGAGAAGGAGATACTTCTGGTGGATCATTGGGTCTCGAACTCGGACTTGGACGAGAACGTGCAGGAGAGAAGGATAGACAGATTGATGAGATCTTAGAACAGGACGAGCAAGAGCGGATCGAACAATATCGCGACAACGATCAGGAGCAGTATCTAGAGAACGAGCATGGACAGGATGAAGAAGATGGTAATGAGAACGAGATGTCGCGAAGCACGTCGATGGTTCGCCGGCGGAAACGTGGTGCACGTCGTGGAAAGGGCCAGATCATTCAACAGCAGCAGATGGAGATTGCGCGGTTGCAACAACAACAGAGCGAACTTGCACGTCAGGTACAGATCATGCAGGAGCAGTTGCAGAAGCAGCAGACGAAAGCACAGGTACAGGTGCTGTCGAGTTTGAATTCCACCTTGACCTCGCCGTCATTGCCGTCGCCTCTTGCGCAACAGCAGTCTCCTACGCTCCCGCATGTTCAGCAAGCCCAGAATGGCGGTCCGGCCGACGCTCTCGATTCACTGGCAAGTGCGTCGGAGGCATTAGCACGCGAGCTTAGTCGAACAAGGAATGCACGCGGGACAGGCTCTTCTCCTTCACTTGCACATGCTCGTTCATTCTCGCACCTCCAACCGTCCTCACCTTCCCAGCCGCATCCTCTCTCACAAGCGCAAACGTTTTCTCACTCCCACTCTCCTACTTCGACGACGCATTCCGTCTCTTCCGCCTCTGGCACGAATCAGGGCGCGAATCTTAATCTTGGTGCTGATGATAATATGTCTGCTTCGTCGGTTCCCATACGCTCTATTTCGAGCTCGAGCAAGGGAACGAGGGACACTGCGACTCTGTCTTCGAAGGGATCGACTACTCAGGCCTCGCCTGCTGCTGCTATGGCTTTTGCAGGTGCTGGAGGCCCAACTCCTGGAGCAATGTTCCCTGTATCGTTTGCATCACCTGCTAGGACCGGCTCTGCTGGCTCTGTGGCTAAACGGTCGCAGAATTCAACGTCAACTAAGTCGTCTTCCGTCAAAGATAGCGTACCCACGGCTTCAAGTGCATCCGCGTCTTCTGTGACCGCTGCTCCCGCCATTGCGAAGAAGACATCGAAGTGGAAACTCAGTTTCGGAAAGGGTTCGAGTACGACGCAAAGTAGGACACCGTTACCTCCTCAGATTCGTGAACAGGTGCCGCCAGTCGAAACGATTGATATTACCGCTGACGCGGTCGTTGAGACGAACGCGAAGGATGACGGCGCCGATGCGCGGCAGAGCGAGTCTGGTTCTGCTCAGCATGGTGCGTCTTCTTCCCACACATCCCCTACTGCGAGCCGCGTGAAGAATGTGCTCATGAGCCTGGATGCGGATATTTCTACAGGTGGGAAGACGAGTTCGTCCGTCGCGAGTACGAGTAGTGGAGCGAATGCCAACGAGATGTGGTCTCGTGGACGCAAACAGCAACCGTGGAGCCCGTCAACGACTGGGAATGGTAATAATGACCGGTGGACGAATATGGACGCTGGTGGACGGAACGTTTCGCCGAATAGCACGCGAACAGGTCGGTCTGGACATGCGTCTTCGTCTGCTTCGTCTGTATCGCATTCGAGTGGTTCGAGTAATTGGAGACATTCGACGCTTACGACCAGCTCTGGTGCGAGTGGATGGACGCGCTATTCGAATGGAAGCATGCGTAGTGTGTCGACGGTTGCGACGAGTGTGAGTGGGACTGGGACTGGGAGTTGGCGGAATGGAAATGCGTCGAATGCGAGTTTGTCTAGTGCGGAGCGGAAAGCGGCAGGAGGAGCACATTATCATGGTGGTCCGGCGTCGCTTGCTTCGAGGAATTCGGATAAGTCGAGTATGGCTGGTGTGCCCCCGCCTAACGTCAAGAGTACGTCTTTCTTTTCTTTCTTCTGTTTTGTTTCAGTGAAGTTTGAATGTCATGCTGACTTGAATTTCTTTAAACTTGCAGTAATGACTGGTGTGCCATGGGCACTTGACGAACTTCCTCGACAACTTCATCCTAATCCAAGCGGAGACATATTCGGCATGCCGCCCACCGGACCACGTAAACAACGTGTCCGGAAGCCGAAGGACTTGCCTACAATTAGCGAACGACCCGGACACAGTAACAACCATTCTTCCACCTCCACCAACAACAACGGTGGAGGACCGTACTCCGGGAGCATCAACTCTAGAGGTACACATGCGAAGTCACCGCTATCACAGCGACTTGATGCGGCTGGACGAAGCTCGACGGAGTTGACGAGGAGTAGTGGCGAAGGTGAGGAGTCGTTTGGCGGTGTTGAGGAGAGGGAGAGGGATGGGGCGCCGAGGAAAGTGCAGAAGGGGCAGATTAATGCGCTTGCGAAGATGCTTTCCGCGTTGAGGCGGTGATTTCTGTCGAGGTGTTTTGACGGGGCTTGTTGCGTTAGAAGGGTTGTGGCATAATTGGTCAAGGATGTTGTTCTCCAATTTTATTATTTTAACTCCCTTACTTCTCATTTACTGTCAACTTTACTTTTCCTTCCCGTGCATTTTTTAAATTTTTCTTTACATGAAGTCAAAAGCAGAAATCGTCCACTCGCTCAATCAATTTTCTTTTTCTCAATCCCTTCTCCCCTTCAAAGTCAAGTTCAGGTTCAACTTCAACAGTGTCTGTCTGTGTATCGATTGAAAACGTTTGTGGTTTGTTCATTTTATTGCATTTTGTGTCTCGATCAGCTCAACTCGTCGCTCCTTGGACTTACTCCTTTCCCTTGCCTTCCTGTGTTTTTGTATCAATTTGGATTTGACTTGACCTCCACACACCTCGTCACGCCTTAACACACCTTGACCACTATGTCGGCCGTCCTTTCCCTTGCCTCATCCGCCCTACTCTGCCACTCCTCAAAATCCTTACTACTTGTCTCTGCACTGCCCACTGCCAGTCTCGTGAATTGTTCCTTGCTGTTCTCCTGTGTTTCTTATTCCTGATACATATATACACTCATACACATCCCCAGTGTTGTTTACCACGTTACAGTTAGTGTAATCTCTACCTCACCTCGCCTCTTTGCACTGCATCCACTCATCGACCTGTCCATCTGTCCATCACTGCCTCCTTCCTTCATCTTCTTCCCTGTGCATCACACTATTGTCCGTTTGTCAGAACTGTCCTCTCCCACTGCCGCTACATCTCCACTATCTTCCTTCAATTGGCTTTCGGTCCAGTCAAGTTATTGTTTCCTTCTACCTCATTCAAGATTAGCCATTATTTCTTTCATACCGTTTCTTTCCTTTCTTTCCTGTGTTAGCTGCTGCTACTGTCGAGTTTAAGTGAAAGAAGAAGAGAAGGAAAAAGTTTTTTTAGTTAGTTGGTAGTGATAGTATTTTGTGGTATTATAGTATATTAGTTTATTTTTTTAAACTCTTTTTCTCGTTCGATTTTGGATTGATTAAGATTGTTAGGTAGGAAGTCAGACATGTGTTGTGAGGAATAGACAATAATGTTAAGGCAGTGTTAGAAGGGAGCTCCTCAATGTAAGCAATGCAACAACTATGATGTACAGCTACAATTTGGTGTTATAAGATAAGAAAGTCAAGTGCTGTGCTTACTAGAGAGGCGTAGAAGTCGATAGAACATCCATCACCAAATCGAACACGAAAATGTATTGGAATTTACTGCTAAGACATATATTTTTTACATATTGTGGATCCTTATATTCGCTTATAAAATCTACATGTAAATATATTGCCTTGTCGGACTCTGCACGTTTTGGTGATGTCAGTCAGCCTTTTAGAGACAGGGACTCATCTCTCGGCAAATAGTAATTAATATGGGCCTAGTGTTGTTATTACATGCCTCTGTATCATCTAATTATATTGTCCAATAATTCCATAACTCTAGTTGCTTGGTTAATACTTTGTTGTTCTTTTCTTAATTTCAAACGGTTGAGATGAACACAGGGATGGCGGGGGCGATTACTAAATAAGGCATAAGGCCAGAATTGGCAAGATGATGTCCCAGAACGTTCTGTGCTGTGCACCGACTCCCATATATAGCTTTCCGAGTACTTAGTCACTGACCTGCGTTGCATCATTCTACGCTTACCTTTTGACTACGACTACGACAATGAGCAACTATCCTGTACCTCCGCCTTCGTACCAGGGGAATAAGAGCTACTCGTCGACGGACGAGACGAGGGAGCCCCTGTTGGGTGGTGGTGATGCTGCTGGTATTGCTGGGGCACAGAGGGCTGGACCGAGTGCGGCGGGTGGTAATGCGATTTGGGATATGCCTGGGGATGATGTGCCAGATGATTTTAAGGTGAGTTGGTTTGTTTGTTGGGTTTTGATGCGTGGCGAGTGGTGTATTGACTGTGTGATATTTGTGTGTGTTGGTAGTATGGCGTAACGGTTTCGGAGAGCTCGTTGGAAATTAGGAATGCGTTTGTGAGGAAGGTGTATAGTATACTATGTGAGTCGTCGCTGCTTTTACGGAGTTTGATGAGTGGTTTGCTGACTGAGCGTTTCGTGTAGTTTGTCAGATTGTGAGCTTTCTCCCGTATGAAGTTGTTACTGAACTGGTGAACTGATTTCTCCCTGAAGTTGGCAACATGCATTGTCGGCGGTGTCCTTTCCCAGTCTGACTCAGCAATCTTCTGGGTACAAACGCAGTACGTCTTTTCACTACACAGCGTCTTTGTTATTATTAGAAGTACTGACTGGTGTATCTAACACAGCACCTGGGCACTTTACGTCCCGTTGTTCGCCACGTTCGTCAATCTAGGCCTCCTATTCTGGAAACGTCACAGTGTGCCGACGAATTATATCTTCTTGGGGACGTTCACACTCCTTGAGGCTTTCACACTTGGTGTCATTATGGCGTTTTACGATAATCGGGTTATTTTGCAGGCTTTGTGAGGCTTTCATTCTTTATTAGATAAAATATGTAACTAATTTTTTTATTTAGGCTGATCACGCTTGGTATTTTCCTTGGTCTCACGCTCTTCACCTTCCAGTCAAAGTATGACTTTTCGGGTATGGGACCGTGGCTGTTTGGAGCACTGCTTGCTCTTCGTAAGTGCCATATACGACGTGATAATCTGGTATCTTGTTGCTGATTAATCCTTCGTGTAGTTGTCACCGGTCTTGTCGGCATGTTTGTTCACTTCGACAAGACGATGGACTTGATCTTCGCTATCGGAGGAGCCCTGATCTTCAGTGGTTATGTCGTCTATGACACATATATGATCTCGAACAGGCTGTCACCTGATGAGTACATCCTTGGTGCTATCAGCCTGTACCTTGAGTAAGTTATCTATCTGCTTGTGATTACTAAGACAAGTTCTGATGTAGTCGTCTTTGCTTTCCCCTCTTAGCTTCATTAACCTCTGTAAGTTTTGAGATATATTATGTTATTCACTCTGTTCTAATCTGTCTTTTCAGTCATTAACATTCTTCGTCTTATCAATAACGTCGAAGATCGTTAAATGGGATTCTAGGGCTTCGATGGAACAATTTGGTCTTGTCACACTATCGGCATGCTGAAAACTCGGACAGGTATTCTTCGTGTACTATCTTGAGGCCATGTACTGTACGACTTGAAATTATACTCTAATATTCCAGACATTAGCGTGTGCCATTTTAGAAAAAAAATACAACATACAACTCTCCGAACTTATGTCAATCTAAGCGAAATAAAATATGGTGCTGTACGAGGTCAAGCGACGGAATCAAAATCGGTTGTATTCAAAAGTCCGATCTCGACGCGTTCAAGTTATTATTGTTTATTTGTCTCTGTATTTTCCGGCGCGTGTATGTCACGTGTACCGCGCCTGCTGCACCCGAGCGAGTTTTGTATCTTGACCCTGTACTCCTCTCAGTCCTCGTGGATCGAGGCAGGCCTCTCGTCTCCCTGGCCATCCTCCTATCTTCTCCTATTCTCTTGGAACCAACTGCTCTTGGTCTTGGTTAATAAATTTCTGCACAAAATTCATAGGAGGAAAGGCAAATGGAAACCCGTTTGGAGATACCTTCTCGTCTCAGATTGAACAAGTCAGCTCATTCGTTCGCTGCTACAGTTGCGGACAATAGCAACTACTACGATAACATCACCATGCACGATGGAGGTGGAGGGTCGGAAGATGGAGATGATGACGGGAGTACGCCGAGAGTGGGAATGTCGTCAGTGGATTCCAACGAATTGGACGAGCGGCTACATTTTAGTGCGCAGGCTCAAGCGCAGTCGACTCCGGGCCCCGGACGAGAACGCGATGCAATACCGAACGCGTCGATGGCGACTCCTGCGGAGAGGTTGAGAGCTGTGTTGAGTAGGGCGAGCTCTGCGACGCCTACTGCTCGGCCACTGAATGTGGCTTCGGAGAGAACACCAATGCCTAATCACCCGTCCTCCTTATTGGGAGCATCAGATATGGAGTCCGAAGACTTCGACACACCTCGGAACGCAGCGAACAACAACAGGAACAACGTACTCTCCACGCCCTTCCCTACGAGTGGCTCTGTGTCGTCTGTACCGCAGAGTGCAGCTCGGGAAAGCCTTAGGAGTCTATTTAGCTATGCTACGCGATCACCTGGAAATACTCCCGAGCGACCACAAAGGCCCCGAAGAGGGAGTATGGACTCCAGTATTGCAGAGGAGAGTCCGATTAAGTGGTCCATGTTGAGAGCGAATGAGAGGGTGAAGAGGCTGAGTTTGAGTGATGATGAGAAGGAAAGGATAAGAGTTTCAAGTATGTATTTGCTCATTTATAGAGTCAACATTAGTATTGATAGTCTTTTTGAAAGAATCTGGTTTCACAGAGGGCCTGTCTGAGAGGTCCTTCAAGTCATCTCAAGCTGCTACGTATGATCAGTTACGCGAACGACTTGAGAACTCAGCTGGTGGAGCTGGTACGAGTAAGGGTGCTTCCCATATGAGTACGTTTCATCTTCCGCTATCTAAGCTACTCTTACAATTCTTTAACCTTTTACCTTACTATCAGAGTCAGATATGACGATCGACATGGAAGAAGCCACCGAAGTTGAGCAAAGTCTCCTTGAAAACCGACAAGCGCCTATCATGTCCACTACACCACCTTTACCTTCCAGCAATACACTGGGCCAGTCTATGTCTCAGTTTCCTTCGCAGTTTCTTGGCTCAAGTATGTATAGTAGTCTGTCTTCTCAGTCATATATTATCGTGCTAAGTGATAATTGTAGATCTCTTGATCGACAACTCTGATATGCGACGGATGATTCAAGACGCGCAATCTGAAACGACGGACTCAGAAGCACCTGAATCTAATCGAAGAGAAAGCAAGACACCGATAGCTGGACCTTCATCTAGTGAGGATTATCATTGCTTTTTTTAATTTTTAATTTACTGACCGTTACTGATCCTTTCCATAGATCATCAAAAGCGACCGTCGTTCGTTCGTGAGCGAGCGTTATCGCATAGTAGTAGTATAGGGTCAATGAGTCCATCATCAACTGGCTCAAGACCGACTTCAAGGCAGAGCATGAATGACCTTGACGAAGGGCAAAAACGTGAACGCGAACGAGGGTGGAATCATCCACTTGGTCCTTACATGGAGCGACACCGTGCATCCTCTCCTGGATTTTCTCCAATTCATAGCGGTGGCTTTGCACGTCTACGCAAGACTAGTTTGAGTTCCATCTCTGGATCGGAAAGTCATGATGGCCGAACAAGTCCCGCGTCCACGGTCAAACGGCTAGGAAATGGCCATGGACACTCGAGTTCTAAATATTCAACCATTAGTTTATCCCGTTTGCCTTCGTCTTCGCCTAATCACATACGTGTGAGTGCTAGGACTCGTACAGTGAGCCAGCCGACGAAGCCGAGCAGTCCAGGCAATTTGACAGGTTCTGTCAGTTCGAACGGCATTCAGAAATCTTGGGATCGCTCACGTACTGTTTCATTAATCGCTCGCGACATCTCACGACCGTCATCAAGCCATGCACACACTCCTGCTCATGCGTCTTCGAGTCAGCATCATAACGGCAACCATGATGCGGAACATTTGAGACGCTCGGCATCGCCATCTTCGTCACGTTCGTCTTCCCGTGCATCTTCTCATCAGTCTGAAGGCACTGTCAATCGTGTAAACCCTCATGTTCGGGAACGTAACTGGAATTCACCTCGTCCCAAATGGATCAATGTTGAACCTGCTCCTGCGCTATCGACAAAAACAAGGCAACCAGATGGCGCAATGCATACCAGAACTCCACCTGCGGAACACGCACAGCGTCGCGTGACAGCTGCACATGCGACAGGTTCGAGCCCATCTAGTATTCCCAGACTATCTGTCAATGGACACACGAAATCTGCGAAACACGCCGAGGACAGCGAAACTGATAACCGATTATCTAAAGATCCGGTCTCTTCATCTCCTGCGACTCGACTCGAACATGGGAGACATAACTCCTTTGGAAAGGACAGGGATACTGGAGGGGCACTATCTGCAAGTACTATTCATAACCACACATCTACTGGCGGGCGGAGACCTCATTCACCAGCGATTTCTTCCAAGGCAAACGAGCAAGTTCGTTCACGGCATGAGCGGGACGCTGCTCTGCCGCATGCCATATCTCCCACACTTTCACCGGAGCCTGATGGTGCAAATGAACCTGAAGAACACGATACACCAAAGATAGGATTACAACGTATACCGGACTCGCCAACACCGGCTTCTGGGTCCAGGCCCAGTAGTCGTGTCGGCACCACTTCGGGCTTCTCGTCGCATATTGCAATTGACGCATATGATCGTGTGAACGCGTCAGCTACATCTGCGTCTGCGTCAGTGGCTGAGAAGGCGCGGAGAGGCAGAGATGGTGAGCAAAGCAGAAATATACGGCCTCAAAAAGTCAGTGTACCCTCGGATCCTCTTGAGCTTCACGAATCGGATCTGGATTCGTTCCAGGGTAAGTCATTTAGTTATGGCAGTGCATTATAATTTTGTGGGCTTCTTGTACTCATGCAATTAATTTACATCTCTAGAGGAAGATATAGTTGCCTCATCGTCGGCTCCCCGTGTACATAATGGGAACGATTCATTTGACGAAAATGAAGCTTCCCCTCATTCCGAGGAGTTACAGGCGGACATTAATGTGTTAGGGCCGCGACATGGTGGTCGACCAAATGGACACGCGGTTGACGCAGGCGCGAAAAGGTCATCGCTTCTGCCGGCAAACTTCTCTCCACCACTCTCACCGCCCGAATCACCATCTGATCCCGTAACGACCACTCCAGAACGTCGCATCTCTGGAAACTCGTCCAAGATTGAGTTCAAATCGCCGTCAACACCAAGGGATATACCTGCACTCCCGGACCCTCCATCATCGGACGAGGACGCGGAAAGCGACCGAACGCCGCCAGTGCCGCTCAATCGAAGTAGATTTGCAGATATCAAGACGCCTAGGCCACCTGGCGCATGGAGCACACCATTTGCCACACCTGCACCCGCTATCGCGGCTCGCGTGAGCACGCTGCGGGATGAAATGCATCATGAAGGGGAGAAGCATGCCTCGTTGCAAAACCCAAACGAAATTTACACGCCTCCGGCTTCCTATTCGCGTGCGACATCGATGATTATGAAAACGCCAAAGCCGCCAGGCGCCTGGATGCCGACGCCTGAAACGATAGCCGCGAAGCGTTTACAGCAGAAGGTACGCTTTGATGAACAGGAGGTATCGTCGGCTGCTCCCGCACTAGTACCTGAACGTGACGACAGCTCGTTAATTTCGGATCCTCCTGCGACGGACGGCAGCGTGGCGATGAAAGCCGCCGGAAGGGCGAACCCGCCATCGCCCCGTTCTCCCGGCCGCATCCGCGTAGTAGATGCCTTCGGAAACGAGATCAATCCTGCCAAATCTGAAGTCAGGACAGAGAACCGCAGCAGCGTACAGAAATTCGGCGAGCTTCACGCCACGGGGAAAGACGAGAAGCCTGGCACGCCTGATAGGAGAAAGTCGAGAATCCGTGTTCTTGATGCAATGGGCAGGGAAATCGATGAGTCTCAGGTACAGGATGCAACACCACTAGCATCTACAGCGGATGAACCGGGAAAACACTTAAAAAAAGCCGACAAGGGCGACAACGTTACGACCTTGTTTCACGCTTTGGATGGCAAGCTTGAACGCAAGGAGGCGCTTCAGTTGCTTCAGAAGACCATAGCCGAGCTAAAGGATGACTTTAATAGGACCGATGATCCCGCGTACGTCAATTATGTTAGTTTCTGCCCCTCACTTCTTTTTCATTGAAGCGTTTTCGTTTTTTTCTCCTTTCAGGAGTACGCAAACTACCGATGAAATTGATTCCCAAATGGCGGATCTAAAGGTACAGTCGATCAGGGCAAAGGAGGATCGCGAGCGTTTGTTGGGAAGGATCAGGGACGCACAAACGGGCGATCCACCTTCGCGATCGGCAGCCCTCTGGAACGCCTTGTTGTTTGGCAAAAGCAGGAGCGGTTTGTCGGTGAGTGGCAACAGGTAGCTTACTTAACATTAGGGAAAATTAATTCATGCCCGATCTTCCCGTTTTACAGTCTCGTGGCACGTCTTTCAAAGTTTTTGCTGCCCTGGTGTTCCTGCAAGCAGTTATATTCTTAGCATTCTATCGGTGAGTAAAGTACTGTTATGAACAACCTCCATGCAAGGGCGTTGTTCGTTATTTGTCGTTCGTAAAATCTTACTCAAAAAAACTTTTTTTTAATGTGCCTCATCATTTTTATGGCGAAAAATGACAGGTTGACTACACTGGGTGCACGACGACTGTTCTTGACGACTTATATTGATCCTTTTTACCCGGAACTGCATCTTCACTTTACGAATCCTGATCTTGTGCAACTATCGATGACAGCCCCTGATATGTATGCTGCTATTGCTTCCCCTCCAGTCCCTACAACAGGCTGGATACGATTTTTTCTTGCCGGCTGGCATACCATTCTCAATAGTTTATTGGTTCTGAGAGACAGCATGTGGGACATCTGGCGCGATCCTCCTCAAGGTATTACTTGGCCTCCCACATGATCCGTCCGTCCCGCTCGCCCCTACCTTATCGTCTCAGCACCACCCCACTTTTTTTCTTTAATTTTATCTTTTTCATTTGACATGCTATGCCCAATCATCACCGCTCCTCCCCACATTTCTTCACTTCGCAGCTTTTTGGGATTCATCGCGCTCTGTTCTTCTGTTCTTCTACTATTACTACGCTATTTTTTCTTGCTTTGTTTTGTTTTGTTTTGCTTCTGTATTTTTTGCTTTAAGTTATTCCATTTATCACATCATTTTCTTTTCGCCAACTTGGCGTGCACAACTTGTTTTGTTTTTGGTGCTTTGGCAAATTAGTTATAGAACCCCTCGTATCGTGAATAGCTTTCCGTGTTTTTTTCCCATGTTGTATCTATGGAAGGATAGGCGTGAGCATCCTGAATTACAAATGGCTTCTCGACTGGGTGTTCTTGTATTCAATACCAATAGAGAACGGGGTTCATCTCTGCAGCGCCTCGCCGAAGACGGTTTTCACAGACCACCATCCCATATGCTGGTGCGTTAAGCGATGAGATTTTGCTCACAAGTCTGTGTCCTCGCGTTTAACGGTCTATGTGGTCGCCGTGTGCATAGTGTGCACACTCATATACACGTATTGAACCCGCTTAAATGAAATTAATACTCACCTGCTCTAAAACCTTGAATCTAAAACAGTCTTTAGGCTAAGTAAATCTATCCAATGACGGGATGATGAGATATTCTAACGGATCGGAATAAGGAACAATCGCTTTTAAAACGGATCGTATCATTGCAATGACGGCACTACACAGTAGACGACGTAGCATCTCGTATCTCAACAATCCAAGGAGGGAGGACTAATAGCCAAGTTAGCCTCAAGAGTCCCGGGTATTGAAACGGATGAACTTTGCACCTCTGAGAGTCTATTGCAGAAAGTAGTCAGAGATGCGAAGGATCGAAGCAGCGATCGAGGCTCATGCGAATTGACGGATCATAAGCGCCACGTAGTAATTCAGCAAGTCAGGACAAATTCGGGCGAAGGCTGCCAGACACGATTCTTCTCATGTAATAACGACTGAGTTGAGGGGAAAGGCATTCTTTGATACATTGAGCATGTTTTTGTTCGCTCCGTCCATTGAAATAAGAAAGCAACGGGAGAAGGCCACGGATGCACAAGGGTCGACGTGAAGTGTCATAGAGCATAGACATTGTAGGCAAGGATCGGTGGCGGATGGTCGCGTCGGAGACAAAAGTGGGACCAAAGTGGGTGCTGATTAGCTACCCGAAGCGCGGAGGAACGCACTAAAAAAACACAAGGGATGCTAACATCTAAACGGCAAGGATATAGTTCCATGTGCGAAGGGACGGATGAATTTACCTTCACAGGCTGTTCGAGAGCTAGATCGTAGATTCACCTGAGGGGTCCTTGAGCAAATTCTAATCTGGGAACGCGAGGAAACGGGATCGAAGCAGCCAGTGAATATCCTATCTGCACGGCCACACGCCGTAATACGTCCTTGATCCTCATCGAGATTTCCTGTCTCTGTCCTGAGGCGATTGCCACTTGATTTAGCAAGCTTCGGCGACGAAAATGGTAATCTACTTGGCGGCCCGAACGGTTGTAGAACGGCGCTCGACATGTGTCTGGCAGTTCTTGAATCCAGGTCTCGGGAGCAGAACACCAAAATTGCGCAAGCGAGGTCCCTGAATTTTCGAAAAACGTATATGGGTTTTCTAACCCGTTGAGCAACCGAGACGGTGAAAAGGCAGCTTTTATTTGGGAAAGGGTTGCACCGCCTCGGACTTGGCACTATTTGACCAACGAAATATGCTTCCGTCATAAAGCACGTTCCGGGGAGGCCGTGAAGCGCATCTTCTTTGAGGCATCTGCTCCTGCGCAGCGCTTAGTCTAATCCGACGTAGAAGCCATGGTTACTGTTGGATATACGGACGAATTATCTTCGAGAAACGGAAGACCTTGCAGGACGATAATATTCTCGAGCCAAGATACGGGAGCAATTACGTTGCAAGTAAGGAAGGAAAGTATAAGTACTCCGCGAGAGGCACAGAGTAATAGCCCATCCTGACTACTCAGCCTTTTCTATTAGCCTGTGTTCAGTACCTAATATGCTGTCGTCTGTGAGTCTCATCCTCACCACTGCCAGCCAATGACAGACAACTCAGCTGGCTTCGTCTTTCGGTCCTTCTAGTCTGGCAATAGCAATAGTGGCGGAAACGCCAATGACCAGGACGCGTACAGGGTACCAAGGAGGACACCAATGGCCTGTACCTTCTGTCGAGGTATCAGATTCCGATTCCGGGCATGAGCTTATCAGCTGACTATTTCCCGTCCGACACGTGAAATATGAATAGGTCGAAAGCTGAAGTGCGATGGACGTACTATCTGTACGAATTGCGCGCAGCGCAATTTGGAATGCATATACAAGCCTGTGTAAGTGGATGAGTGGGGGGTATCGAAAACCTCTGCAACGATGCTAATTGCGTGATGCATAGGGCGGAAACATGACTGCGTGACGTGCGATGCTCCGGTGATATCCTAACGCAGTTTCCTTATGCCACCCAAAATCAATGGTCGAATTCGAGGGAGACTCTTGTAATATAGACATAGATTGCGAGATGGCTCCTCGTCTTCGCGAATTTCGTTCATTCCACTCTTCTGTTATTCGGTCTTGAAGTCTGTACTCTGTTGTTTTATTTTTTGACCTCCACGGATATTTTAGTTCGGGTTCTGTTGCTTACTTATGATTGTTATTGCCCCGGTTTTTTCGGGGAGTTTGTATCTTATGTAGCAGGATGGTCGGGCTAGCCGGCGAGCACATCGTCGTTGTTCGAGAGCAAGTGGCATTAATGCCACGATTCAGTCAGGACGAGAGCGCAACAAACAAGGATCAATACCCGGCCTATTTTGGATGCGTCGATCTGCAGAAATGACATCAGCTCAGTGCTTTCTGATGCTCTGCCCCACCAACACTTCCTCCCCTTCAATGACCATCATGCAGCTTTCTTCCACTCTCCATGACCATGCTGAGAGTGCGACACATGCACACTCTCAGAATTGCGGCCTCCGCAAGAGCTAGCTTACGGACAGACGGCATTCTGCGCTCTCCGGTTCTGATCGTACCATCCCGTTTATATTCAGTATCTCCTGACCCGGGAGTCAAGAACACTTCTCCAAGCAGCTCGAAGCCTTCCATCCCAAGAAATAGCTCTGGAAGGCTTGATGAAGGTATTTGCTTGTACTTCTCAATACATTCCCCTCAGAGTTTACATAGAACTTTACCTTCTACAACCAGGATATCTCTCATTTACTAAATCTTCACTTTATAAACTTACGTTACCTCTCGCACCCTACTCCGAGGCATCAACGTCCCCTGCATCTAAGATAAACTCGGATGCCATGCAAAGATTCAACTGCAATGGGCCCCACAATAGCGCGGATGCCGCCAATACTTGGGAACAACAAGTGGAAAGGGGTGAAGAGCCGTTCGTCCGACAAGATAGTAACGACGGTACTCAAAGCGAGGGACCGCAACGTGTGATATTTCTATTACACTCAGGTCAACCATTGAGCTACGTTTCAAACCTTATCCGTGCGGAAGGGCCCGAAGCCAAATCTGGAACACAGTCGTCTAAACACGATAAACCGGACGAATCCGAAGGACAGAGCAAGGTCATGCCAAACCAACTTGGAGATCCGTCGATCACCTTTCATACATCCCTAAAATCAAGGCGCAGGTGGAGCCCTGCAACAGGCGTTGGCGACTTCCTGCGAGAGGCCGCACGAGTGGGCAGCTTCACAATCGCCATCGGAGATCGTAAAGTGAATGTTAACGTACCTACCTTTGAAGAGCGTACCCGATTCCTACGGGCTTCCCTGCGCGAGAAGACAAAGCGTATCGAGCGATTGGCCCACGTGAAGGACGAATGCGATCGAATTGCACGACGCGCTACACAGAGATATGCATTCGCTGGTGCAGGCATCATGACCTCGTGGTGGTTAACAGTTGGTTTGCTCACATTCAGTTCGTATAGGACTTTCCTTTCTTCAGACTGTTCCATTCCAATATACCCGTACTAACTACTCTTCACACAGAAACGAGTCTCGGCTGGGATGTGATGGAACCAGTAACATATCTAACTGGCTTTGGAATGGTTATCGGCAGCTATCTCTGGTTCCTTTGGCACAACCGTGAAGTATCCTACAGGACGGTGATGACAGAAACGACTTCTCGGCGACAGCATATGCTATATTCCGAACAAGGATTCAACGTCGATGCTTATCATGAGCTAATCAGCGAGGCGAAAGCTCTTCGTCGTGCAATCAAGCGCGTCGCGTGGGATTACGAACTTGACTGGGACCAGGGAGACACAGAAGCAGGTCGCAACGCACCGCGGGCTTTGGAGATTGTGCGACGGGAAGAAGAACGGGACCGCGGAAGAATGCATCGTGAGGAAGAATCGGAGAAGGCAGAAGTAGGTTCTTAAGACTGGACTTGTCCTCATCTTGTGCTAAACTTCAAACGTTCCTTCGACAGGACGATGCGTTCGCTCAAGTTGACGATGATGCTGATGGACGACCTGACCGTAAACCTTTGAATACATGACCCAACATAGACAGGAATTATACCCTTAGACTAGACATCAGTCTTGCTGATAATAAGAAAAATCTACTGGAATTAAAACTCAGTGCAAAATACCTTTAATCGGAGTGTCGTATTATGTTTTGCATATAGATTCTAATTGGTCACCCTGAGTAATTGAGGTACAAAGGAAAGAAAAAGGATACAGGTAATGAAGATCATTGCATTAAGAGGGAATCGAACCCCCGGCGGGTCGATGGCAACGACCCAGGTTACCACTACCCCATTAATGCATTTCCTTAAAATGGAGCATTGAAACAATTGTCTTGTCAAAGCACAGACGGTCCGAAACAAAATTTCTAGGAGCGCTAAATCTTCAAATGCATCACTAAAACTTCTTGGCTTATGCACCTATATTTCCCATAACAGTCACATCTCACTCTCCCGCTCGTATGGTTGCTTTGAATAATCATCCGCATCCTTCATCATATTCTCTTCACTCCACATTATCTTCCACGCCTCTTCCCAACGTTCCACAGCATCCGAGTCGTTCGTATTGATGTTCGTGACTCTCTGCGCTCCACGCGCGCGAGCCTTGCGAACTAGGTCCGAGCTACGTGAAAGACGCACACGCTCATATTCGGCGAACGCCGATATCAGTTGCTCGATGCCAGGAGGCGTGGAAGCGGATGGATGGTGAATTGTCAAAGATCGCACGAGATGATAGACGTCTTCAAAAGCCTGATTTGCTCCCTGCCCCAGATGCTATAAAAAGCAGCGATTAATATTAGCTGTTTGAGAAAAGCTGACTGGTTAAACAATGATTCATACGGGAGTGGTAGGATGCGCAGCATCGCCAAGCAAAACTACGCGACCTTTGTACCACGTCTTCAATTCGGGGCGGTCATACAGACCATACTGAAGAAAATACACCTATAAATTAACAGTTCAAACAACACTGCTGAGAGTTTCGCACGCACTTTTACGACCTTAGTAGTTGTCTTTACCATCTCGCCTGCACCGAGGCTCAATTGAGAAAAAGGTCCGTTTTTGAATGCCTCTTTCTGTTCTTCATCAATGGAACGCCACGATTCTTTACGTTCTTCTTCCGGCTGAGTAATGCTACAAGCATAGAAGTGTTTAGCCATCGTTGTACCCCATTAATTTATCATGAAAAACGGAACTTACGCCCATGAGAAATAATTCTCCATAATGGGATAGGCGACTATATGCGCATTCTTTCCTATATAGTTGCAGACCGTGTTAATGTCCTTAAATTCCTGAGGTCTTGGAGACATCCCCCCCGTCTTTTTGACGAAAAGACCAGCCTGCTTATCAGCGAATTACGCTCAGCCAAAATCGTGAGGACGCCATTACCTGGACATTCCCGGTATAATCAGGCTTCATCTCTCCGAAGAGGGCTGATCGAGTATTACTATGTAGGCCATCGCATCCAACAACGAAGCTTGCCTGCGCAGTCTCTCCATTAGCGAAATGCAGTTCCACGTTTGCATCGCTTTCGCCCTCTCCACTGAGCTCTTTCAGACTTTCAAGTTGGTAACCCCAATGTATGGGTATTCCACGTGTTACAGCCTGTTCAACGAGTGTACGATGAAATTCCTCACGCTGGACACCACGCATACCAAGACCGAAATGTGCGGGCGCACGTGATGGAAAGTCATTCAAGACAATTGTCCGGTTTGAGACAGTCGATAATACCGCTGAGTGAGTGATGCGCTGTCCGGGAAGAATGTCGATAAGCCCTGGAATGAGGCGGAGCACCTTCAGGCCGTTTGTCTGGAGTCTAAGTCAAATAAACATGAGCTTAGACACAAGGCAAGCCCGGATACTAAGAATTCGAGGTGAATGACATACGCAAGGCTAAGACCTGTAGAAGTAATGTTTTCGGTACGTTCATATAAGACAGGATCATAGCCTTTTTGCTTCAGAAGCATTGCGAGAACTGGTCCAGCGATGCCTGCACCAATGATAGCAACTCTAGTGGATGGCATGGCGAAAGCAAACAGTATCTTCTAGATTGTGCAGCGATTTCAATTGTAGCTTTGAGGGCCGCAACAGCTGGGCAGATGTTGACTTCACTTTCTTTGCTTGCATATATATTGCTGACTGAGACATTTCGATGACGTCCAGTTATTTAGTACGTAATTAGATGCCCCCACGAGCAGACTCATATTGCCCTGTCTATGGCGGCAATCGGAACCGATAGCGTGCTCGTCTGGTAATTCATAAGTCATCGGAGGTGTAAGGAAGCGACCGGCGAGTCAGATCAGAGCATTTAGCATATAACCCACTATGATCGTCTTCATGATGCACCGCAATCGAAAGATGCAAGTCGCGAAAGATGAAAAAATTGCACATCGTGTAAATGATGTAAATTTAGACAATCGTAGTCAGCTGCCCAGTCCTACAATAATGCTCTAAACTCCGTACGAGTCTGCCTCTGACATGTTTCGTAGTCGCTCCGCATTATCCCACCGATCTAGCCCGCCAAAATCGATCTTCATAGTTCCACTAATAAGATTCAACTGCAGCTCGGGGAGGAACGATGCTCGTGCCCTCCAGCTATCTCCTCTAAATTTTGAATCATTGGAATCATCCATTCAGCTGGGACCGAATTTGAACCTGATTGATTGACTCACGTTGCAGACCCAACGCCTTCGGCACACTGACTGACAACGCGTGCTGCTTGGTCTGTATTCGAACGTGCATCATACACCCATATGAGAGGTCCTGTGTATGCTTCCACAAAACCGTGCAAACCGGCAAGACGATGTCCTGCGGAACTCGAAGGTCCGCTATTCGATTTAGGGACCGGAACGGGTGAACGTACAGCATCGACATCATTGAGGAGTCGCAGAGCTGCCAGATTTGATATTCCTGATAGACGTGCACGCAAAGGTGATGAAGTAGGCGGACTAAGGATTGCAAAAAGCGATACCGGTTCAGATGCAGATGTCGCTTTGGAAGCATCACCAGGCGCATTCATTTCTTCGTCTTCGTTGTCAGATTCAGATTCAGATTCAGATTCATCACTTTCGCCTTCGCCATCTGCAGCAGATGTTCCAGCTCCCTCCTCATCAATAGGCATCGCAAGATCTTTCTCTGCACTCATAAGTGTTTCACAGAACCTCGTCCATGCCGTGTCATCTGAAAAATCTGTACGAACAACGACGCCAGCAATTCTAGCCTCGTCCACAAATTGAGCGATCTCTGCTTCCTCCTCGCCACCTAGTTTGAGGATATCTTCAAGCGCTTCGGTCAAGATTTCATGACTCGCTTGATCCTCGGCAATTCGTCCATTACACTCTTTCTCTTCGAAAGGCTGTGTCCAAAAGCTTTCAAGCAGACGAAGTTTCGCTTTACGTCGCCCAACCTGCGTCGCTAAGTTCCTTAACTCCGCGTAATGGTCCTTTATATAGATAAACATTAAAAGGCGTTAATTGGGGGATGAATTCGGTCTTTCCACGAAAAACTCACTGACAGCCAGATATGCTGTGAAAGCCGACGGCATAGTCACCTTTCACTCTTTGAAAGTCTAACCAAAATCATCTCGTATCAAAATATATGCACGTGACTTGAAACTTGCGCTATATTTAGACTACAATTTTTGTGCCTCTATAGATTATTGAGACAGTAGTAGAATGGTCATCATGACTTTCATCCAAATGCAGTATCATCCTCTAGCCTTATACCAGGATTACACTAACGAAATCACTGAGAAATAGGGTTGAAATCCACCTTGTCCTAAACACGTTCGATCATCTCACTCTTCTCGCTCTTACGTTCACTTCCAGTGTCGCTTTCGTTTGCGTATATGCGCTCCACAACGTTCGGGTCAACAACTCCAGCACCTGCAATAGCAGCAATACGGATAGCGTCCTCTTCATGTATGTTACGGAAGCGGAATCCGCCCTTGATCGTCTGGTCCACAACGAGGCCTCTGTAATCCCAATTGAAAGATTAGTTGCGACCAGGTTCTTGCCGAGGGATGAAGGTTACGTACACTGCATAGATGAGCATGGCCAGATAGCCGGACATAGGGACGAGGTACGACCTGCGCGTGCTGGCAAGGTCTGCTAGAGCGCCCTGTGCCGCTGGATACCACGCCCCTCCTCCAACACCCTAAAATAATCATTAGAAAGTCTGGATGCATCAATTGAATAGGACTAACCATAACGATAAGACCCGATCCACGCTTCGTGTGTACGCCGAGGTTCTTCGTGCCTAACGTAAATATGCACTATATTCAATCGTTCAGTAATGACTTCGCCCTGGCCAGCAGTTGTCGATGCCTCACCGGATAACAAATCGACTCATAGAAGAACAACACGTAAAGGAACCCAACAGCGGTCCATCCTTCTAGAGTTGCCACACAAATACTCGCGATCACGCACATGACGGAATGGAATGTTAGCAACAGCGCAGGGTCAATCCAGTTGAGGATGACAACCCCGATAAATCGTCCAACCGTGAATGTAACTTGACATAACGAAAACATTGTACTAGCTTTCGATTGAGATATGTTCAGTCCAGGCTCTTCCGTTAAAAAGTTGACAACGAAGGCGGCAACACCAACTTGTGCCCCCCTACATTTGGATCATGCTTGAGTTCCAGGTAAACGTAAAAAATCTGGAGGCATACACGTAACACATCTGAGCGATGAAGCCAAAGATAGCGCGATATTGCCTGTAAAACGGGCCAACATCCCTACTAAATCCCTTGCTTTCCATTTCCTTCATGAGTGCGTCCTCGGAGATTTCAGGAAGCATACAGAAGCTACAAGGCCAAGTTGTTAATGCGCATCTTTCTCTAACACCATATCAATACCACGCACTAAAATAGCGTGTTCAGGACAATGCCCAGGCCCGCGACGGCAAGATACACCCTTGATCGAGAGAATTTGATCAATGATCCTTCGGGACAAAAATAAGCACCAAGAACTTGAGCAAACAACTCACCATTGCACGGTATCGAGTGTAGTTGCATTCTTGCCGCGGAAAAACCAACGCGAAGCAATCAACGGTCCAGTAAAAGAAGCAACGCCCTGGAACCCCTGGCTGAAGTTGAGACGCGCCGCAGCATACTTTGGCGTGCCGAGCACCGCAATGTACGAGTTTGCAGCTACTTCGAGTGTAGCCAGCCCGCAGCCTGGAATTGTACGAGTCAAACTCCGGGTTTCAGGTTGTTTCAGGAATAAGACGAAAGCCCACCAATTACAAATGTACATCCCACAAATCCACCATATGCTTCGAACTTTGCAGAGGGCCAGAAGAATATAGCGCCTAAGCAAAAGAACAAGGATAATGAACGGCAAAATCCAAAATAGCTTACTATCCGCAATAAGGCAATAGAACAAGTATTTACCTAGCGAGTAGAGCGTTAACCCGAGGTGGATACCTTTCTGTATTGTGCTCATTGTGAACAAAAACTGCAATCGAATTCCCGGCCCGGTAAACTTCGTGAACGAACCTTATAGCCTACTTTCCGCATCTAGTGAGCAATTTAGCGAAACTATTTCAAATGCACGAATACAGAAGGTTACTTACAAACATTCCAGCGAACGGCGCCCATACAAAGTATGCCCCCTGTTAAACAGAGGATCCGATGTCGAGGCGGAATTCTAGGTCGGTTGGTATTTGGACGGACTTACGAAGTATGCCAGCTGCAACAACGTGCTCTGCAACTTTGTGATCCCGAACACAGTCTGGAAGTGAGAATTGAGGACATCCAATAACTAGATGTGGCAGACGGGAATAAGCAACGAAGATCCCCGCAAATATCCTGAGTGCGCCGAAGGGGCACTTACGCCATAAGCAAAACCCCCTTGTTCATTAATAAGATGGGTGTTTGTTAAGCTAGTACACAAGCCGCAAGTGCTTACATGTGAAGAAGAGAGTCGTAACAAGGGCGAACGCATACGCCCATTGTTTCCGCGACAGGTCGCTTCCTACATGGAGAGCGTGAGCTTGATTTGGAAAAAGCCGCAGAAAATCGGCTACCTGTCACTCCAGTGGTAGTCATCTTCTCGGTAGCGTCCTTCCTCGGTTTTGAAAGAGCTCTAGTCGTGGACGGTAGGAACGAAGAAGCGACAGCAGACACCTCAATGGAACAATTAAAGACCGCTTTTGCTTATGAACCTTAGAGAGTCGGAACCTCCTGGGGTCGAATGACGATAACGTTTGCTGGTCGGAGCGCGCATAATTTAAGAAGCACATTCCATGTTGACTGCCTGTTCACGAGGCCAAATCAGAGTGGGAAACGGGCCCGAAGAAGAGTGCGGCACACTCCAACTTAATCAGAACGCATTTTGTGCGGCCCGGCAGAATTGAATCCGCTATTTACATATCGTGATGTTTGGGTGCCGGATGGAAAAAAATACCACAGGGGCGAAGAATCGGTAGAAAATGATCTCGCATGTGGGATTTAGTTGGTCGGCTGCAGAAGGATAAAGCAGTAGGGGAAACAAGCAAGCGAACAGTTGCAAGCGGTAGAATGCAACTGTCCTCCTTGCGTTATGCTTCAAGTTAAGTGAAGTAGACGTCCTGACTATCGGCAGAAGCTGAAGTCAACTCGAGTGGAATCGGGGACGTCGGAAAAGCGGTAGAAGCTCAGTTATCCAGCCAGAAAAGGAATATAAGGAGCAAAGCAAAAATATAACAATAGATTATGTAAACCCTTTAAACAGCAAGCAGGAATAAATTATAAGGTGTTACTGATATGCAAAGCATCACATTGACGTCCAATTATATCTTCCCATAAGTCAAGGCAAGAAAGAACGAGTTTTGTGTGGGTTTAGTAAGAGTTGATTATGGTTAAAAGTAATCTTAAGGTAAGAAAACCCTGTGATAGTTTTCACCTAGACTATTCAAGTCATAAAGTAGACCTTGAAGGTTACTATTCACTCAGTCTACACAAGAAAGAACGGAGGAACTGTGTATGAGGGCAGTTGTCTCAACAAGTTTATTGTGTCATTTATGCCATTTTGGCACTCTAGAACTACATCGGTGTTTGAAGCCAGACACTTTCTGAACAATTGCATAACTTTTCGCCATCAAGGCTTAGTCTGTGTTCTGCAAAGGAAAGCAGAAAATACCTTCAACTCGTCATTAGACTTTTCGTTTGCGTATTCAATTGCCGACTTTGATCACTAACATGCCACTCGTAGCCCAACTTGACGGGAACAATGCCGACGTGAACAGTACTGAATTCGTAATTCTCATATACTAGAACACTCATCTGGAGATCCAAGTACTTGAATTCTCAACCACCAGGCAATTCTGCAGAGAGGAGCTCTTAGACACAGGTGGAACTTCTTTGCTAGGGGATGTCCATTTACACTTCTGTCAGCCAGAGTCCTAAAGGGCGACGCAGCATGCAGCAAGCTGTACTGGACTGTCTGAAAGATCGAGTCTGCAATCGCAATCTTCAAACAAAGTGCTCCTGTTTCGTTTGGTGATGCAGTTCAATAGAGATGACGTGGTAGAAGCGGCGAATGAGTCCGAGGTATAAGAAATACGTATTATCACTCGTATATCATCACATGAATAGTATAGAACAGCCGGCATCTATTACACAATAGACTGTCGCGAACCTGCCAAACGGTCAGCAAACTGAGCGCATAGGTGATAGGTCAGTTCAACATACACAGGAATTGAGACATTAGATACGCACGTCGCGAATATAAGGCATACTTAACAGCGTCCCTACGAAGGGAAGTTGACGGAGGAACGTGAGGATTACAGGGAAGAAGTCTCTGGAAACGGCAAAATAGGGAAGATACTGTATCAGCAATACGCCAAGGTCCAATGCACGGCATTACGCACCCAAACAGATTCAGGAACCCAAACGTCTCAACTATGACACCAATAAACGGCCACTTAAAGAACACGAGCAGTACACCGCCAAAGAAACATATCGTCCCGCGAAGCTTTTGCTTGCGCGCGAAGAAGTAGAACGTCTTTTGCGGTCCGATAATGAGGGTAATGCCAGAGATGAAAAGGATCTACGAGGCAACCATTTGCGCTAAGTCCAGATGCAAGTGAAAATGGAAGTGAAGTAATGTGCTCACATTCCCAAGCGCAAGTAAGCTGCCATCGAAGAAGAGGATAACACCAAGAAGCATAAACAGCCCGCCGAACGAGGTCAGCGCAACGCCGATTTCTAACAAGAAAAATCCGAGTTCAGTGTGGACGTTCCAATCATTTGACAATCACGTTAGACGTACTTTGAGCATCCGTAAGCCACACCATTTTTCTAGTTTCCGACGCCCGTGTACCAGAACGTTCAGGATGTTGCTGCCAGCAGACGGGGACAATAGTCAATGTGTCAGTTGTGAGGGTGTATCACCGTGTATGCCACGTACAACAGTTCGCGTTTAGATCGGCGCGATCGGCGCTATGCGTTTGGCCTTGCTGAGTAAAAATAACCGCACCGTAGCCGTACTATGTAACTTTTCAACTTTCAACAGATTTTACTTTTCATTTTTTATCCTTAACACCTTTGTCGCAAAATTGGGAGGTGCCCAATACCATAAGTCTGAAGATGCACTATTTTACCGTTGCTAAATTTTGTTTTACATTCTGAGCAAGTCACTGCTCCAACTCTACCGCAATACTCGTCAAAAAAGCACATCTCTCAGCCTGTTCCGACGGTATATCCTCCATCCTCGTAGAGTTCGTCTCAAATAAAATCCTCCTGGATCCGTCAAACGGTTCCCATTCTGGCGTTCCATTCGCACGATGAGTGTTCGGGTCGAAAGTTCGTATGAAACTTGTCCAAAACCCTTGCATTATTGGAACGATACCGGCATTAGTCGTGAAATAACTCGCAGGTGGCGTGCCAGTAGTGCTATTCAAGCCCCATATTGCAGGTACCTCGACGGTATGTGGGACGCCTAGTCCTGCTGCAATCTGGTCTGGGTCCTCGACGTTGTAGCTACAAGGATGTGTTTAGCATAAGATGAGAAATTCAAATTAACGCGTCGTAACTCACTGATACAGCCAATTGGGTGATGGTTGCCTGAATTTCCGAATTTCTCCGCTGATGAAGATTCCGGGGCAGTTGTATCTCATCTCTCCATACGGCAGCGATGCAATGAAGAAAAATGCACCGTGGTTCGGAGCCTGCACTGTGTTTGGATACAGTTCGTGTATGGTCTCGAGTGAACTGGCGTTCAGTTTGGGAAAGTTATCAAGCAGGAAGTTGTCCATGTCCAAGGACGTGTTGAGATTGCTTGGCGTGAATATCGTTCCTAAAACAATCAGGATGAATCATTTAGACGTATGTTCCGATGGGTAGTCGCTCACCTTCATTAGTATCGTCGCTGAGAGAAGTTAGCTTTTCACTGCAAGAACAGAAGGACATTACTACTCACCCAAACACGGAAGGTACCTTGACGAACTTTCCTTGCGCAAACAAACTGAACGGGAAGTCGGGAATAAAGCTTCCATCACGGATCGCATTATACAAAAAGTTCGGCGGGTTAATACGACCAGGGAAAGGTATCGCAATGTTGTTCTCCTGCAAGATACTTATATCCAGGGCTCTCAAGCACGCAAGTGAGTCGGTCGAGTTCGCACATCCCACGCGTGAAGAGAGCGCATCGTATTGGAACTGAGCTTCTGACACGTTAAAAACGGGCGGGAAGGACTGGGATTCGCCAATGACACCGTGGAAAAGATCCGTTGGTGCACCACCGAAAGCTGTAAGGTGGAGTGTAATGGACTCGGCACCCGCACTATCGCCTCCAAGAACGACATGGTCTGGATTACCACCGAACTAATAGGAGCTTATTAGTAAGTCTTGTATAATGCAAGGCAAGAAAAACGTTATACCTCGGAAATGTGATCGTGTACCCACTGGAGCGCCTTCCGCTGATCGAGCAATCCAACATTAATATCACCATCACTTTGTACCTCCTTACTCGCGAGGAACCCGTACGGGCCAACACGATAATTGTGTGTCACAATGACCATACCCATGTCCGCCGCTTGAATCAACTGTGACCCATTATAGTTCGCATTCGAAAGTGCATTCAACCCGCCTCCTTGAATCCAGAAGAATACAGGTAATTTCGAGTCTGATGATGCACTTGAAGGAGCGAAGACGTCTAAGAAAAGACAGTCCTCCGAATGACCGCTCTCAGGGAACGATGCTCCTGTACTAAAGCAAATGGGACCATGCTTAACGGAAAGGAAAACAATTCTATGTTAGTTGAAGGGCTTAGGAAGACAGACAAGCCACATGCACATTACCTCATCCGCTACTTGAACTGTATCATTCACAGGTGGATCCTGAGGTGCACGGAAACGCAGGTCACCGAGTGGAGGTGCGGCGAAACGAATCCCGAGCCATTGTGTTATGCCACTTGAGAGTGCTGTACCAAGGTATTTCGTATTCCCGACATCGACCAAGGGGTCAACAGCGTGCACAAAATCGAGTCCTAAGCTTACTACAGCTGTAGTGAGCGTTGCTGTCACCAAGCGCATAGTGTGTTTCTATTTGACGCGATCGAAAGACAGAGAGAACCCTGGAGCCGGGGACCGTCGCTAGCAATGCCTCCAGTCGTACGAAGTCAATGCATGCTTTTATAGAGGGCATCGTAGGCCCGTCAATACTTTCGTCGCCCATCTTGCCGGTGCCCCGTATGGGATTCGCTCACGCGCCACCACAACGCCTAATCATGGCAGGATTTACTCAGTCCGAAGACCCATCATTTGATCAGCAGACCACATCCCGTCTTCGGAGCGCGCGTGTTCTCATGTCATCCTGTGCTAGAATCCTCACGGAGTCTGACCGTGCTGCCAATATGCAATATGTTCAGTATCATGCCATTAGTCAACAAATTCTAGCTCTGTTACCTGGAACCCGGGATAGATGTTTTTTACTTGTGGTGTAAACAGCAGTACTGATGAGGCAAGTGTTGGTGATAGGAAATAAAACAAGTAGGCCATCAAAGGGAGTGCGAGCGTGAATTTTGCTGACGCCAGTGATGGGAAGTTACGAGAGGCACAGTGGCATGACACAGACGAGTGAAAGTAAGTGCTTATGTAAAGGTGTAAACCCTTTTCGAAGTAGCCAGAATAATTGCATGAGGCAGTGTCATTTACAGTGCTTTGCATGCATAAGTAATGAGACTTGAGTGTCTTTGAAAAAAGAAGATACCTCAGTCCGATCCGCTCCAAAGCTGTGGGGTAACTGTACTCTGTCATGTCTTCCCACTTGATTTCAATACAATTCATTTTATTCTGTACACAACTCTCAACTTCTCCATTTGACAACACACATAAAATATATTTTAGTATAGCTAAAATGTGTAGAATTTATAAACAAAGACACTAATTGAGCAAATAAATTCTGTATATTGTTATGTCTTCTGATAGTATTGCCTAAATGAACAGTTGACAGGCTTAGCATTATGGATTTCCTTTCAGATATTTGAGAGCTGGAATTAGTACTGTTATTGTGTGCCCAAATTATCATGGTTGAGTTTATAGAGGTGTAATTGTAGGATACAAGAAAGGTTCTTCATGCACAAGAAATTTCACCAAGTTTTACAACTCACATGATATAACATGGTACATCTCAGCCGAAAAAAGTCGTGTCAGTCTCATTAGATATGCAAAGCACTATAAGTTAGTATAACCAAATCGGATCTCACTGTCAAGGACATTGAACGCATACATCAAGTTCACACCATGTAAAAACAAGTCAAAGCGAACTAATGTGAAGAATTATAAAGCTACTAATACAACTACTAGCAAACGGAAAATGTGTCAATTCAGAACAAAACAAGAATCATCCTTCAAAATGATCAGCCGTTAAGAAAGTAAAACGGTACAACAGTTCGTAAGCTAAGCACCAAGGTACATTAGCGTCATTCGAAAATCCGTAAAACATTCAACAATCATTATTTCGGGCAAAACCAAACAGTCACTTCAGAGTGTAATTGCAAGTCCGCCGAAGACGGCACCGAGCAAGCTCACAGCGCTTGCCAGGCCAGTCTGCGCGAACGGAACGTTCACGATGCCTGCGGCCGAAGAAGACGACGCTCCAGGAGCACCAGCAGACGCAGCAGTCTGAGTAAAGCCAACTGGACCAGACTCCGTTGTCGATGCCGTAGCAGCGGCGTTAGCAGAGCTGACTGCACTGCTCGCTGCGCTCGCATCACTATCTTCGTCGAAGAGAACGGTATCAATAATGTGCATGACACCATTCCACAGAATAACATCCGGCGTGGTAATCTTTCCAGTCGAGTTTCCAACTGTTACGAATCCGCCAGAGGAGTTGAAGTTTCCTCGGAGTCCCTCGCCAGCCGCGGTTGTCTCGTTTGAACTGCCGAGTCCGATGAGGTTGCCACTGTATACACTCGTGCCGTTGATGACATGATTCTTCAAAATGTTTGACAGGATTGTCGCATTGGAGCCAGCAGAGGTAAGGTTTTGTTGCACTCTCTCAAAGGCGGCGTCCGACGGAGCGAAGACGGTCACACCATGCTGTGTGTTGAGCGCGTCGAACAATGATGCAGATTGAAGTGCTGTTCTGAAAGCGGAGAGGTTATTCGCGGACACAGCCGCGTCGAAGTCGCCTGGTACGTCAATTACCGCACTTGTGACGTGCAGGGTGATGTTTCCGACAGTAGAGCTATTCACGACGACGGATGGCGTGCTAAGAATATGGAAGAAGTCAATACGTAATAACGTCAGTGCACGTGTCATTGATGGGTGATAATTTTAGAACGAACTTTTGATTAAGAATATCAACCGTTCCATTCCTGTCCGTCCATGCGAGCACCTGATGTTTGTTGCCCTCCAGGAAAACGAGGTCAGACGAGTTCAACAGGGTGCGGCCGACAGTCGTGTTGGGGAAGCTTGGAGTAACATTGAAGGTACCAGGAACAACATGGTATGACAGGACTTCCGCCAACAGCTCCGCACTCCCAGTAATATTCGGATGTGCTCCAGCCCCTTAAAAAATGATGTCACAGGTTGAATGAGATGAGAGAAGCCAAGGAAAATTGAACGAAACGCACAAGCTTCATTGTTCGGTGCAAACACAGTCAGAGGGCCGGAACTGAGTGAGGCCAATATGGTCTGACCCGTCGTCGTCGAGTTGATGGCGGTAGAGACATTAGCGAGCGACGTCAAGCCCAGATTCTGAAGCTCTTGAAGGAACTGAGTGAGGAATGTGACATTTTGGGCCGCGATAGGCGCAGCAAGGCAGGAGAGGAGAGAGAAAGTCGCGAAGGCACGCATTTTCAACGTCGACGGGAGGTAGAGGTAAAGGGTCGTGGGAGGGGGTTTGACTGGACAGAAGACTATAGCAAGCGTCTCGAAAACGAACGTAAATTAGCTCCTACTTATATGGCGGGCATACCTTCCGCACATGGGTTCATATTCGGGTCCGCATTGATGTCATTGACCCCGGTTGGCGTCATTGGGAGATCACCGAGACACACCATTCCCTTGCATAACTGTTGAGAAGCATGCCCAAGTCCATATTCAGAAACATCAATCATTGTTCGATATTGCAGTGGCGATCCTGTCGGTTATTTTTATTCCTGAAGTTGTTCTGAGCATGTCTCGTGCGAGGATGACGCAAACGAGATTTCTGGAACAGTCGTTGAAGAATTTTCGCTCATTTGTGCAAAAAGTCGGGATGATGGAGCTTAGTCCGCTTGGAAGGTACTCGTGCACCACCACGGCTGTCGGAGTTTGATGGCGCTGATCGTACCCAAACCTGGTTAGGCGCCGATCTCGGTGCCGCACGTGCTAACTCAACAAAGCTAACCAACAGACCGAGCAAAAAAAAGGCGAGACAGCAGGCAAATTGTCAGCCGCGACGTCCACTGCCACCGTTCCATTATCATTTGTGGCAGTCGCACTGCTTCCCGTCCGTCTAGATGCGTGTCTAACTTACTTTTCTTTTTTGTCTTTTGTCCGATCCGTCAGTCGATGGTCTGATCTTCTGTGAAAGTTATCCCCGCCACTGCTAGACTCGACAAGTTCCCGAAGATCAAGATGCAATGGACTCATCTTCACAAAAAGGAACAGGCCTCACACACTAATTAGAATACACTCAAGTCCAGGTCATGTTCAGTTGTCAACTTCCTTCTTTATTCGCATCGGCTCCATGATTAGCTCTGCACGACACAACCCTAGCCATTCCCATCTAGAATCCACGATTCATATTCTCTTGCCATAGACAGATGTCAATGTGGATTTGCACTACACCGCTTATGTGCTTGGTCAATTCTCGCTGAATTGTCAGCATAAAATTGACTATAGTTAATGGCAGAAGACAGTGAATCCTGACCTTGAAGCTCCTAGAGTGTTAATATGGTTCACACAAGTGTTCTTGGAGGAATTCCTACCCAGGTTCAACAATCTTTTCAATTTCTGACTGTTTGTATTTCTTGAACAAAGGAGGCATGTAAGCAGATTAGCTAGTATTGAAGGAATTGTTCATCAATAATCTTCTTTTCTAGTCTAGTAATATGCTTCAGTTTTGCGTAATGTTAAATTCTTCCAGACACTCACTCAATCTTATGTGGAGGAGACGGTACTACTTACACTTCAGGACTAATTCCAGACTCAGTCCAAAGTATCTATTATTCATTCTAACAACTCTTGATAGTGTTTTTAGTTTTCAAGGTCGCCATTCAATTACTCTGCAATTCACTGGGTTCTCTGCTGAATTAGTAAGTAGTCAACCAGGTCAGGTTCAACCTTATCTTGCTCATCAAAAGCAAGCATCTAGGTCACAAATCAACAAATGGACAAAATTATCTTACTGTTTCTTCAAACGTCAATCAAATCATGTTTCGAGTCGCTCCAAGGAGTTCTAGAGTCTAGAAAGCAGAAATGTTAATTCACTTTCTAATCCGATTGTCTGGATCGTGCTAATGTCGAAGTATGAGTTTCCACTTCTTTGACTTCTTGGTGCTGCTTCTATGCACAGTCACGGTTCTAGCATCGAGATTACTTTTCTAGCGCACGTTTGTCCCGACATTCTTGGCTTTTCCTCCGTTATCAGCCTTCTTAGATCTGAATAAGTACGTTGTTTTTCCTATGTAGGGATATTCGACGATCAACAGGTCCCCGTCTACTACAGCCTAGAGCAATTGAATATTTAAATGACTAGGATACAATACAAATTTATGTTGTTCATAAGGTAGAATTCTATCAAGCGTACACTTCTTGTGTTTGAACTGACGGGGCCGGGGGTTACTCATGATCAAGGATCTGTACGTACAACACTACTATGCAAATACTCATGTAAAGTATTTCTGGGGGACTTGTGTGAATCTCCAAGCTCCAGGTGAAGAAAATTACATTTGAACATGCTATACAAATGCTATAAACCATAATGATATACATACATACTAATCAACGAGACTTGTTTCGGCCACAAGAAAGCAACCCCGCCGTGCTTACTTCCCAACCAAACAGTTGAAAAATGGTTGACCTACATATATAGGATGATAAGAAGGAAAATATTAAGTATAATTCGACTACCTGCAAAAAAAAAGGAGAAAGTAAAGTCAAAATACACAGCCAGAATGCTCTGACCAACAAAAAGGGTATTAAAGATAAGAGGGAGAGAAACAAGGATATACTGCAGAACTGACACAACATTACGCAGGAAAGCAAGGTCCAAAAGGTGAAGAAAAGGAATAAAAAAAGGGGAAAAAATCCATCCCGAGGACATACACTACGTTGATAATGGAAAATGACGACAATCATCCCAAGAATTGCAGGCGAGTCGATCGATAACTTCGGATAAGTTAGTATACATTACACACTATACACTTTACACTATACACGAGTTGAAGAGGGAAAATGAAGCGAATTGAGTCGAATTGAAGAAAGGGATAGTCAGGTCCAATTAAACAAAACACGTTGGAGCTAAACAACAAAAAGATCATGAGTAAGGATGTTAAAAATGAAATGAGAGGAATTAAGGCGCACTAGGAGCTCCATTAGATAGCATAATGATAACAATCACCGCCCATGCTTAGCTCGTATCACCCGTTCATAGCAATCATACAATGGATTGTACTTCGCCATGGCTGTCATATGTGTCTCATGGTACGGTCGAGGTAACAACGGGTGTATACCCTCATGAGGGTCTCGTCGGTTCTCAGCCGGAAAATGCACTATCATCGGTGGCGTACTCGGACGCGACATAGGTAGCATAGTAAGCGCGCTCAAAGCCGCTGACGAAGACGAGTTTGATATCGTCGAGAGTGTACGTGTACGATCCTGCTTTCCCCGACCACCGACATACCGAGTTGACGCGGGTGCTGGGAGAGTTGCAATAGAATGTAAAGAGGATATAGAGTTCTTCCGGGACGGTACTTGATCTAAACTCGTAGCCGATGTCCCCGATGATTGGGTCATGAATGACGGTGATCCTGCGCGGCTTGTTGTCTTCGCGCTTGACGGGGACGCAGTGAGTTGGGCCTGTGCAGCCTCTGCATTCACCGTTAAGGGAGCTAATCGTGCTGGGCCTAGAGTAGATCCGCGGAAAGACTGTCCTCGAATAAGTGGATGCGGTGGCATATCCCCTCTCGATTCCCCGTGAGTCGACGAATGTCGAATCAATGGTTGTCGCCTCGGACCACTCTTTGGCCTCATCTGAGAAGGTGAAGGCGCCTCTGAGCGTACTTGCCGAATGGGTGGATCGACCGGCATCTTCTTAGCGGTCGGTGGAGGAGCGGGCTCAGGAGTCGTGGGTGTGGACTGAGGCAGCACGCGTACAACAGGAGGCTGCATCTGCATAGCTCGGGAAGATGAAGCATCCGGCCGAGAGATCTCGTTGAGTAACATGTCGTTATCGACCTCTGCACGAGGCGTTGTCACGTCCTCCACCCCATTTGCTGCTCGGTCCGCAGTGCCGTGCTGAGAATTTCCGTTGATATTCCCTGTCGACGGCCCTGCTCTTTGGCGCTCGACGGGGGTCACGCCATGCCCATCGTCATCATCGTCGACCTCAGCATTATTCTGGGGGGTCACCGCACCGCTTTCGCTGGATACCCATTCATCGTCCTCGTCTGTCTCGTCAGAACGAGCTATCGAAAACCCGCCTCTTTGATTCTGTTGCTGTTGCTTTCCTTTACTCGAAGGGGGTCCATGAGCACGTTTGTGTTGTTGAGAAGCAATGCGTTCTCTGGAAAGAACACGCTGATTTGAAGTGAGATGGTGCCCGCCTCGAGGATACGGCGATGTACGACCTTGATGTAGCTGATAGATATGAAAACATGTACAGTCAGTCATGTATTGAATTGTACCAGATATAAATGCGATAAGGATGTGTAAAGATGGACAAAGGACATACCTCCGTTGCACTGTGGCCCGCTCTCTTGAGGTTCTGTTGCTTCGGCTGAGCCGGCTCCTTCTGGGTAAGATGCAAGTTGTTCAAGCCGACTTTCGAGCTTCCGCCGGAGCTCGTACGATGGTGATGCTGTAGTCTGCCACCACTTGTGGCGCGTGTTTTGCTGTGGGTTGGCATTTGTGCTGGACGCAGCAGATAAGGAGGTTTATGACAAAGACTGAACGAGTTTGACCGGGCACCGTCAGTTCAGCCGCGCAGCGGTGTCTTCGCAGTTCTCACGCTTCTGTACCGTCGATCACTGCTCTCGGCCATTTCCGGCATAGCAAAATTCAGTGTCTGTCGTAGCTGGTTGCTCCGTTACTGCATTCAGGAGAATTCAAGAAAATAAGAAAATATGGAGAGGGTGCAGTTCCAGCAGGAGCAGGTGGGTTTCAGTTAATACATAATGAGTGTCTTGGACTGATGGCCTTCATGTGTTCAGATGCTCGCCGAGCTCAAGGATTTGGTGCAAAAAGGCCTCTTCTCACAGGTCGGTCCCATACTTCTGGACAACTTATGACAGTGAACTAAAGCAATGCATAGAATGAAATTAAACAAATCATGAAGAAACGAACAGCCTTCGAGACAGCCCTTGTGCGTCGTATTCCGAAGAAGAGTGACTTCCTACGTTACGCCGCATACGAGATGAACCTCGAAGCTCTGCGAAAGAAACGAGCAGAACGTCTCCGTATGCTTTGTCCTCAATGTGATGCTCATCTATGCAGACTGACTAATAGTAGACTCTCGCAGACGTGCCAAAAGGACCTCCCACAATTTCGGATTATGCTCTTATACGACGACAGTTCCAAGTCTTCGAACGTGCATTAAAGAAGTTTAAAGATGACCTTGGTCTATGGATCCAATACATTCAAGCAGCGCAGCGCGCAAAAGCTCGAGCACTTGTTTCACGTATCTGTGGTCGTGCTCTTCAGCTACATCCGAATTCTCCTGCACTCTACATTCTCGCGGCCTCGCACGAACTCAACCATCTCTCGCATTCTGCAGCTCGTGTACTTTTACAACGCGGTATTCGCTTAAACGGTGATAGTGTTGAGTTATGGAGGGAATATCTGAAGATGGAATTGGGATTCGTGGAATCGTTGAGACGGCGATGGGATGTGTTAGGACTGAAAGTTCAAAAGGGTAGAAGTAGCTCGGGCGAGGATGCTTCGCAAGAAGAACTTGAAGTAGACCATCTTCAAGATAACCCTACAGCGAAGAGTACTAAAAATCCATCGTCTGAGCAAGACATTGGTGACGACGAACAAGCTCGAAAAGAGATTCTTAACGGTGCTCTTGTCAGGACAGTGATATCCAGCGCCATCAAAGGTAAGAACGTTCACTCTCGTCGAATGTTACCCTTATTGAAGATGCTTTGCTAGCCATCCCAACGTCGGAGCTCTTCAACTCAACCCACTCCGTTCTCACTACCTACCCATGTCCGCCATCACTCCGTCGTTCCCTCCTAGATCACTTCTACTCTTCTCTTCACGAACAAATCCTTTCAACTACGAACATCACAAGTCCTTCAAAGACTTCAAAATCGAACCGTAAAGCATACGCACAAGCCGCAAGGCTTTACGCAAGTCGCAACTTAGAAAAACCCGATTTAGAGGGAGAAGCTATCGTCGATGCTTTGCAAATCGCGAACGAAGACCTCATGGGACGAGTAAGATTACGCAAGGACGACGAAATAGCTACCGTATACACTGAATTCACCTGCGAGTGGTTCGAAAAGGATATTGACGAACATTTGGTATGTTTTTTTGGAATGCCATTTTAAGGCCTTGTGATTGATCAATGGGCGAATAGAACTTGTACCTCGTGGCGTCGCTCCAATCCCTTTGCTTGTCAGTCCGATCATCCACACTCTACGCAACGCACCTTCACCTTCTATTCTCTCCGAAAAATCCAAATCCCATATCGTCAGCAAAAGTGCTTAAACTGGCTAGGAAATATGCAGCAAAATATCATCATTCGACATCACGCTCGGCTATTGGTATAGACGAGGATGCTGCGAATGAGTTTAATCAGAGATTGCGGGAGATTGTCGAGAGACTTGAGAAGGGAGATGATGGTATACAAGCAGCGACCGAGGACGAATCCGATTAGATTTTATTTTATTTGTATGAGTGTCCTTTCCATTCGCGTTCGTGACTGTACTAACGGAATTTTTTTAGCTTGGCTCTGTATTCACTAGATCACTACCATCAATAATTATCTCTTTTGTACCTCCTGCCGTCCCTTCAATCCCTTTCTCAATTGGATCATCCATACTCGATGTAAAGCACTTTCGTCTTCTATGCTCACTGAAAAGCGTACATCCTTTATCATCAACAAAGGCACCCAAACCGCAATTGAGTTCAATAAGAAGCTGCGAGAGATTGTTGAGAAACTTGCAAAGGGTGACGATGGTGCAGGGAGTGGGAATGAAGCCAATGCCAATGACTAGATCCTATTTCATTTGTATGGATGTCTTACTCATCCGTGTTCGTGACTGCACTAACGAATTTTTTTTAATTTTTTGAAGCTCCGCTCTGTAGTTCACTGGAATCCCGCCATCAATACAATTGTCTCTTGTCATCGTTGATGATCAATGTACCGGTGGTACTGATCATAAGTCAACCAGGTGTTTGGTTCAAACAAATTTGGACAGTTTAAGCTCTTGCTCAGCATACTTCGCATCCGTCGTGGATGTATTCTGCGGAAGCATCTTCAAGCGAGAACATCGTTGAAGCTCTTGAGGCAAAAAGAAGATCCCGCCTTGACACTGGCATTCCGCAGATCGCCGTACACGCTGTCAAGAAGATCTTTCGGTGCCAGTCGGTATGTTTATCTCGACTCGGAATGTCCCTAAAGGACTTGATTGTTCGCTTGAAGTGTTTAGGATACTCCTCCTCCTTGTCATCTCGAATGGTGAATGCGTTCAACTGAGTGGAATGAACGGATGGTGCCTGGCTCTTGAGTAGAGCTTTTCCCGAGTCACCTACATGACTGGTTTGCTTCTCGCTTGTTCTGCCTTAATCGTTGAACTCAGTTGTTCGCTTGAAATGTTTAGGACGTTCCATCCAGACTTCACGACTTGTCATTTCGCAAGATGAATATGTCCAGTGAAGTGAATTGGTAGTGCCTGGCTCTTGAGTTGAGTTTTACCCGGGCACGGAAATACCGGAACCACTGGATGACGCGATTTGTCTGCTTCGTGTCTGTCGTCTGTCTTATTCTTGTCTCTCGTGGTTTGTTCTGTCGGCCCTGTCCAAAGTATCTGATCAAAGGTGTTTCTTTTGTCACACTGATAGTGGCATGCATTGCTGTGCATCGCAAGAGCAGCGAAAGCTACGAACCTCAGTAATCGGGCCCAAATTTATGGATGATGTACTTGGGAGTAGCAACCCGACAAGTGAGTACAATGTCATAGTATCTGATCGACATCATGCGTAAATGACACTGGGAAACTATCCTACCAGACTCTCCCCAGGCCGTCCAGAACCAATGTCCTGATGACCGAATCGAGTATTATGACACTTTCCAGGTATCCGGCGATGCTGAGCGCCACGCAGCGCCGCCCGAGGCATCTGCCTGCAGTTTTCTCATTCAAATTGGTTACGGACGTCTCGCACGTTAGAAAATCAAGCTACAGTCGTACACGCATAGCTTCTTTCAGGGGGCTGATCCATCTAAAAGTCAATCGTCTCTGGACCTGGAATTGATATATTGGTATTGTCGCAATCATAGCAATACAACTTTCGACTTCGGAGTCCTTCGCGCCCGGTCAGCAGACCTCATTTCTTCGCCCTGGACTGCCTCGGATTGTGTAAGTTTTTTACTTTACTTGATTACACGGGTACTTTTAAGTAGGGAGACGGCGTTACTGACTCCGTTCTTACTGAAAAGGGATTTCTCCGCAAGGTTTCTGCGAGAGAGTTTCAGTGCAACCGGGAGCGTCCCCTTGAATGAGGAGAGTCATGGGCTGCTCGCAGCCTAAGTCCGTGCTCGTTCCTCTCATCGGTTGCGTAGTTATGCGTTCACACACGTACCCACGCATTTTCGTCTCAATACAAAACGAGTTTACGGAATATATGCTATCTGCACCTCTTCTCCCGGTGATCGCACCCGCGCTATTTCTCTACGGCTCCGAAGGCCTGAATCCCAAGCGATTTAAATTCTAGGTGTGTGTTTGATACGTTTCTTTGTACCTGATGAAGGAAATGTTCTCATGAGAGGCGGTGCAAGCAACTTTAACGGATACCAATTCATCAGGAAGTCGAAGGCTGGCCCCTATGCGTCGAATACTGAAGAACGAGGAACGCTGCGCGTCGGCTCCCATGGTGCGCCTCGGATTCGGTTAACATGCTATTGCCTCCAAATGAGGCTTTCCCATCGGCGTACCAGCTCCATACAATGATACAAGATCCATCTCCCCCATCCAACCAGTTCCACCCACCCTCTACTCTCTCACCCAATCGTATAACTTAAAATACGCATTGGAAGAACTACGTATGTGCATCTTCAATACAGTTTGCATATAGCATATACCCAGGCAGGATCAACTCTGCACGCGAATTGGCGTGTTGGAATGGCTTTGGACTGTTAATGGACTGATGCATGTCGTACTGGATGCTCGGAGTTTGGGGCCTCGACAATTCGATCACCGATTCGTTGGGAGGTTTCGGCTCTCCGCGTCTCCTTTCCTTCTTTCCTGCTCCCCTTTCTGCATTTTGCAGGTGTAGTGATGGGTTTGCTTCGGCACACCCTTGTACGAGGACAGATTCCCAAGACTATATGATTCGACGATTCACGACTCCTGAATGTCTTTAAAACGGTCGCTTCAGAGGAGCTCTAGGTTCTGCAACTGAGTACCCTTCATACATACCACATCCCAATTCCAAGACCTTTTTTTCTGTTGTATACGAACGCCAAGCTCTACTGCACTATGATAAACTGCCAGCGCATCATCTCTACCTTACTCGTCTTGCTCTTCTTAATGTCGCTGTTCGCAACTGTCAACACATTGCCGCTAGACCAAAACAAAGGCAATAATAACGGCAATGGTGGACTTTCCGGTAGTCATGGATCGAGCCAGGGCACGAAAGAGGTAAGGTACCGAGCCTTGCTCGACATTCACTATATTCTTACATTAATGCATTCTGATGACCCTGCCAGACTGGTGGCTGCGGCGGCACCAGCTCTCCGCGTTGTGACCCTAAATTGTCAAGAGGGGAGGATTAGAGCTTCCTGTAAGTAGAAATAATTCAGATGTGCTCCTTTCGTTTGGTGCTCAAAATCGTACTTTCCAAGAATTACTTGACGTTAATAATGGTCCATGCTTATGACTGCGCTGCTTTGTATCCGCCAACAAGGCAACAAAATATTGAGGCCGTTGGCGCTTCCTCACTGCATCACCGCACATATTTCCTTTTCTCATTGTTGTTTTCTGCTCTACGGACCCGTATAGACTCATCTGTTATTTTTGTTGCTGATCTGGACTTATGTATTCTCACCAGAACGATCTTCTCTTCCTGCAATGTACTTGTGTATATTGAGCCGAATCCTCATAACGTACTGTATAGTAATGCATTTCCATGATCGGGCACCGGAGTTATCTTTAAATATCATATCAGGGATTTATACTGGACGTAAGTAAGAGTTGTGAGTAAAAATTCAACGCTGCAAAACACGATCGCCGCGGATATGACAGCATAGATCACCAAATGGGATGAGGACGATCGGAGAGTATGAACTTCTTAATTTTTGGCTCGCTTTTCCGCTCCAGCTTTTGCGCTTTCCGCAAGCTCCTTCGCTTTCTTCCCCTTGTCCCTAAGAACGGCTATCACTTCTGCAGATGTTTCTTTTGCGACTTTCTGCACGTCTGCACTCTTGCCGTCGGCCAATTCATCAATTTCCTGGTTGTCCGATGACCGTTTGAAGATCTAGGGATAACAAAATAGATCAGAGTTATGCAGGCTCGCGAGCTTTGGAGACAAACCTTTTCGCGTTTGGATCGGAGAATGTCTTTAATCTCTCTCGACTTCTGTACTACAGTTCGAATACCAGACGTATAGTACCAAACGTAATCTTAAGGCGAAAGTAGTCAATAGAAATACGGCCCAATAATCTGATTTACCGACGCGCTACATTGTAACATGCACCGATAGCCAGCCCAGCAACGAGATACGGGATATAACGTTTGTATGAGGGTGGTCCAGAAGAAGAGGACGTAGATTGAAAGCGCTGGATGGACCCGGCTGGCCGGCGTGCAATGATACGTCTCGTTGCAAGCACGTTAGAACGAGCAATTATGGATCTTGGGAGCATATTGTGTTAACTGAGCTGTGAGTTTGCTTCTGAACAAGTTGAGAGTGAACTGAGGGGCGAGGACGATGAAGCGTGCGTCTATATGAAGGGACAAAAGCCTGTGGCCTCATTATTGTAATAATAGTACTGAATAAAGGCCCAAGCCGCCGATACGCGTCATGACGAGTCGAAGATCCCGAGCTTCACATGACCGTAGAAGCGTGGAACATAGAGGCCTTTGCGGCTAGGAGGACAAAGCGTGTCAAATCCATGTATTCCTGAGTATAACTCCAGAACGAAAGAGCATGCGAAGATGCGGTGCCGGTGAGACTGAGAGAGCCACGAAAAGTGAGAAGCAGTGTTAATAAGCGTAAAAAGTCATAAGAAGCAATCATAACTAGTATCAGATACCGAGCTTACGGAGTACTTTTAGTAACTTTAGTTGATCGTTCATGAGCTAGTCGACAGGTTGGACAGGCACAAAAGAGGTGTGGCAGACAGTTCAAAGCCTGAATTTCGACATCTACTATTTCCTCTTACATAATGAATTCTAAATTCTGACAACTTTGGGGTATTGGCACTACGCATCTACGGTTATACCAGCTCTTCATACTATGACCTTAATCAGGGAGAGGGATGGATTTCGTGGACATCACTAATATACATTCCGTTCGGTAGTCTTAATTACTTATTGGTGTCAAACGTGTTCTGTGTGTATGTCTGTGCTATCACGTATCTCCTCTGTAACATTATACATACCTTTTCCTATAGTCGCCCTCCCCTTACATATAGACCTGCCCGACATTTAACTTTGTTGATCTAGTTTTATGCGTTGTCTCTCCTGCAAGGTACTCGTGCACAACGAAGCGATTCCTCACATTGTATAATGTGGTAATGCGTTTCGTGTACACATACCATTGTTCTCGACTTGCAGTCAATTAAGATGAGTGGGGGTTTATTTCGGTCGCCAGCCAGGATTGTAGGTAAAAGTACATTTCTGCAAAGCACGATCGTCTCGGGCATAACGCCATAAACCACCAGAACGAGACGAAGACGATTAGAGAAGATGAACTAGGACTGTCGATTTTGTCCTCGTTCTTCTGCATCAGCTTTCGCGCGTTCTGCGAGTTCCTTCATTTTCTTGCGGTTCTCCTCGAGCACAGCCATAATTTCCGTAAAAGTCTCTTTTACAATCTCCCGGAACTCGCCTTGGTGGCCCTAAGGATAACAATGTGGATTAGAATTATGCAGTTTCGCAAGTTTCAAAAAGACAACATTATCGCATATAGACTGCAGATCGTCCTTAAACTCTCTCAACTTCTGTATTGTTCTCCAACGTCTCTTGACAGACCAAACGCGACCTTACAGTGAAAATAGTCAATAAAAGTCTGTCCCAATAATTCGATTTACCAACATGCAAAGGTAAAAAATGCCCTGACCGAGAAATCACTGGTGTATGAAGATGGTTCGGGTGACCAGGACGTAGATGGAAAGTGTACGATGGACTCGGCTGGTCGGTGAGCAATAATACGTCTCGTCGCAGGCACATTAGATCGATCGATTACAGACTTTGGGGGCATTGTGCTTCAACTGAGCTGCGAGTTTGCCTCTAGGTGGGTTGAGGGTGAGGAGGGGAGCGAGGACAACAAGGTATGCATCTATATCAAGGAACAAAAGCTTCTAGTTCCATTAATTTTGTTTCAAGGGCCAATTCGCCGATACGAGTCATGAGAAGTTCTCGAGCCTCACATGATAGGAGAAGTGTCGAAAATAGAGGCCTTCTGTTGCTAAGGGGAAGTGCATGGAAGCCATGTATTCCTGACTAGAACTCCAGCACAAGAGATCCAGGCGGGAGCACACGAGGATGCACTGAGCCACAAAAGGCAACAAGCGGCGCAAAAGGTCGTTAAAAGTAATCATAATCAACATTAGTTCATGAGTCAAGCAGAGTACTTGTGATTGTACAGTCATGAGCACGAGTTCGGCGTGTTGCGCCGTTTCAAGACAGGGCACGAAAGTCTTGTGGTAGAAAGTTCAAAACCCTTGCTCAACGGAGTCGACAATCACTATTTTCTTACATAATGCTCTCGATCTACACATTCTAACCTAAATCAGGAAGGGGTAGGATTGAGCCTCCGTAAGCGAAAGTCCTTCCTTCCTGTCCAGCATTAATAAATTTATTTATTTAATGCCGAACGCGTTCTGTGTGAGCACGCTGCCGCGTATCCGGTAATAAGCCAACGAAATATCGATGTCGCGTGCGCTTCCTTGTCATGCTCTTATCTACGTACCATGCATGTAGTGATTAGTCTTGTCTGCTGTTTATCGTTGTTAATCCGATTTTATGCATTCTCACTGGGCCCATCTGTTTTCTTGCAATGTACTTGCTTGTGAATTAATACGATTCCAGTAAACTGCAGTATAGTAATACATTTTCGCGATCGCGTACCAGGGTTGCCTGTAAATATCATGCGGGAAATTTATTGCGGACGCAAACAGGACTTATGGGTAAAAATACGTTTCTATAAAGCACGATTATCGCGAATATGGCACCAAGAATACCAGAATGAGTTGAGGGCGATCGGACAATATATACTGGACCCGTTAATTTTTGGCCTGCTTTTCGGCCTCAACCTTCGTGCGTTGTGTCAGTTCCTTTGCTTTCTTGCCCTTTTCCTCAAGCACGGCCATCACATCTGTTAGAGTCTCCTTTGCAAGGTTCTGCGCCTCTTCACTCTGGTCCTCTGCCAATTTGATGATTTCTTGACTATTTGGTGCCTTCTTTATAATCTACGAATGGTAATGTGGATCAGAATTTTGCCAGTCCACTGCAGAAAGATAAAATACAGACTTCATCTACACCTGGAATATTCTTGAAAAGTGCGCCGACACTTTCAAATTTATCCAATATTCCGGTTCCATCAGACGATTCAACACGTTTACGGATGGAGGAAGCTTTATCCTGAATGTGGTCCCGTATTTTCTTGATTGCTTCCTCGTCAGGTTTACCCCTCGAAATTATTTCTTTGACCTGTTCGGGGTAATAACGTTGATAATAAATCTAGACATAGAGATAATAACAAATACCTGTTTCTGCACTTCATCCAGTGCTTTCCTCCCTTCAGGGCCTGCCTTTTCCGCTAAACTTTGCAACTGCTCGTACCCGCTTCCCAGTTTCTCCTTAACCATAGGACTCTTGTCCAGGATGTCGCCACCCACTTTCTTACCGAGCTCTTGCATTCTACGCACAGCATTCCCGACGATCTCAGCTACCTTTGCTGCAGTTGCAGTGTCTGCACGTCCTTGATTCGCAACTTTCGATAACTCGTCCGTCGTTTCCTTCAATATCGAGTCCATTTCGCCAGAATGTGCACCATACAGGTCGTCTAGCTCATCAAATGTCGTATCAATATATCCAGATGCTCCGGGAATGAAATTCGAATAGGATTTTGCGATGCCACGCAAATGGGATAGTGCCTGGCTTGGATTCTTTGCAGTTTCGCGAGCTTTAGAGACAACATTGTCGCGCGTGGTCTGGAGATAGCTCTTAATATCCTTAGAGGTCTGCAATGCTGTCTTAAGACCAGAGGTATGGTACCAGACATAACCTAACGACGAAAACAAATCAACAAGAGCATAAGTGAACCTTGCTTCATTTCACTAACCTGCTAGAGCAACAGTGGCACCGCCAGCTACACCGGCCGCGGCATGTGAGGCATTATATGCAGACGAAGACGCTCCGGAAGACGAGGACGTTGACTGAAAGCGCACAGTGGATCCCGCTGGTCGACGTGTAACGATTCGTCTAGTTACGAGACCATTAGAACGAGCAATAGCGGATCTTGGAAGCATAGCGTGCTAACTGAGATACAGATTTGCCGTGAAGCGGATTGAGGCGGGAATAAAGAGCAAGGACGACAAAATGTACATTTTTATAGGGGGAAAAGTCTAAGCCAGTGACCTCATTGATTCAAGCGGTCGAAGTGCGCAACGCGTCATGGCAGGTTGTGGGTGCGGAGCGTCACATGATCAGAGAAGCATGAAGGGGAGCTTCATGTACTTAGACAACAAAGCATCAAAACCGTGTAGTATATTCCTGAGTGAGAAGAGCTCCGACATAAAAATTAAGGTGGAAGCACATGAGTCAAAAGGCAAAGCGTGAATTACGAGCGGTGGTTGGCGACATAAGCCGGAGTTGTGGAAGTCGTGGACGTCGTGGACAGCAATCATAAGCTGATTCATAACAAGCATGAAATTATGAACTATATAGAGTACTTTTGCTTGAGCCATCATGAGCACTAAGTCGGAAGGTTGCTCCATTCTTCCAGAGGAATTGCCTCTCTTAGCTCGGGTATATAGACGCTCATCGGCTGCATCATCGTTTGAAGCGCAGATAACGCGGTATGGATAGTCTTTTGCAGACTCCACAAGCTGACTGTCTTAACTCGACGGTTGAAGTTTGCTTGTGTAACGTGGTAGGCGAGTGCCTCGTAGACCTAGTGAAGTAAAGTTGGTTATGTGATAAAAGTAAAAGTCTAAACAATTCGCAAACCTTCAAAGAAATCTCGTCCATCAACCCAGCTGCGTAGATATGGTTTAATTAAATAAATCAGCATGGGAAGTCAGGGATGTGCTTACTTTCCCACATCTAGAATGGAAATAAATATTAGTCGCAGTAATGGCACCAAAGTCGAATGTAAACTTACCGTCCAAGCACCATCAAATTTGTCCAGTTCCGTCACCACTCGGCATCGAATGGGCACCAAGGTCTTGTTTGCACTGAGATTCGCATTAGAACTTACCCACTCAGAATGGAACAATGAACGGTATCCACTTACTTTATGAACGCAACAATAGGCCGTATCAGTGCGTTGTTCACATACGAAAGGTCCCGCGTGAAAATAGGCACCGATGCTTTCACGTCCCTAAACCTCAGGTCAATATCAACCGTAACCACGCGCGGCGCAGCAGCCCTCTCGACTACAATGTCTTTTGAGTCATCGGGCACAGAAATGGCCGGTTTCGCAAGCTCGCGTTGACCAGGGATGCGGTCCACAAATCGAGCTGCTTGCGTCGAGGCGGCAGTAGTGATCGCCTCCGCGAGCTCGCCAAGCAGGGCGTTGAAGTCCGTTTCTTCAGGATGAGGGAAACGTATGTCGAGCACGGCGTCAAATTTTCCCGATGTTATCCATGCAATGGGCCCTTCCATGGATGTAGCGCGTTGAAGATGGTCGATGTTAACTCCATCTATCCGGAATCGAGCCTTTGGAAAACAATTAGTGACTTCATTCAAACTCTTTGACACTGCTAACAAACCATGCGAGCCCAATGGCCATCTTTCATCTCCTGCTCCATCGTTCTTCCAATACTCTGCGGCTTGTGAAGACTGAATAAACAGTTATCGAACTGGCCAACTACATTCTCAGCAGATAGAAAATCATAGAATAACCAGCGTTTTCTGAATTGTTTGATATCCGCACGGAATATTGAAACTGTGAACGGGCGGAATGCCTCGGGCTGGTATACCGTAATGAGAAGATCTTCTATTTGCAGCGACTTGAGTTCAAAATCCCCAGGCCGAGACGGATGCCGAAAATCTGCCGGATCCAAGGGCTTGTCTGGATCATAGTGGACGTACCGACGGTCTAACATACAGCAATTTCGGTCAGATATTGAAATTTGCATTTATTCCAGTGACTTACCGAGAATACCACGAACACCCTTGACCACAGCATCCTCTACGAGTCCTTTCCCATCTAGCCAGCGCCATAATGATAGCGTCACGTCAATCGAATCTACGTTCAGGTCGAAAACAGCGTAATCAACTTCTTCTTCAGCCTGAGGAAAAGAATCGTTATGGTCATCCTCAAGTCCATGACTCGCAGGATGATTGCCGATATCATATCGAGCAGCGGCCTTATGTGCTGCGTTTGGATCAGCAGGTGGTATTCCACCTAATGAGGGTGGACGGCGTGATATATAGACATTTTTGAAAGCAATTCGCGAGTCCTTCCATTTTGGCACGATCGCAGATTCGAAAATAATAGTGACCCCAGTCTCTGACGTCAGATAATCGCTAATTGCTCGCGCAACATACTCTAATGGAAAAATAAACATTAGGTTAAAAGAAAAATGCAGTCAGGTACGGACCTTGCAGGCGCAAACTGTTCAGAGTCGCGAATATTACAGAGGCAAATGTAGTACTAATTGGGATAGCGTAAGTTTCCTGGCAAACAGTCCAAAGACAAGTTGGGAACTTACGTGCCAATGAAAATCCAAACAGCTTGGCTGAAGACAAACCAAGAGACGAAGGCAGAGATATCATCTGCGTTGAACTTTCGGAATGACTTGATTGTAAACCACTTAAAGCGAATCCTCAACCGCTGCCAGAAACCTGTCGCGACTTTCAACAGATCGTCTCGCGTTGGTCGCTGCATAGGTGGTAACGACATGACCAGTCGGCGGAAGAAACGAGAATAGTTTTCGAGCTGATGGTATCTACTTTGCTCTTCGACCTTTGGCGATGTCTCCTGCGTAATTCGACTCGGCTCCTTTCCGACATCTTTCCCTCCAACTCCCGGTGAATTATGCCTACTCCCAGATTGTTTTTCTTCCCAAAGTCGAGAAGATACATGATAATTACGTGTATCTAGTCGGTTTCGCACGAGGTAGTAGTTATTATCTGCCCTCAGAGTGCAAGGTCCGAAATAACGTCGTTCTAGTGCTAAATGTCTTGACGCATTTGTCGTATAATGTTGCTGCTGAATGAAGAAACTCCTAATGGCTTTGTAACGGTCCAAGCTAGCGACATCTGCCAGACTACGAGACGTAGAAGTCAGAAGCTGGAGTCTGCTTGGGCCGCTGAGGCATCTTGTAGTTTGCATGCAGTAACTGGGAGGAGGACAGTACTTTGCGGCGGTATTACTATGAGGACTGGACAAATGTCCTCGGCTTTACACGCGTGTTTCTGGTCGGCAAATCACGTGCATGTAAAACGCAACATTTGGTCTAGGGACTGGCGTGGTAAGGCTCTACCGCGGTACCGCACTGCGGTAGAGTATTCTCACGGTTACCACACCGTGGTAAATGTTCCCACGGTAACCGCAAGTTCTGCAGTAAATGCAAAAATCATCGGAATTCTGCGGAGCTAGCCTTAAGTAGCATTATATTCTCACAATCATAGGATAATCTCACACTAATTTGCGTGACCAGTCACATTAGTCACATTTTGTGACTACAGTCAGTTGTCCTCTGAGCACCTGATTCTTTGTAAGTCAACTTGTGTGGTTACTGTGGTTACTGTGGTTACCGTGGGAATTTCTACCGTGGTAAACCTGAACCGCGGTTCTTGGCACAGTTTACCGTGGCGGTTACCATGCCAGTCCCTAATTTGGTCCAAGTATATTTATAATTTCCGCGTCTGTTTTGATGACCTGGACCTGTGAATAAGATTAGCATGATGTTACCTATAAGTTTTGCTGCAGCGTAAAACAACTATAGATATCAGGGATATGCAGTCATTATAATTCCAAGTTGTCTTGTGAGGACCAAAAAACCATCTTTCGTGATGAGTGATTTGTCCCGAACGCGTTGTTGAGAACAGCATTTCTCTCTTAATCCTATTTGAAATAAAATAGAGCCTATGAAATAAAAGTCATTCTGCATTAGGCAGAGTCCTGTAGAGAATGTTGGCCAAGAAGTAGCTTTATATTACTTGTATGCCCCAATACAGGGCCTTGCTTGCGTCACTGTGCGGCTTTACTCCTCATTTCTGCCTGTCTGGCTCGGCATGCGCAAAAAGAGTTCGTCAAGAGCATACAGCCAAGTACATAATCCAGATATTATCCCCTCATTGTGTGATTACTACACAGATAGGACAGTCTTTCATAGCATCACCAGAACAGAAAATGTGCATGAGCTGATCCATCTTGCAAAGACAAGATCTTCTGGTGGCAAATTTCGATAGATTTACTTTTATCAAGAAGTTTTTGGAGCTAACACAAAATGCAGCGTATTGCATCAACTTTTGCGTTTAAAAAGATAATGCGCGACACCCCACCTATCAACGGGTCAGCATTTCAAGGAGAACGAGGTGTCAGAACCACTCACTCTTCGCCGTCATTAAATCCAAATAGCTCCGAGCATGCCATGTAGAACAGTCTAAATCTATTAAAAATGTTAACCAGTCTCCGAAAGGGATGTAACATATTCCTTATGATTAAAAAATAAATTTACCTGTGGAACGCCTTCCTTCCCTCAGCTGGGTCTAGACCCTTCGCCTTGGCATCCTGTTCCAATTCCGCAATTCCTGACTTCGCGTTCGCATCTTGAAGGCGTAACCAAGCCTCAAGGCTTCTTGAATAGTGTTTGCCGTTGAGGAACCAGTTACGAACTAGTGTCACATCTGATTGGAAATACAACTGTACGTAGAAGTAATCAGCTCCGATGCCTTGAGTTGTCTGCAACGAGTAGGCATACGAGAAGATCGCTAGACATCATCGTGCCACCCGAAAAGAACGTCTGTGCCATCCAGCCGTCATCCTCTTCGAAATGATAAGGATTGGTTTTATGGCAGAAATAATGCACGAAAAGAAGTGATTCGTCATCCTCGGCGCCGTTAGTATTGTTATCTTTGATGTCTGAATCAAGTTTCGAAGGAGCCTTCGGACGCATCCATCTGGATATTTTTTGCAGTAATTCCTTGTAATTTTTCATGTGTTCGAACATCTGCAGAAGGAATTCGTTAGAAGTTCATGTTCACCATTATTGATCGATAATACCTCGATAGAAAGAATACGGTCAAAACTGGATAGTAGCATTATAGATGCAATTAGCCTACACTTCGCAAATCAAAGAATTTGGGGTCACTCACGTTCTGCCATCCGTAAAGTCGAATGTGTTGACATCTGCTGTAATGATCTGGAAAATAAATCAGCATGTAAACCTCGGAACTACGGGAGAGTTCCGACGCACCTCTACGTTTTCAAGCCCTTTCTCTTTTGCGATCCCGAGGATATGCTCTCTTTGTGTGTTGGAATTAGATAAGCCAACAATTCGTGAGCTGGGGTATCTCTGTACGCAAAGTTACTATTTTTCCACCGAGTATATACATGGACTTACCTCTGCGAGATATAGAGTCAAGCTTCCCCATCCTAAGTCACGGTCAGTTTCGGGTACGAAATATTTCATTCGTAACTACTCACCACATCCAAGATCCAGAACATCTTGTCCATCTTTCAATCGAGCCTTATCACTATAGCTTGCTAGTATCAACTCTTCTGCTTCCGCCAGAGATTCTTTCCCGGTAGGATAAAGACAAGAAGAATATTTTGCTCGAGGTCCGAGGCACGACAGAATAAACTTCGTGGAGACTTCGTAGTGTTGTGCATTTGCTCGGTCCGTCTGCTCTGCGATGGCAGGTCTTTTACAAAGGTCTTCAACAAAAGCTTGTTTCGCTGCTTGGTTGGCTGAGAATGACCCATGGTCTATCATGCGCAAACGGTGTCGAAGTAAGGTTTGGATGGCGATCCGTAACAGAAAATCCGGAATCAAGCCCTGTAGAAATCATCATCGGAACTTAACCCTACTGGTATGAACGATAAGCAGGAGACTCACTCTATCGACAGCATCATATGCAGCTCGCTCAAGCAGTTTAGACATGACGGTCCTTGGTGAATCTGTTGCGCCACGCGCATGCTGAGGTCCGTCCCGTCCGTGTTCATAGCGACGATCTCGAAGGTGTCGCCGTCAGTGTGTCGGTCGCGATCTGACACGGTGACAGAAACCGATTCTCACACGCAAGCCCTTCCCTTCCTTGGACTCACAACAATGCCTGTCGTAGCACGCCTGCTCCCGTTCATTCCTCAGATAACAAAACATAAAAAGAGTTCATCCAGAGGCAAAGGGTACGGCCGATTAATCAGCATAAATCTCTGGCATCAATACAAGAACTCCACGATCCGCAAAAGGTTTTGTGATATGATCGGTCACACAGGAAACGCAAGGATAAGCATTCTTTGGACGTAAGAAGCCGTACAACTATACAGAACATGGCGGTAACGCCGTGAGTTCTGGTAGGTTCGAACTCTAGTTGAGCAGAAAAATGTAGTAAAGTAGTTGTGCTTCGCCAATATGATAGAAAACACGGTTCTGGAAGGACATGTGTGAACCACGTGACCGTAAAATTGACCACTATAAAAATTTCCGTTCTTGAACTCATGGGATGAAGACTCTGCCTCTCTGGCTCTTCTTCTGACTGACGTGGACAACCCAGGCTCTACTGTCCCCATGTACACTGGCACCACTACACATTATTGATTCGATTTCTCCTCATTTCTCTCCCTGACTGCAACAGGTGGGAAATAAATCTCCCACTATGCAGCCTTCCAAGTCCGAGATCTTGTTGGCATTGGTAGCCCTGCAATTTAGACTACTGCGGTATAGCTCGCGCATTTAGCGGCGTTATTCAAGGAGTCTTTGCAAGGTTATTCAATGACGAACAAGTTTGAGACATCTATTCCGCGCGCGTACTGTGGGGCTTGTGGTGGCTTTGCATTGGTGTCGGTTTTATCTGACCAGTTTGCACGACTTCTACCAGTGGACGACCAGGCAAGCGTGGTCCAACCACTGGCAAGGACTCCATGGCAGAGTGCAGAGCATTTTACATATCTCAGTCGATCATAGCAGTCTGTCTTGCATATTTCTGTCAGTCGGCTGGGATTGGTGGCATATTGTTGTCCGAACGATGGATCAGCTGTTTGCTATCTGAACCAATTTTGCGTCTGAGCACTGGGATTTTTATTATCAGGGCGTTAGCAGAGATATCAGAAGTGCTGACGCGTTCCACATGCTTTATTCATAGCTACGCCCTTTTCTTCAATTTTGTAGTACCTTAGCCGGATTCCAGTATTTTCTCACTGAATTTGCCAAGTACAATCATAACAATGTGTATGTATCACTTCGGACGAAATGTTGGAAGGCTAATAATGTGTGATTATGAATGAAGAAAGGACAAGCCATGTATCACTCCTAGGAAATAACAATGTATGTAGTAAGGCTGGATAAGAAAGGATAGTCCGATCGGCATCCGGCTGCTTTTTATAGCCTGAATAGCCGGAACTACTACATTACACAACAAATTCGTTCACTGCACCAACCGCGGTCCTCTTTAACTAGTACGTTCATCTCTAGCTCAGTGTCACAATAATCTTGGCTACTCATCATCGGCGATAAACAGAGACACCCGGTATCGCAGTTGTCGAGCATGTTATCGTTGTCCCGTGTCCCAAAGCATTCCCTGGTCGCCTCCGTTCGGCGGTTCGGACGCGTGCTCGTATCACCTGCTGCTCTCTCCCAAAGCGCGATTCGTTCCTTCTCTCATCGATCAACACTCTTGACTCATCCTTCGCCTAACCTTCCAAAGTATCTCGGAACGCGCGCGATGTCGAGCACAGCTGAGAGCGCCGAGCGCCCCTCCCCAGACAAGGTCCTGGTCGACATCGCCGACTACATCCATAATCACAAGGATTTCTCCCCGCTGTCAGTCGAAACCGCGCGTCTATGCTTGATTGACACCATTGGCTGTGGGCTGGAGGCGCTTCGATTCGAGCATTGTAGGAGGTTGCTTGGGCCAGTTGTAGAGGGCACGGTTGTCCCCAACGGTCAGCATCCAAGAAATCCAATTATAGCATGAGTAAAACCTAATGTAGATATGATGGAATTTCAGGCACGAAGGTTCCCGGAACAAACTACCAGCTCGACCCAATTCGCGGTGCTTTCAACATCGGTACTGCTATTCGATGGCTCGACTTCAATGATTGTTTCCTCGCTGCCGAATGTATGTCGTTCACCAGCATAATCATCGCGGCAACGAAATCTAACTAGAATTTATTTCTTAAGGGGGTCATCCATCCGACAACCTCGGTGCAATCCTTGCCGTCGCAGACTACCTAACCCGCTCGGGCAAAGCCCAACTAACAGTGCTCGATCTCCTTCACGGTATGATCCAAGCACACGAGATCCAAGGCTGCATCGCCCTTCTCAACTCCTTCAACCGCGTCGGATTGGACCACGTCGTCCTCGTCAAAGTCGCTTCCGCAGCAGTCATCTCTCGTCTTCTCGGTCTCTCTCACCAACAGACCATCGACGTCGTGAGCCAAGCATGGGTAGACGGTCAATCCCTCCGTACATACCGTCACGCCCCAAACACCGGTTCGCGTAAATCATGGGCTGCAGGAGATGCTTGTGCACGTGCCGTACACCTCGCTTTGCTCGTCCAGCGTGGTGAAATGGGTCTTCCTTCCGTTCTTTCGGCGCGCACCTGGGGATTCTACGACGTCCTCTTCAAGGGCAACCAATTCGACTTCCAGATGCCCTACGGGAACTATATAATGGAGAACGTACTATTCAAGATTTCGTACCCTGCCGAGTTCCACGCGCAGACCGCTGTTGAAGCGGCACTTACTCTGCATGCGCAATTGAAAGCACGTGGAAAGAGTACAGACGATATTAAGAATGTGCAGATCCGAACTCAGGAAGCTGCTATGCGGATTATCAACAAGAAGGGCAAGCTGCACAATTTCGCGGATAGGGAGTACGTGAAGTCTTCCGGTCATTATTGTACTCCGCAGTATTGAACTTCCCTTTAGTCACGACATCAACTACATGGTTGCCTACCCTCTTATCTTCGGCGAGCTAACCACCGAATCCTAGTACGTCCATTCATCCTCATCAACCCCCGATCTAATTCATCTCGTTTACTATCGTAATACAGCTCCGACGAAGCAGCGGCAGACCCACGTATCGACGCCCTACGCGCAAAGACACACTGCGTCCAAGACAAACAATTCAGTATAGACTACCATGATCCCGAAAAGCGCTCCATCGGGAACGCCATCACCATCACGCTCAACGATGGTACCGTCCTCGACGAAGTCGCCATCGAATACCCAATCGGCCATAAGCGTCGTCGTTCAGAGGGTACACCCCTCCTGATGCGCAAGTTTGAGCGTCATGTCGGTCATCATTTCGATGAGACGCGTAAGAAAAAGTACGGGCCATTTTTTCTCCTATTCCAGTCAAACGGAACTGATATACTCGGAACAGAATCTTGGAGACAGTCTCAGATGCGGAAAGCTTTTTCAAACTACCTGTTGACAAGTTCACCGACTTGTTCGTGAAGGCGTAAAGGATCAAAACTGTGTCGGGGAGCCTCCATGATTGATTATGCTCTATGGATTGCAAAAGGCTGTGTATGGACCATGATCGTAAAGTACCGCAATTAGAACTCGTAACGAAGACGAGCGAATGTAACAGGTGGGAATAACGAAGCAATGCAGTTTCTTTTCACAAGTTCATGACCAGAGGTATCGCAGGAGGAATTGAAAATGCGTGAAAACGGCAAGAGGCCCAAGTATGAGAAGTTTCGTTGAAACAGAAGAACGAAAGACAGGAGAGAGAGCTAAACCTTTTGGATCGATCGCACTATTGAAGAGAAGTATTAGGTAGCAGAAAAGGGGACGGAAAGCAACTGTAAAGAAAGGCATCTCGTGAAGGCGCGCGGCATTACGACAAAAATTCAAACAATTCAGGTAAACAACTCTGAAGCTCATTCCTTACGACGGACCTTCCGGGGCCCCGAACCATTCCTAGCAGATTCACCATCGCGGTTCTTTCGGTAATTGATCCTTATTTTCTTCCTCGAAGTCGAAGCTGAAGTATCGGGTCTATGAATATTCTCGTTATTCGAAGCCATTTTGCGGCCATTAGACTTTGATGGAGTCGCCTTTCTCCTACATGCAGTCTCTGGTGGCAAGCTTATTCTGACCTGTCGCTTTTCCTGCTTGGCGGGTTCGGCTCCCCCAAACTTTGTGAACGACCGTACCGGTGAGGGCCTGGGATTATCAGCACCGTCTTCAACGGAAGCCGGTGCAGGAGAGTGAAGTCCTGCGAAATCATAGTCTTGCTTGCTTGCGCGTCCCGAGACCGAGACCAGGGCAGATGTAGGACTTTTTGGCGATGACGGCGCTTCTGTATCCGTATTGGTAAAGCTTGTCTCCTCTGGCACTGGTGCAAGTTTCCTATCGATTAAACGAGAAAGCGGAATAGAACGTCGATGTCGCTTTCCTGCTAAAACATCTCCGCGACCTGCGCGGTCTTCAGGACCATCCTGGGGTATTAGAGATGGTTTCACAGCGGCAGTGTCTATCTGTACAGAATGCGGTCCGCGCCATGCTATTGGAAAACCATTGTTCTTCTGGGAAGTTGGTATCGCTGGTGAAGCAACAGGGTTCGGAATAACAACGGGCTGAGTTTGACTCGACACATGACGGGCAACTAGATCTTGCAGACTGATCGGCATGGTTGGCTTGGATGGTGCTGGTTGATTGAGTATCGCAAGGTAAGATGGAGGATCCGGGACCTGCTGCTCATGTACGGGACGTTCGACAAAAATACAATTATGATTCATGATAGCCTCTTCGCTGACTTGCTGCTGAAGAATGAGACGTCTGAGCTGATCAGATAGTTCATCAAGACTTTCTGCTGGAGCACGTAAGTTCAAACCGTATTGCTGAGAGGCAGGCTTTCGATGAACGGTCGTATGGTACGTCTTTCCGATGTCACCTAACGTATTGTCGAGTAAAGGGGAAGGGCCAGCGCACCAAAGAGGAGAAGTGGAACTTGGAGGCGTTGGTAGAGTATGCTGCGGGATGGAACGCTTTCCATGAGGACCGCAAATCATTTCAGGACTTGCGCCAAAAATCATCCTTGATGCTGCTATAGAATTTTCCACGCAGTTATCAACCTCAGACTGTTCAGATATGTCGAGATGACCACTCATCGGGAACGTTACGGCCTGGCAAGCCAAGTCCATGTTACCATTGTTTCCGCTGCGCTCCCGAAGAATTGCACGTAACAGCTCCTCGGATGTCTCGATGTTCTGCAGATAAGCGAGGGGATGGGGAGAGCCCAGATCATAGAGGTATCGCTCAGCATCGTTATAAGGGTCGAGGATGACGTGTCTGTTGGGCAGATCCATCGCGAGATGAGTATTTGCCGAACGCTCGGGAGCAAGCGATTGGCGGATATTTGAATGTACATGTTCGCGTTGTTGACCAAGGACTCGCTTTCTGGAGGTCAAGCGATCATGTTTGTTCACGGACTCTACGGAAGGGTCTTTACAGTGTTCGGAGTGATCCTCGAATTCGATCTCCACGCCAGTCTCAGATAGGAGCAGGGGAGCAGACATCTGATCGTGGGCGGATTGCCCATCATTACGGGTGCATGGTGCAGATGGCTGATACTCATCGTGGGATGCACCCGGGTGTACGCGATGTGCTGAGGTAATGTTATCTGCTCGGCCATTACTAGACTGAGTGCGCTCTTTAGGAATACTTGTCATAGAATCTTTCAAGCCCCAGATTAAACCCGGAACGGTCGATGGTTCTTCAATTATGGTACCCTCTGCTCCGCTGTGAAGGAATGAGCCAAGCCAACATATAGTAAAAGATGCGCTTACGAAGGACACCGGGCGTAAGGGAGGGAAGCAGGACCGTGTAAAGCAGGGATCGGACGAGGCGGCGAGTTGGACCAGGTAAGCCAGTCTTTACAACGGAAAAAGCTCATGATTAGATGATTAGACAGGAACTCAAGTTCAACAGGTGGTACCTTTATCCACCACTTTCAAATTGTTCGTTGGCTGCCCTTGGGCCCGAAGGAAGGCCTCGGAGAAATGAAAACTGCTGTCTATAATTTCAATAGAATCCGGTGTCGATGGCACAGACGGAGTTCGAAGCGGTTCTATTGTTGACGAGAAATTCTGAGAGAAAGAGTAGTCTTCTTCATACGAGACAGAAGGGGAGATATGCACAGGTGACTCCTCGTGCTTCATTTCCACTTGAGGGAAGTGCTGAATAATAGCAGGCATAGAGACACTTCTTGAGCAAGCGAGCGAGTTGGAAAGACGTTCTGAGAGAGTATCTGCACCGCGATTCGCAGGAAGCGAGATCACCCGACGTTGTGCCTGAGCTGCAAGAGAAGGATTAAGCGGTTTGCTTGGTAGGTTGAGTGGCAGTTGTGTCTTCATGCGATTGATGGGAGTCCTCGGGTATACACGACGTTCAACAGAATCAGGACAGTTTCCAGGAGTTGTTTCGTCGACGTAGGTTACGCGCTTGAGTTTGATAGGGATTGGGGTCATCTTTGCGGTGCTCAGATGGTGCACTCGGGTGGCAATAGATTTTGGGGACGTTTGTACAGATGCATCAGCATATTGCCTGACACAGTATGTGTCCATGGTTCCCAAGAGCCACTCTCTCAAGAATTCTGACGAACCCTTCGGCTATACGTAGAGCGACGCTGCACGAAGGTAGGTGTTCGGAACAACTTCAAAAGATGTATTTCACGCGTTCACCGTGTCAACTTTGTCACTCGGTTCCCACGCACGTGATCGTTCCACTCTCAAGAAAAGGCACGTGATTAGTAAAATTGTTCTAAGTTTAAAGTTACCGCCAAACTGCATTGTAACAGGGATTATGTGTAGGTCCAGTGCCTATAGCGCTTGCACATTCACGAATCTCTCGACTCGCAAAACCACTTGCAAAGAATCCAGTCCTGTGTGTCAAGCAGCCAAATTATCACCTCGTCCACAAGAACAGCTCCATTTTGTAAGTAAGATATATAAAATTAATAAATCGTACTACAGGACACATGTACAGCGGACACGACCTCACGATTTCTTTTGAAAGAAAGACGACAGCTTTGACATGCCGTTGATATTAGCTTTCTTTAATTTCGCGATTCCGGTAGATTCCCGTCCTCCGGCTTTACGTTTCTTTCCATTCTGACTTTCGTTGATCTGTGCTTTCTGTGCAGCACTGTTTGTGGTCGATGTCTCATGTACAGCATCTGCCTCCCTCAGGGCAGTAATATGGGCGGTAAGCGCAGAGAAACTAGTTGATCTTGAGTGCTTGCGTCAGAAGCAGCAAATGTAAGGGCTTACTCGAATCTCTTCAACAGTTCTTGGTAAATATCTGGTGCGAGATACTGGGAAATTAGATCGCACGCAAGCTTTATTCGTCCAGCTGGACACAGAAGTCAGCACTATTCTAATAGTGTCGGAAACTCGAACATACATCGTAGAAGGTCTTCCTTCCCATCTTCCATCAAGCCATCCTTTGCCAGTTCACGTTCAAGGGTACGCAACTTTCCAAGCAAATTCCCTTCTGCAAGGCGCGTAGCTTTTTTCTCCAAGTAGCCCAGTAATTTCGAATGGGAATATCGGAACACGACAAGATCAGACGCGACATCTACAATACAAAGGGGGAAAAAATCATAAGCAGTTTAGGGGCAAGCTCATACTCCCAAGACCAACCTTTCGTGTCGCATATTCGACGCATCGCATCATGAATGCATGCAAAACGGGACAGCTCCAAAATGTCACCTGGAACTAACTCGATCGGAGCGTCCGAACTAGTATCACCCTCTTTCCCTAGCTTTACCGACGCATCTTCAAATATGTCGTCTAACGTGCGAAAGTTGCCTAAAGACCCGTCTTGCTAAGTACAATCAACATGAGAAATGTACAATAGTGCCGTCATCGGAGACATACTGGAGAAACAGCCCTTAGGAATGGAACCAGGAGAAAAACAGGATCAAGCGGTGTCATCAACAAGAGGCTTCCATCTACCAAAAGTCAGCTTTCATTTGCGTCGCATGCACTGAGAATAACTCGCCTGATAGGACTTCGCCATCATGAAACCAGCTCCTACGCGCAGTCGGAGCCACATTCTGGAGTTCGAGAATCGACGACTGGCTGTTGGCAGTCTCAAAGGGTAAAAAGAGCGATAAAATACCTATAACCAGCCTGTTAGTTATCTTTCTAAAGAAACAGATGAGGAATTGCACTCACCCGTCCGAGGATGGGGGAGGCGTAACAGTTCCAGCTGTGGTCGGATCTGCTCATCTATTTGCACGCACAACACGTCGAGAACGGCTTTACGATTTTGAATTTCAGTTTTTAGAGAGTTATTGGCGTAAGGGGCGTCACGTACCTTCTGGTAAAACGCTGATATGAGTGGGCATTTCGATGTGCTAGTTTGTCGCTGGAGGAAAGCAGACACGCGACGCGCTAATATTTACGCGTTGTTTGTTACATCATGTGATTTTCTAATCTGAAAAGAAAGGATGTGCCGTTTTACAAAGTATTGAGAACCGGATTAGTCTCATATTTAATCTAACGAAGCGAGTGTGTTGGGAAAGGGGGAAGGAAGGACAATGTAGACTCTACAATTTTTGTCAAGGGAAGAGAGCAATAAGTGAGAGCTACAAAAAATATGTCTGACTCACCCTGGAATCGAACCAGGAACCTTCTGTGTAGACTTCACAATTGAACAATGTTAGACAGAAATCATAACCGCTAGACCAGTGAGTCCACTTTTCCATAGCGAATTGCTAGTATGTTAACATCAAGCTCAAATGTGTTCATCCAAACGATTCTCAGTCAATGCTTCACAATGGAATCTGTGCGAAATGCAGCTACTCTAAATCATAATATATCGAGCAAATGGAAGTTTTGTAGAATGTTGTGTAATTTATTTTTGTGTAGTTGGCAAGCAAGCATGTCCAAGGCGGCGATCACGAAATTTCTCCTCTGAATTGCTCATGCCTTGGAGACGCCCCTCACTCATCCTTGCCTCTCACCTTTCTTACCCTTTAGCTCCACCGCCCTACACAGGACGGAACACGCTCTAGGCAAAATTTGATTCAAGGACTGTCCCGAGATCTTAAAAATATGACTGGAGCAACTCTACCATTGTCGATCCGCACAAACGGCAATGAAATCGAGATCGTAAACCAGCTCTTACTACCACACGTTGTCGAGTATGTGAAGATAAATTCCATCAAGGAAGCGCACGATGCCATCAAGACTATGAAGGTACATGTCCATCATTCCTCTATAGAATCTACCTGAGCAAAGTATCGAAACAGATTCGAGGTGCTCCCGCAATCGCCTCTCTCGCAGTACTCTCCTTCGCGTCCACCCTCTCCAAAGTACTCGGTATGACGGTACCACCTCCATATCTATCGTCCCCACAAGCTCTGCAAGAGTGCGTTGAACCAAAACTCGACTTCCTCCTTACTGCACGGCCAACAGCAGTTAACCTCGGTGCAGCGATCCGACGGCTCCGCCGTGTGCTATCCGATGGTGTAAAATCTGGAACGGATGCGCGTACGATTGCAGAAGCACTTGTCCGTGAGGCACGAGCCATTGCAGACGAGGACCTGGGAAGGAACAAGGAGATGAGTAAGCATGGTGCAGAGTGGCTTGTTGAGGTGAGGAAGGCGAAGGGGGAGGATGCAAGTGCGCTGAATTTGCTAACGGTATGCAATACGGGGTCGTTGGCTACTTCTGTAAGTTCCTTTTGAGCCTTATCCCGCTATTGTAGCTGACTATATGCGCATACACTCAAGGGATATGGGACTGCTCTCGGACTCATTACCCATCTATTCGAAACCGGGAGATTGGGAACGGCGTACTTCACCCAGACTGCACCATATCATCAAGGCTCTCGGTTGGTCTTAATTATTCCTATTTAATGTATTAACCTCATGTTTTACATTGCTAGCCTGACTGCTTATGAACTACAAGCCTTACAAGCACCTCACGTCATGATCTGTGATACCATGATTGGTTCATTATTCCAGAACCGTAAGATCCATGCAGTCGGTAGGCATTCTCCATTTACTCTCAGGTCCAGTTGCTATTTATACTGCTTGTTCTAGTCGTTGGCGCCGATCGTATCGCTAAGAACGGAGACACTGCAAACAAAGTGTGTTGCTCTCATACACGAAACTTTCTTGATTCTGATGCAATCACTAATGTAGGTAGGGACTTACAACGCCGCTGTGCTAGCCGCACGACACAAGATCCCATTCATCGTAGTCGCACCGATCAGTACAGTTGACCTCGACATTTCCGACGGATCCCAGTAAGCTCAGATCTCACCTCACTTCACCTACCGCGTTTTCAATATATATCGCACGACAGAATCCCAATTGAACAACGTCCATGGCTCGAAGCCTGTCTCGTACGTGGGGCTATCTATCCAACTCCCGAGACAGGTAAAGCGGAGCAAGCTGTAGTGATGCTTACGCCCCCCGGCCTTGAGGAGAAGAACGTATACAATCCGAGTTTTGACGTCACTCCTGCAGAACTCATTAGTGCAATCGTCACTGAGAAGGGCGTTGCAGTACGTCAGGAAAATGGCGCGTTTGACTTGAGTTTGGTTGTATAGATTCTACAGTATTTAATCTCTTGTTTTGGATAGACAATAGATAAATGACGACATGAGAATATGTCGTAAAAACATATATGATTAATATGAGGTAGAAAGTCACCTGATTGACTGTTCTGCAGTATGAATCGAGTGCGAAGCAGTTGGACAGATGGATCGGAACTCGAACAGCTTGTGTCAGAAGCATCATGCAAATTATAATACATACATATCAATGAATGGACTAATGGGTCATTCATACAGGCGGCACCAAAAGATCGGACTTACGTAAGGTACACGAAAGTTAAACTCAACAAGCAGTGTGACGCACGTGATCAAACCCTAACTTCCTTTCCTGGCTCACAGACTGGCAACGAAACTCATCCCACTACAAAGCAAAAATCAATAATGTAAGACCACAGAAATGTAGCAGATACAATTCTCTACATTTCTGTGGAACGGATTTTCAAAATTACGAAAAATGGAAAAGTTATAACAATCTCAACTTTTTCAATACTAAACAGCTTATTTTCTATTTTGCTTTCATTTGGTGAAGTAAAAGAAAAAATTGAATTTTTCTCGAGTAGATTTTGGCCGCTGACAAATAATATAGTATGACTAATTATACTAAATATAGTATATTACAAATAAAATTACTAATCATTTATTTATAATACAAATAGGACGTGTTAGTGCTCAAAGCCTACTACTGAAATTTAGCTTCAGAACTTGAATAGAGCAATCTTATAAGGCTCAAATCCTATGAATATATGTAATCTCTGTCACTTCTGAGCCTTTGTCCACAAGGGGCCTCTGGTGATGTTGGTGAAGCTCACGATTTTGGCCGCAGGGTCCTTCTATATCGGGTAAGCGAAGGTTGTGACTGTGACGTGACATGGCTTGTCGAATTTAACTTTCGTGTACCTTAGAAAGACAGTTATCTTCCTTAGAAGGTGTTAAAATTATTTTCATGAAAGTTATTAGAGTATATTGGCAACGCACATTTTGACGCTCAAATTTTGATGAACCTCCACTCAAACTTTAACAATTCTTAACCGAGGATGTTTATATAATTGATGGGTAGCCTAACAAGGCTACCGATAGAAAACTTTATTCCTTCGCTTAAATCTCTGTTGCTACAGTCAAGTAACAAACGTGTTGTGTCACAAATATGTAACATAATACTTTTGTACTGTCTGTTAACGTACTTTGCATCTAGTAAATTACTCATGAATCCTCATCTCTCAAATACTCTTGCTTTTCCTCAATTGCTCTCAAGCCCAGGTCATAAGCCTTCAAAAAATATGGTGTCTGAACATATTCTTACTTCTCCTGCTCCTTCACCACTAGTCCTAGCACTCAAGTCACGTACAGTCAGTCGGATGTACATCAAATTAGTTGCTAAGGGACACCTTAGCGAGTACTTATATAATACGTTCAAACTTTAATAAGCACAGCTTTTTTTTTTTGTGATATGGGCCAATGCGCGTTGCCAATATACTCTATTGCCTCAAATGCGTATAGGTTGTGTCCGAGACAACTTGGACAGGGCAAGTCGATCATCGACGCTGGTTACGGTGATCGCTTGGCATTCGGTGATCTGCCTTTCGTGGATCGAAGCCATGGCTTCGGAAGCGCCCTATGCACTTCGTATCGCGTCGACATTTGTGTGGACGGAAAGTGCAGCGTAGGTCCATGATGACCGGCTAGGGACTTTACATGGCTTGAAGTCTCCGTCCGGTGAGGCACTAAACGATTCCGCCGCAGGGCAAGATCCATTCAATGCCCGCTTTTGAAGGGAATGATGAGGTCATCGACGGGATATCGGAACCGGCGATACGCTGACAATTCGGAAAGGGAAAAACTCGATAACATCTCAGCATCGCCCCGCTCAGTAATATGCGCGTGCTGCCAAGCCAAGACGACAAGGGACGTGCGGCATCATCGCGTCCGCCCCTTCCCGCGAACTTCTCTTTCTTCCTTGTCTTCTCGTCTTCTACATGCACGGCATTCTGCCTCTCTAACTCCTCAAGCGAGCTCGGCATTTTAGCTTAGCTGCTGTTTCCTGCCTCTGGGATCCTTTGCAGTTGCCCTTTGTGTCGTCCCCATCCTGTTTCTCTGCCAGCTGGCGAGCCTTTAGGATGCCCTTGTCTGCCTCGCGCAGCGTGAACCACACGCTACACGTATTCTCTTTACGATTTAAACGTGTAAACCTCCCTCTACTTGTTGCATTCTTTAGGTGAGCAAAACACGCTCTCCCTTTTGTCCGCAGGTGCTGACCGGCTTAACCACTCGTCATGTCCAATGCATCCCAAATTTTCCAACATATGAATTCATATCAATCCAGTGCATTGTACATATTCCTCCGAGCACTTAGTGGTGCAGGCTACACCGAACCTCACCATCTCGTACCACTGGGCTCAGCCTCATCCGACCTCGCATATAACCAAACATACCACGCAAATGACCATCCGTTACATGTACCAGTCCACTCTGGGTTCGCGGAACACTGGGCACGATTTAAAGAGTCTGTCCTTGCCTGTCCAGATGACACCGTCGACGCTACTGTGCCAACCAACCATGATCCAAACGAATTAAAATTGGACGAAGGCATCACGAACACGAACATAGATAGTGTCGAAGCAAAATCTCGAACAAACACTCGATACGGCGTAGGGTGCCTTAAGGAACGTCTAAGCAACGCGATAAACCTACGCAGTCCTACTGGCAAACTCGGTTCGACAATAAAGAAAGAAGACCGTGCGTTCGGCATATCATTTGATGGACTTCCTTCCCAACGAAGAGGGGCCTGAATCTGACTTACGGGGTTGTTCGACGTGCGCTACCGTTACTAGTGAATGGAGCTCTGGTCCGCTGATTGATGCATTCTTTGTTATCTTGTGCTGCATTTGTCCACTGGAGCTGGTACGTCACTTGCCTCCGTGCATGTGAAATACTACGTACATCACCCCCTTCCTCTAACCCCTTTCTTAAACTTACCCGCAACTCTTTGATACCGAAATCAATGTATCCACCTCTCACAATTTTTACTCATAACGAAGTGCACTCCTCCTCCTTACGGTCTTGCGTTTTTCCTTTATTTTTATACTGCGGTTCTTTCGTGATCTTTATCTTGCTAAACTAATCCAATATGTAGAACGTGGGACAACTATTCATCCAATAAAAGTATGCCTGTATCCAATTTAACACTGATGTATTTTGTGCATCCTGAAAAACAAAATCACAAACCACAAATAGAAATACAAAGCATCTCTATCATCAGTTATAGTCGCTATACCTTTCCACACACTGTTCCGGGAAATTTGAAACTATTGTCTTGACTATATTTCGAGTGGAAACGCTAAGTCTGTATAGTATCTTTTCAAGATTCTGTAGATTGTCAGACAGAGGTAGGCTTAGCTCAATATCACTGATAGGATTTGAGTACTGCTATAGTTAAGAAACCCACAAACAATCAGTAAACCCCTTTTTAAAAAGAATAGTCAGAAAGAAGACAAGCCCCAAGGAATTTAAAAAAGAATAAGTCCTGCATGTCACATGCCTTTTTATAATGACACCTTAGGTGACTTGACCTAGAGGACTGAACTATTCCACAACGAAATTTCTGTTGCATTTCAGTGAGTGAAGACTTGCTGCTAAGCTGTTGGTACCTACAGCGACAGAAGTACTAGGTTGCCAGACACACAAAACTTGTGCAAGGTAGGTCTACTTTCAGAATCGTAAACGCAAATTCCAATCGCAATAGGCAGAACAACTTTAAGCCATCTCACCGGGCTTGCAAGTTGATAACGAACGTGAAGATGTGTGGGCAAACTGCTTATCTACCACTTCCCCATTCGACTTGCTGTAAAGCAGCGCATAGTCCGTTTGGCGATTGTCTCTATTTCTAATTCAGTATAGCCCAAAGACTCAGTGTAAGTAACGCCTTGTTTCGCACTATCGTTTCCAGTGCGAAGGAATTAGGGTAGTAACAAAGTAAATATAGTCTATCATAACAAATCCATCATGGGAGCCACCGAAACATCTAAGAGACGTGCCTGAGCACTAGCGAGAAGATAACACTAAGTGAATACGCGATACAATGCGAAAGAACTGAGTATATGTCTACTTGAACCACCCGGACTGTAATTACAACAACTGCCTTCGAGAAAGCGAGCCACGTTTCTCAGATAATCAAGGTAATCATTGGAGAATCCGCGTCTGTTACTGTGGACGTGACGGTTGTGGTTGCTTCGACCGACGAGGTCGCGCTGATTGGCGTAAATGTGGATGTGACTGTATCAGTCACCGATGACGACTTCGTACTGGCTGCGGCAAGGAACAGATTCGCAGTTACAGAAATGGAGCCATCCTCGAGGTCTTCTTCGATGTTTCTGACAAGAGGCTTGAAGAAAAATCCAGGTGTTTCAGTTGACTCTATAGACGAACTAGTGGTCCCAGCGGAACCAGGGACAACTGTCGTCGTCGTCGACACGGAGTCTGTCGCTGAATCCGAGCCCGAGTAGTGGCCTGCTACACCTCCAAAACTTACAAGGTTGAATTCGGCACCGTCACGAGCATGGTGTACAATCATGTTTGTCGGGAGGGACGTCGAAGACGTGAAGCTGGTCGTCGTCGCAGTTACTACAACCGTATCAGTGGCAGTAGTAGTCGACGGCTCGATCGTAACGTCCGTTGTACTAATAGTAGTAGTCGATGGCTCGATCGTAACGTCCGTTGTACTAGTAGAAGCGGTATCTGTCGGCGTGGAACCCGCAGCTCCAGTAGGCACAGCCGGAACCGCCAACTGTAAGTGAGTAATCAGTACGAGTATGCGTTACTTGTCATACCTGACGAGACTCACGAGTGCAGTCAAAGCCAATACTGGATCTAGCTGCCTTGCGAGGTGTACACCAGACTGGATAGAACATATAAGTAGATATTCGGGTGGCACAACCGCATTCAGACACCTACAGCGCAGCGCGGTCCATTGCATGCGTGCTTGGGCAAGACCTGATCAGAACGCCTGAGCCCGGGAATAGTAGAATCATCAACGGGGGCTAAGGTGAGGGCGGCAGAAAGCACAGGAGTACCAGCACCGAGGAGGGCAAAGACGAAGGCGGCAACGACGTAGGAACGCATGATGGATCGTATGCTAGGGAAGGTAGTAGAGTGTGGGATTGCCAAAGGAGTGTGTGGTCTAGAGGGAGTGTGAGAGTCGCAAGGGAGAGGGACGGGGAAGATAGTGAGAGGCGCGAAAGGAACGACTGAGGAAACATGAGCTAGAGGGAAGGGTTATATAGCCCTTTGATAAGTGCCAGCCTCGTATCGAACAACACCACACTGGAAATGGAAATCTACAGGGCTAACTAACAGTGCCACCTGGACTCACCGTGGATCGTCGCGCGTCACTCATTGGCTCATCCGGAGAAACTCTCTGCAAACTCCGGTGCATAACATAGTTAGTGTTGTATATACATCCGCATGTGAATTCTTCCGTCCTCTAGTGCCAGGAGTTGAGAAAAAATATGAGATATTGGCATGGGCATAAATTAGTAGCAATGCAGGTGTCGCAAATGAACGGATGTGAGTGGAAACAAAATAAAAGAAATCCGCGGTGAATAGATGAGAAATCACTACGGCTGGCAATCCGACAAATTTGAGGACTTGGAAAAAAGGAGGAGAGGGCAAGGGTCCAAAATTCTCTAGAAGATCGCCGAAAGAGCGTTGTCTGCTGTACAGAATGTGAAAGATCAAGCATATGCCTTGCTTGTCTGCCAGCCGCTGTCAAAACCGAATCCGTTTGCATTTGGTGGTGCTGAAGATCGCATGGGAGCCTTTCCCTTGCTGCTTGTGGCGCTCGGTCAGAAAGCTGGAATTAAGGCACGAGGACCGGAGAAACTTACTCTTTCCGCAGTTGATTCATGTAATCGGGATAAGGGATCTCTCCGTTTCCATTTTGCGGCTGCAGCCCATTCGCCGGTGGCACAGAGTCAAATTCAAGGCCCGTATAAGGGTTATCTTGCGTCGGAGTCGACGCCTCAGGAGCAGCTGCAGCCGATAACCGGCCAGGATGATTCACTCGTGTTGCCTCAATTATCTTGCGATCTGCTTCGCGAGTGTAGCTTTCCGCCATTGCGGCGTATCTCTTCACCTGCCAAGCAAGTTGTTTCGCTCGTGAAGTGTCACCCTGGGCGATAGCCCATTTCTTTTCTTCCTTGCATCTCCGGCGGTCTGCTTCGGCGGATGCAGCTTTCTTGCGCAAATTTGCAAGTTCGAGATCGAGGAGCCGGCCCAATCCAGTATAACCCATCTGCTCCATGGTCCAGGTTGTTGATGTCGTTTCGGTAATAAGTGTAGGAGGTATCGCAGCAGTATGTTCGGTACGTGGTGAGACAGAGCGCGCACGTGAAATAAAGGTCCGACGCGGTTGGATACGTTCCAGAGAGCGAGAACGGACAGAAGGAGAGGGCGAACGCTCGCGCTCTCTCGCATTAATTTCGCGAAGACGAGCGCGCATGTGTTCCTTCCGTGCTTCCCTTGCCAATTCTCGGTCACGACGTCGGGAGTGTCGCCGATCGTTTGATAGGTCTTCATCAAGCTCTACACCGTTCCACTCCTCCGCAGCTTGAGATAACAGATGGGTCAGGGAAAATCCTACTACAGCGGCGATCCCAGCAACTCCAAGTGCTTGAATGTCTGCTGGTCCGTCCGAAAAATAGGCAGCCATGGCAGCTCGTGCCGCGCACGCGAACGCAAGTGCAGGAGCAAAATCAGGATGGTCCGAGGCAACATATTGCAGAAGAACTCCCTGAAAGGCTCCTTGGACAGCAGAGTCAATCAGCTCATCGTTGGACGAGGGAGCGGTAAGCGGAGGGTTGAGTAGCGTGAAAGCAATACGCGCACCTAGCGCGCAGAGAAGCGGTAATGTAACGGTCAAGGGCATGAGATTCGTAACGTAACCATAAAGCAGTAATCAGGATAACAAGAGAGATAGTCAAGTGAACACGCAGATATGAGTATGAAGGAAAACAGATGTCTGAGTATCCAAACAAACAGAAAGTCTAGTTGTACAAGCATCACGTGCACAGAGTCCACGAAGCGTGACAACTTTACCGTCACAGCATTCTCATCACGCATTAAGTAATACACATTGTCAGTCAGTCAAGGTATTCCACTTAGAGTACGAGTGGAAACTCCCTAGTTTCCCACAGTGAGGATTACCACAGAGGTTTCCCACGAGGTAAACCTCACTACCACAAGGGTTGCCGGAAATTGGCCTGTGGAAAACTCAAATGTATTAGTCATACATAATATTATGTCAGTAGATAAATTAAGAAAAAATGCCTCAACCTGACGAAAAGCAAGGAAAATAGATAGTTTGAGAGTGCATATACTCTATGTCTGTCATTTTATTAGGTTAACATCTCCTATTTTGCTTGACATTCTTTCAGATACTCCTTCATTTGAAGGAGTACACTCTAATAAAACTGGAGAGGTACAAGTGATAGATATGGACAATATTTCCAGTACCTCTTCAGACAATTTACAAATTTTGAACAATAATAAAGCCTGGTCAATGTAATTAGTTGCCTCTTTCTTTTTATTTCTCTTAGATATATCTATTTATTATGTATGTTTCAACACTGGTAGACTATAAAACACAATAAAATTGCTCTCAGCAGTATAACCAATGTCTGAAATTAATATTGTACCTAAATTTTCAGCTCAACAGAGGTAAACGACATAAAATTCTTTAAAATTTCCTTTTTGGAACATTATAATGATATTACTAACATGCTGACTAAGTGTTGTCCACGCGAGGTTTACCACGCCTCCAGAGCCCCAGCAAAATGACCTGTGGAAAACTAGTTTCCCACAGGCTCTCGGGAGTTTCCACTCGTACTCTAATTCCACTGTTCTCTCAGTTACCGCCATGGCTTCCTCATCCGCCGTCGGCAAAGTCTCGCGTGAGGAGTTTAGGCGTCAAAAGGATCTTGATGCAGCGCGAAAAGCGGGTACAGCGCCTGCAGAGCTTGATGCGGAGGGCCGTGCGATCAACCCACATATTCCTCGTATGTGTTTCTCGTGTCTTTATTATTGAACTAGCAAATTCTCATTATCGAATACAGAGTATATCTCGCAAGCCCCTTGGTACCTTGACACAGGAAAACCTTCATTAGATCACCAGCGGAAATCTGAGGCACCTGTAACTTCTGATATCGACAAATGGTATGATCGAGGCAAGAAGGGACCGACAGCTACGAAGTACCGTAAAGGTGCATGTGAGAACTGCGGCGCCATGACGCACAAGAAACAAGATTGTCTTGAACGACCTCGAAAGAAGGGTGCAAAATATACTGGAAAAGACATTGCACCTGATGAAATCCTCCAGGAGGTGGCTGAAGGCTTCGATGCTAAGCGTGACCGCTGGAATGGATATGACGTCTCGCAGCATCGCAAGATCTATGATGAGTACGCTGCTGTTGAGGCTGCCCGACAAAAGATCCGCGAGCAGGAGATTGACTCACAGACGACGACTGATCTTGCTGCAGTGCGCAAGGTAGCCAAAGCGGGTAAAGGCGAGGGCGAGGGCGCAGATCCGGACTTCGGTTCAAGCGACGAAGAAGATGATGACGAAGAAAAGTATGCGGATGCAGCAGATGCTGTTGGCCAGAAGCTCGACACAAAGACGCGAATCACCGTGCGCAACCTGCGTATCCGGGAGGACACCGCGAAGTATCTCGTTAACCTTGATCCAGACAGCGCTTACTACGATCCGAAGACTCGTTCAATGCGTGACGCTCCTCGAAAAGATGTTCCTGTTGAAGAGGCAAAGTTTGCCGGAGACAACTTCCTTCGATACTCAGGCGATGCACCCGAAGTGCAAAAGCTACAGCTCTTCGCTTGGCAAAGCGCTGCCCGCGGCAACGACGTTCATCTCAACGCGAACCCAACACACGGTGAGATCTTGCACAAGCAGTTCCGCGAGAAAAAGGAAGAACTCCGCGACACTCAGAAAGTCGGTATTCTCGCTAAGTACGGTGGAGAACAGTACCTTGAGAAAGCTCCGAAAGAGCTTCTCCAGGGCCAGACTGAAGAGTATGTGGAGTACTCGCGTACTGGGCAAGTCATCAAGGGACGCGAGCGCGTGAAAATCCGGTCCAAGTATGCAGAGGATGTCTACATCAATAATCATACTGCTGTCTGGGGATCCTGGTATGACATATCGACAGGGCAGTGGGGCTATGCATGTTGTCATTCTACGATACATGTGTCATACTGCGCTGGTCGTGCGGCTATTGAAGCGGCACAGGCCACCAGCGCACAGGCAATGCTCAATTCTGCCCCTCCCTCATCATCTGCTGCCTCGTCCTTGCCAGCCAAATCCCTTGTTGAATCACACCAGAAACGTCTTGAAACGAATGGCAAAGGGAAGGGTAAGGAGCGCGCCCCTGAGAATGAAAACGGAAAGTTTGGCGTAGGTAAACGGACGCTCGGCGAAGGCGATGTGCAACTCGACGAAGCTCGATTAGCGGAGGCCATCGCCGAGGAACGCAAGCGTAAACTACGCGGTGATGATGACATGGACGATGACGACCGTGGGCGAAAAAAGAAATATAACAGTGCGCTCTCAACTGGTAAGGGCGATAGCACGGAAGTTACAGAAGAGGAACTTGGTATGTATACACCTTTGCACTTCTTATTTTCGCTGACGGATGCTAATTGGCATATTTACAGAGGCGTACAGGAGAAACCGAATGGCTGGTGCGGAAGATCCAATGTTCAGCTACAAAGACCGAGAAGGAGACTATGAATATGTCTAGCTTTCCGTGAAAATCGCTCGTACTTGTGTATTTATCTTGCATTACATTTTTCTGCTTCGTCTCACCAGTATACTTCCTCCATGTCTTCCACATATATCTGCATTATTCTGTAATTGTATGCGTCTAAAATTGTCCTCATATGCAAAGGCACTGCAACGGTCTTTTGAGATGCGCAGCTTGAATTTCCGAGGCTATATGCTCCTCCAGAAGAGTGCATATGCCCGGAATGCTCCTGCTAGGCAGTAAGGGATTATCTGCTCTGTTTCGGACTGACAGGAGGGTCATGCCACCTCACACCGAAGCTTAAGTGGTCATCAATAGCCATACTTCTGCCTGTTCATCTTCCGCATTCTGCATCTCACTTCTGTGGACAAATTAGCTTCTTCATGTCATAATTAAACGATGGAAGCAGACATGTCCTAGGAGGACGAGACAAGCGAAACGCTGTATTATGATTGTCGTTCGTTGCTTGTTTCCTTCCGGGTTCCGACGCTGCGGACAAATTTAAGATGGCCAGTGACTCGGCCAAGAACACGAAAGAGATTGTTCTGTCCGAGATTATGGTTCATGATGATCATTTAATTTCCCACCTTGTTTTTGTCGCCTTTGCGACGTGTTACGGTCCTATTTATCAGGCTGCGCATGGACTCATCTTATGCATCCTGAACCCTATGCTCCGTCTTGCATCAAGTCTAGCCCTGATCTGATCAAGAATTTCCACCTGGATGAAAAGTTACAAGACAGAAGAATATCTAAACGCCCCTGTATTGTGCATGTTACAGTGAGATTCCATCAGAGTTGCCAGCAGCGGTGCGTCGCGATGAGCGGGGCAATCCGAATCCGTCAGTTAGGGTAGATACAAACTCTGAGGAGATAACTACAACTTAAATGCGGATCCCGGGTATGTGGATAATCTCAGACAGGTTAAATGGAGTGATTGGTTTGAATTGTTTAGTTCATTCAAAAGGTTCTTCAGTGTTCCTGTAAACGCAAAGGCGCTGTTTCAAAAGATTTTTAATAAGTCGATTGAAACAAAATCTAATTATGACAAGAAAAGCTTGCCAGAATCTCTACCGAATGATCTCCAATTCGGACAGTTGCTAATATCGTTGATTTGACATGACTGAGTGTTAGTCTCAGAAGGAATGCCTGATCTGCAGCTTAGCTGTAAGGACAGCCAGCATGAAGACATAGTGCAGTTTGTAGTGGTCTCGGTGCGAGTGATAACCGACATTAGCCGACTCCTTTAATCTACTTTACCGAGTTGATCAGCGAAGGACTGTGGAGAAGAGGGACATGTGTATTTCGGAATCACAAAGAATGGAGAGGATGTGCAATTACATTATTCCACCCTTAAAACACTGCTGCGAATGCACGCCTGAAGAGGTATACATATTCCGATTGAAAATGAAGGTGGGATACGGAGACAAATGGCATACTCCGTAGCAACATTTGGCGGTCTTTTTACAGGCTGAAACATGTGAACATGAGTGTACCGCACGAAACGGACCTCCTGGGCTAGATATGACCAGTACCGGAAGTAAAGAAGATTAGTTTTATCGGCTATTCATTCAGACGTTGTTGCCGTCATTGAACCTCATATTGGAGTATCCTATTTACGCGGATCTACTATCTGTAATACAAGACCTTCACAGTTTCCCTTACGTCCTGCGAAGTCGCGCCACAAAGGCAAAGTCATTTCCGGTCCGATGCGAGGTCTCGTTGTATGCTTGAGTCTCTGGATTAGCGAAGAAGACAAATGATTACTCGGCGTTTAGCAAAAAAACACGCATACTTAATGTATGAGGGCATGCAATATGATGATTGTACGACAGTACCAAGTAGATCCTCTGGGATCCACATGGAAGATAGGCCAATAAAAGTTTAGAAACATAAATTGCCAGACAGGAAAGTATTAGTCACCAATTAGTAGGCACACATAAGCGAAGCAAACATAGTCTGTTAACGTCAGTATAGAGTACAGAACATACATCGTTTGAGTGTTGCAAAGCCGGGCGCTATACAGAGAAGGTTTATCGACAAGCTTGATCTTGTACACAAGGCAAACGCGTGCATAACCTTCACAATTCGTATTGGATGCCAGACAGGAAGAGCACTTACTAGCCACTGAAAGGAAATGCTTAACAGGATCTCCGTGCCTCGCGACTAAGGCATGGTAGGGTTCGTCCTTCTCGTTACATGTCGAAGCACTTCCTGGTATTCGTAGTTCTCAGAGACCCTTACTGTAGGAAAAATCGAAAAGTCGTGGATCAACCAAGTACCGTTAGCATTGCGTAATTAGTATACCTCGTGTTCATAGCACAAGGCCCTGTCAGAGCCAGCTCGTCGGGCGTGTATATTGGAAGTTGCGCTCAATTTTGATCGGAGGCTTCGGGCAGAGCAGCGGGTTTCTGCCTTATGAAGATCTCCGTATACGATCCATATTCCTTTTATTACGGATTTATCACGGAAGCTTTTGAGATTGGACTGTATACCAGCAATACGGAACGCAGACACAAATATTTCAAGAAGGGCTACTAGTCTTTGAGCCGGAGGTAGCCAGCCCAACGCTGTCTCCAATAGTTAGCGGTCACGTCATTCCGATATGATTCAAAGCTCACCGCCCTTTGACTCCGCTTACAACCACACTTTAAGTAAGCTCTAACATAGAACTCGCTATTTCTAGACTAGATAGATATTCGCGCCCTTACGTACGGTGCGGAGAATGAGACTGGATTCAATCGTGCGAGGGAACTTCCACAATTGGGAGATCGGAGACCTACGCACTGTATGGATGGCACAGCTTCTGCTCCTGGATCATCTCCGACAAAGTTTCTTGTGCTTCCAAAGATCCGTAGTTTTTTCCTCGGCAAACCAACAGTTATTAGACTCTGGATACCCCTTGACAAAAGTCCTAACGATTCGTGAGCTCTAAGGGCTGATAACGATGATCAGAAAAGTCATGATCGTCCTCTTGCTACACAAGTTGGGGAACCAACAAACGAAGATGAGCCTTGATTGGGGCGAAGGGACCAGAAGGCGCCAGCGCATTGATCTACTCGGTGCTTTGCTCAAAAAGTCAGTCGGTAAAGTCGTCCTTGCTGCGGAAGCACGTAGTCTAAAATGATCTAATTAGCGCTCGTGGCTCATGTTTATCCCTTCTTCGGGCACAGTTAGAGGACGGAGCAGACGGTGCAGATTGCAAGCACCACGTTTGCTGCTACAAGCCTTTCTTGCTACTCATTGTTACACATCCGTTCCCTTTGAGGATAATACTGCATTTGATTAAGTCGATTCGGGGGATTCAATGCCCAACTATCATGATCGCCATCTCGTTCGACAAAAAAGGGACAATTTTGAGCTCAACATACAGAATTTCGGACAACGATAATCGGTCGAAGGCAAGTCAATTAATTACTTGGCATTCTTTAGACTGCCATAAGCTCTAAACTTTGTTATCTGAAGTGTTTCCCGCATTTAACGGCGCCCACGTTAGACTCCGATCCCCAGATATAGAATACATTTTATTTGCTTCTTAGTGTTCGCGGCAGTCTAGCTTCCGTCCAACAAACAGCACATGCATGTCGCGTTAGACGCAACGTCCTACAGCTAAGTCCCTTATCGCTGATAATCTAGCAGTGTTGGATACAAAGCTCTGTTTCTGCCTACCTCTTTCAGAGCGTTCTGGCCGCACTAACTATTCCTTGCTGCTGCACGACGGGGTAACTTAACAAAAGAATGGATCGGAGCCTTTAGGTCATGCTGAGCTTTGGACGCCGTAATATCGAAACTCCGAATGTGTTGCTGCAAGGAGTCTCTATGAATGAACTCCCTTTCCCCCGAGGTGACTTACGGGCTTGCAAGACTTCTGCGACTTCTCTTACTTCTGATGGTTTACATTGAAGAAACTCCTTGCTCATATTCACGTCTCTTGTAGGATAGCTAACACATGGGCAAACACGTCGACGGCGAACTCAAACTTCGTAATACATGCGAAATTGAAATTATTGAACCAAACAATACGCTCGGGCGGCCTTCTTCCGGGTTGAGAGTGGGGTCCCGTTGTGTTTTAAAGTGAGGCCTGCTATTTATCACTAAGATCGGATCGTGTTTCTCACACTGACACAGTTATGGACCGAATCTCCACGGAAAAGAACAACTGTTGAATAGTGATCTCAGGCGTTCTTGCTTTTAGCGCTCACCGCGAACGTCTCTTGTCGGCGTTGGTGTGGACCATGCAGAAAAAATTACACACGCCTTACAATGTGGGTACAGTCCAAATTGGTTTTTGGACAGCAAGGCCATATTCACTCGCATATACACAAATACCTCAGTGTGGTGCAGCATGGCTACACGTTCTTTGGTACTATTTCTGTCGTACGCTTCGTCTAGATGACACGCAAGCAAGGACTCTTGCGTTTTATTCGACTCTTGTGTTCACATGCTCCTGCAAGTAGCCAATAATGAATTCTTGAGATGGCTGTGCTAAAGACGAGAATAGGGTGCGCCTACTGCGCTCGGTTTACACTACCATCTCGTCCTCCGCAGGTTTATCCATGTCATCAGCAATTAAACAACCTGAAGGCATCAATGCCTGGTGGAGTCTGTGTATACGACAACCGTTGCTGGATGCAATGATTGAATCACGTCCTACGCTCAAATCAAAGTGTTTCCTGACCAGTAGTAGCATGAATCGACAGGCAGGATATACACGTCACCGAGGCTGATGAACCTCGCTTAAGTCCGCCGACTGGTGCTTCCGTTGGCAACGTTGCATGCTTTACTCTGAAGCAGTGAATTTTGAGGTCGCCACCTGGATTAATATTCCCATGATTGAAATTGAAGCTTCCTGCAATGGAGACTGTTGGAGCGCTTGGACGAAGCATCATAATAAATAGGTAGTTGGCCAGGGTCTGAATACTGATATCTTCCGAGAGGAATAAGAAAAAAGAAATCTACATGTGGCTGCTACTAGACTTTTCAGGAAATCACTTGGTGAATCATCTTGATGATCTAACCAACCACATCTTGGCAGTCACGTCTGTTTATCTTTTATTGTGCCCCCTTTCTTCCCTCCCTCAGGCTATTACAACAATCACTGTTACTATTCATTGTCTTCTGCACCAAAAACTGGCAAGATTTCCCTCTTACTAGTAACAGGAGGAAACAACGTGTTGAAGACTGAGTTGGTTCATTTACATAAGTACAAACAAGAGATATGCGATCGGCTCGGAAAAGGATTTAGCACCATAAAGGAACGAACCGACCCCCGAAATCCTGCAACTCCCCGTTGCACATGAATCGTGATCCGGTAGACCGGTCGCTTACCCTGTTTATCTCTCGGCTATGAAGGAAAAATCCATAATTGGGACCCGTCAATTTTATTCGTGGCGTGAAACTTTTCTTGTAGAAGCATACCCAGTGGAAGCATACAGCCCTGAGCTGGTTACATATCCCGAACGACCCTCTGATGTCCCGAATTCATATAAATCATTGTTCGTGTCTTTCACCGTCGTGGTATACGCGAGCTTTTTTAGATCCTACCTACCATCTGCTTCCATACGCCTTTTTAACGCGTCCCCCTTCTCGCTGATACTGCCAGCAACGCAATGTCTCATTCACTGCCCTAGTAAGCTCTCGCACTCCCTTTTGCGATTTTTCTACTCACTGTATCTTCAAGCTCCATCCCGTACATTACGGCTCCAGCACCACAGTACATGCTGCCGACGCACCCGCACCAAACGCACATCCCGGGTGCCGTGCATATGGTCTCTCCTGCTCAGATAAGAACCGAACAACCGCAGCGTAAACGCCCGAAGTACACGCGGAGCAAAACAGGGTGTCTGACTTGTAGAGCCAAAAAGATCAAGGTACATACGCGCTCACAACGCGTTTTGCCGAGCCACCATACTGAAATGTATGCTAGTGCGATGAAGGCAAACCAAACTGTCACCGATGTGAGCATGCGCATCGTGAGGTTCGTTTCGGACATTACGTAGCACCTTTTCCTTGAGCTGACCCACATTCGCAGTGTACCTGGCCGGACCCGACGACAATAAAGAAAAAAGTGCAGCCGCGCAAGACGTCTACTACTCAGGACAATATGTCGGCGTCGGAGGCTGCTTCCCGCTCTTCTGGCTCGCCTGCATCGCGAGATGCAACCCCGAGTACTCGGGACATCGACGGTACTGTCAACCCCACTGCCATGACCGAGCCGGATCGCCGTTACAGGTGGAGATCACTATTTGTCTTCTTAGTCTTGCTGATATTGACTCGTAACGGCTATAGTGGATCTCAGGGATATCCTTATGTGGAGTCCAATGCTCCAATGAATAGGCGTCAGACGTAAGCACACTTTTCCCATTTCGCGCAACACAGCAAAATAACAGTTCGCGAATGACCAGTAATGGTGGCTACAATGCAACGTCTGAAGTAACCCCAATGAGTTCTGGCACAACCATTCCCTCATACTCCTACGATTTTCATCCGTCTCCAAACGGCTCGATTTCTTCCCGGAGTAACTCACGTCCATCAACTGGAAACTCGCTTCCTCCATCGCACTTCGGAGCTTCCGCAAACCATGCAGCCATGGAATCTAGAGACTATCCTCGATGGGAGACTATGCCTACCCACCGTGCTGATGCGTCTTATGCATACTATTCTACTACCTAGGATCTTGACTTTGTGATGCGCCCACTGCTGATTCCCCTTTGTTTCTTTTCATTGTTACGATTAGGAACGGAACGTACCAAGACATCATACACCCTTCATTTGTATCATTTTAATGATCCCTTTTGATACCCTCTTCATGCCAGTGGCTCGTTCTTCAGATGAGCTTGTACATAAAAGCTATGTCCTTTTGCTATCGAACTAGAAATTAATAATGTTCAATAAAGTACAAAATGGTGTATCTATACAAGTGTCTGGCGAAAATACATGGTATCAGCCTTTAGCCTTAGCGGTTAGAACTCGGGAGGCGATGCAGATCATGATGTACCCGGATACGCGACGCGCTCACCGCTTACGCCTCGTGCTAGCGGGCGCTTGCCTACCCACGGTAAGATCTTCCATTATCTACTCGTCCGAACTCGTCGAAATCATCACAAGCAGCCAAACGATTCGCGCAGTTGGCAGAAAAAAGTTGAATTGCCAGCACGTATGCCAACTAAATGGTATCAACCTCGGAACTTGAATCTCCGACACTCATCTAGAAGTCCACGCCCTGTTACGAGAATACATCAGACTTATCTCATAAGACGCGTGTCAGGCCTCATTGCATCCGAGAGCCTTCTTACTCCCTTTAAACCCGGCTACTCCTCTCTTTCTCCTTTCTGTAGGAAACCTATTCTGCGTTCTTTGTGCGCGCAGGAATCAATTAGCACACGGGGCCTCCCCCATTCCAATCACAGGGCCTGGCCAGTTTTGCGAATTAGTCACAATCAATGCCAATCCTGGGCTTTACAAGCAATATTTTCACATGTTGAAACGAGTGTGATCTTGAATTGAAAGATGTACATCATTATTCTCTGAGGCTTTTGACCTAAAAATCGACGTCTCAGGATGCGGAGCCCACATGCCAATGAGACCTCATGTCATGTCCGAGGAAATCTAGATATTTCATCAAGAGTTCAAACGAGTTCGGCAGGGTCGCAGTTGATTTTTGGTGCTCTGCCATGCTGTTCCAATGCGCCGCGTTTGAATTCAAGAGCATCTCCGCCGAGCCAGAACGGTTTATAGGTACGAGGAGAGGTCGTGTGGCAAGCAAATACCCACAAATATTCTGGAGAGCATCGAGATTGTCTCCTCAACGTCTCAGATGCTGGAACGTCTGTGAATCTCCTGTTTTAATGCCATTATTCCCATAAATAAATAAATACGTGCGCACGCAACGTCTCTGTAGAATTCCAATTATATTACTTGAAATGTCCCTATTTGTGGGAACTCGTGAGCCAGTCACTACAAGGCAACTAGGGCACACTTTTTATTTTCAACACTCTTTTCACCTCTCCCAGTGGAACCAATCAGCTATATTTACGCGCATGTCGATCCACAGCCTCACAGCCGAACTTCTCAATCTCTTCGGACGTACCGCTATCATTCAGACCAGGGACAGAAGCTAATTAGAAGTCAGCCTCCATGGGAGATGACTGTGTATTTATCCGCGGTTGTATCGGGACTGAGGCCAAGGTAATCGGCGCTGACAAGGTTCCGCGTGTGTTTGGACTAATCACACAGGACTGGAACAAGAAGGTTCTTTCTTCTGTGGACATGGGAGAAAGAAGGACATACTTTCAAACCTAAAATCTCAGTCCTGAGAGTGTACTCAATGATGCTCTTGTAATGCCTCGTACCTTTCGGGTGATGAATATGCCCTTCCAGTGATAGCCGATAAAATCCAAATTTATCTTTGTAACTCTATTGGCGATCAGAGGCAGTACAGGTCCAGTATTGAGTTATAATCGATTCAGGACGGGACCGCACGACAAGGGTGGCGCAATTGTCCACAAATAGGAAAGAAGCCGCAGCATCGTGCAGACCATATCAAAGTTCTTTTCCTATCCTGCATCCCGATCAACACGTTGAGCCTCAGTAACAAAGGCTTGGTGACCGGCATAATTTATCATCGAGGCAGTTTGATGAGGTTATTTGGTGTTCTCGGTTTCCTGGAATATCAGTTCCAACTCCCAAGGCCGAAAGTTATGATGTTTGTCTGTCCTCAATAACATAACTTCGTACAAGCACGGGCTTACCTTAAATGTACGACCTGTGTATTTGTTTTTAGTCAACAAATATGATTATTTGTATCCACGAATTAGTTTCAAATGGGTGCGAGGCGCTGATGGAGTATACACATTGTCGGACAAGAAGTTGACAATATCGCTGGAACACATCGCAAGGTGAATGAATCTATATACCTGCCTGCCAAAAAAACTCTACAAATAGTACGTTAGAATACTAAACAACAAAGATGGACAGTAGAGGATAGCCGACCTCGGTCGACCGTAATGTAATTTGACCGAGGTGTAGCATGCGTGTACCAATGAAAAAGGACGAATTCAGAGGAGACAAGGACAAGTAAAAGTTTTCGGAAAAGAATCAAATTAAATATTCATAAAGCAAGAAGAAATATGAAGCTTGTAAGGAAAGTAAACTGATTCTGGAACGATCGGAGTCAAGTGAAGTAAAAAGAAAAGAAGAAAATAATTTGATCATTGAGCAACAACATACATGGTGAATGCCACGTAGTTTCTATCCAAGCTTCCACCAGACGAGAACAACATCATCCACACTAGTAACAAAAATTTGTGCTAGAATCTAATCCATTGTCCAAGGTGCATTTCCAGAGCCGACTGGGAAAGGTCACCCGATGAACACCAAACGGCCATCTGGGCATCATCGGACTAGAAATCAGGTAGAAACCCGTTGCAGTGTATGACGCATAAGCAGTAACGTATGCGGGTGTGTCGGCCAGCAACTAAGTGAACTGTATTTGACAGTAAGCGATGGGTGAGCGCTTGGATATTTGAGTATACGTACCACTTCCCTGACACTGGACGATAGTCACGTTCGTATGCAGAGAACTGCGTCTTCGAAGTATGCAGAATCCACATCCTGCTTCATGCGCCAAATCTTCTAGTTGTCTCAAGAATACTCGATATGCATGGTGAAGCCAACCTGAGTTACCACGGAACTTCGCTGCAAGAAGATTGCTTCGTTACCATGGCCAACAAGGACGAAATGATCATTTGAAGGCTGGTCAACATCCTGCACTGAAGAGAATTGGTGGTATAGACTTATTCACTTGAAGTCGTCGTCCCTCGCGAACAGCTAGTCATTCAGTGAACGTATAAAGTCGGCTCCAGCGTCTAGATTATTGGAAGGATGTAATGTGATGGTGCGGTAACTCAAATCCAGAATGCTACATTATCTAAAGTCAACTTGGAATGCCTCACAGGTTGTTGGTGGCGGGGTTACTGTCCTTCAAATACTGCGCGACCAATGTTGAGTAATAGCACGCGGAGTGCACGTATTGACGGCTGGGCTCAAGGAACAAGTCCGAGGACAACATGGCGAATAGGGCTCGAATCTCGGAAGTACAAGGATCATCAACATCCGCAGGTATTCACGGGCGGGACGTCATATGTCGTATCCCCGAATCCGTGCGCAGTCCGGATCCACTCGCGCCTCCACTACCGCCCCTCACTCGGCTGGGTGTATAGTAATATTATCCGATCCTGTCGTCCTTAAGTCCATTCGGAGTGTCCCATTTGCATAGTGAAACCAAATATTGTTGCAAGGGGACAGGCTCAGGGGACCAGCTGCCCTACACGAGTTTGAAAAGGAGTTACGAGTGAAGGGACGAACAACGGACACTGCATGTGCTCCAATGTCAGTGCGGATGGCGAATTGTCTTTGACGAGTTTGAAAAGGAGTTGTGAATAAAGAGGTAGAGCTTAACCGCCTTCGCTGGCGACCTTCGAACGGGGAAGAAGCACATTGACCTTGACCTTATCGATCTTCGTTTCTGAGCCGTCCGGAAGAATTGGGTGTGCTCTAAATGTCAGGACGGACGAAAGCGCCTACGACATAAGACCCCGTCGTAGTTCTGAACCAATACTTTATGCCACGAATTCATCTTGGGCCCAAGCGCCGCGCCAGGGGCAGTATCACCACCCGGTAGACATTTACACACTCATTCATGGGAGACGCAGTGTGCATTGTGTGCGGCAATAGTCTGCGCGGGTTCGAGATCAAGGACTGCATTTCAGCAGATACCCGTTTCAAACGAGAGCTATTCGCCAACGCAAGAAATGTATTAATGGGCTCGAACATGGCATGCGTACCATTCATCGAGGCCCGATCCACCTCGTTTCTGGTAACTTAACACGAACAGGTTAATTCAGCAGTGGCGACCTGTGAAGTCCAATCGTCTTCTTCAATTACTCGTCTAGCGTTCTCCATAATATCGTTCAACAGAATTTGATATCAACGGCGAAGATGACATCTCTCCAGTAAGCAAATCCGAAACGGATGCTGAGAATAAGCTCACAGGTCTTCCACTTGTTCGCGATCGTACTACTAAACAGTAAGATTTAGTCGATCACTGACTTGCATTTGCCATATACCGTTGCAGTCTGATGTAAACTTGATGACTTGTGTCCAAGGGTCGATGATGCGGCGTCGGCTTTGGACGAATAAGGCAAATATGGCCAACTTGAAGTAGAGTAGTTGTGTGATTGGGTCGACCATGGTCTTGCTCTTGACGACCGGGAATCGACGATTCGAAGGCATATTTATTGATGTCTCACAAAGGTAAAAACATATAGTACAAAGTACCTGCAAATAACCCGAATGGCCCGGGGATTTGCCATGGGACACAGGTTCAGGGCTGTCCCGACCTGTTACCCTCTACCTGCGTCAGAAAGTGGAGGACTTGGGAAAAACATAGTGTTGTAAGTAGTCGGCCGTGGCGATGTACCAAACGTGATCGTGCCTTCGCTTTTTGAACGTTGCACACCACGCGGGTTCTCCTCAGATGCTGAAGAGGGACTTTTCCCAACCCACAGACGCCAGCCAAGCGCATCGCCCAGCGCGCGTTCACAGCGGCTCACTTCCCGAGGAGGAAGTCCAGACAGTTTTGCCCATGCCCTATTTGAATAGCACCGGTCCTGCAAGAACTTGGATGCAAGTATAAGAGCAGCTAGAAAGGTGCGTCTAGGGCACAGAAGTGGAGACGGCAATGGCGGTAAAGGCGTCAGAGGTTTTGCCGGAATTTTGCGTCGTTTGTCGTTGGACTGCGCATTATTGGCCGGCTGAGTCTGAGTAGGAAGACTTGACGCGTCCTTTTGAAGGACTGTTGTCGCATCTATCCCGTCGAAGGGATCCATAGGCATCACCTCTGTCGGTAGTCCGGAGAGGGTATCCGTAGAAGAATTAGAATTCGGCAATAAACTTGCTTCTTCCTTCACAATTCTTTCATCCAACTCCGACTCGTCCTTTAATCCCATACCACACTTCTCCTTTTCTAGGAGTTCGGGAACCTTCCCTCTCACTGCTTCGATATAACACAGCGCCGACTGCAGGACGCTGCATGTTGTTCGAGAGCGGCGAAGAACCTCCTGTACGAAGGTTTTGATCGGGACTAGGTCTTTTTCGGATACGACAGTAGTTGCATTGGTGCCAAAGTGCTCGGCGAGGAAGGCAGCAGGAAATACTGTTGATGCCGACCTTGAAAGGCGCGGCGGATCCGAGGAGACGATATGGAGGGGCGAACAGAACGTGCCGGGTGAGCACGGCGAAGGGAGCTGCACCAGGTTGTGCTTCGGTGCGGAACGAGGACAAGGGAGAGATGATTGTCGTGAAAGAACAGTGATATCTGTTTGTGTTGAGAAGACGGCAGGGATGTCTTCGGGGCGCCAGATATCGGTCAAGCTTTTTACGGTTTGATCTGTGATTTAACGCATGCATCAGTACGAGAAAATTGAGACAAAAACAATTAAGTTATCGACTTTGCGAGTTGAACCTCGAAAGTTGCCTTTTATGGAAATCTTGACTCACCGACCAGGGACGCCACGTAGTTTGCTTTTGCCTGGTGCGTCTTCTGAATTTGAGGTTGTTTCAAAGTGAAAGGTATTGTTTGCTGCAGCGCGGCCGAGAGAGGATGCGGAGACTGAGAGAAAGTCGAAACAGCAGGAGAGATACTGTACACGGATGCAGCCGGGGTGATTAAATAATTGGGTTCCTGAGAGATTGATTGATGTTGATGATGGGACGTCGAGGGAGCAAGCAGTACACAGTTGGGCATGCTCGCGCCAGCAAACGGAGCGCGCGGAGGGGTGTAGGGGTGCCATCGAGCGTTTGTCCGAGTCGCGCCCGCGCCTCGGTGGGCCATTGAGTGGGGGATCGATTGCATATGAGCCGAAAAGACAGACCAATAATAAGCCTTCAAAAAAAATGCTGAAAAGGAAGCCTAGCGCATAAAAAGCAACGCAGAGAGATGAAGAAAAAGAGGAAGAGGATATGGAATTAATGGCTGAGTTGGGAGTAAACGGGCAGGAACGATTCAGATTAAAACCTCGCGCTCGCCGCGAACATCGAAGGGGTAAGATTTAGCAGTAGATTGTGGGCTAATGTATGAAGCAGAGTCGACGTTTGCGGAGCAGAGTGCGAGCGGACGAAAACGGTTTATCTTGAGGAAGTACATCTTGACTCTCGGGAGTCAAAGGACGCGCGCCGAAGTCGAGTGACCTCGGGTGAGTCCTTATTACAGAGCCCGGCCGCTTTCGCGCGAGAGCCCTATAAGCAATAAAGAGTCGACTGGGGCGACAGAGAGGCGAGGAAAATGCGATTCAGGCGGGGGACAGCAGGCGATATGAATCTGCGGGAGTCAAACAGGCGGTGTTCGTCGTCGAGTGCATGTCCACCTGCGTGTTTAAAGACAGGAGCCTCGCGTGGGATCTTTTCCATTTGCGGTAAGGGCCCACGAGCCCACGAGTCACACTGTCCGCAACGGGATTGGCCGATCACCTCCTTTCTCGGTCTTTCTCGGCTCAGCCTTCTTGCAACAGCACAGTGCAGAGTGCATCGCCACTCTCGTCAGTGTTGTGTTTCTTTCCTCACTGCAGGTGTCTCATCGTGCTGGATGGTCGCGCTTTTGTTATGAGCCTCGCATAAACTAATAAGCACCAGCTTGACAAGGTTAGCACGGCAGCAATCAAAGTGAAGTGGTCACATCATCAACTAAATTCTCTCCGCCTTCCAAATTCCCTCTATCCGCGCACACGCCATCTAACTCACATCATCTTACGATCCTTACCCTGTTCTCATCCCGTAATGTGCCCCCTATGTTCCTTTGTATCCATCATTTCTCCTCCTGTTCATCTCCTGTCCAGTTGTATCAGGTATCGCCCCAATAGCATCTAAGACACCGCATTTGCCACATCCACTCAGAAGTGTCCTTTTGCGGAGTGCATATGCGCCGCATTGTTTGAGCGCGTCTGTCTAATGTTAGGAGAGGTTCGATCTGCTTCATTACAAATCCTTGTACGCGTAAATGCATGGAGTATGATTTGTCCGTGTCCCGTTGGTGCCGAGCGAAGTAATAGATACATTGCAGCGTCAGGTGTTGTTCTCTTTCCGTCAATTGAGTTGAACGGGCCCGTTGCATATTCATCTGGATCGGAGACGGAAACGAAAGTTCGATTGTGTCACGTCGCCGCCGGTGTGACCGGAAGCGAGTCACGGAAAAAAAATTCAGACGGAGACCACACCGCTTCCCTTCTTGTACCTGTGCCACTCAATTATGACTCGACTGCACATCCCGCCCCTCTTCTCTTCATTATTCACCGCATCCCGCTTTCGGCCTTTGGACGTGGCGACGTTCGATCTCCTCAATCGTGCGGCTGACACGCAATTTGGTAGCAATTTGCTTGAGTAAACGAAGAAGTTTCCGTACCGTAAAAAATGCTGCAACACATCAACTGAACTCGTCACATAGAAGTTTTAAAAGAAACGCGATCGTCGCGCGTTCTCTGGCTCTGAAACCAGACGTTCATCTCAATCAATCGCACGCTATTGCTAGGTCGTCTACTCTTCCCGGCGCCGCAGCTCACTAGAAAAATAGCTATGCTTCGCTTCCCTTTGCGACACTTTCATATAGTTCTAGTGTTCATCGCTTCCATCTGGTCCTAATCATCATGCACATCTGTTCGTCCTCTGATTCAATAGCCATATCTGCCACTTCAAGGCCCTGATCTCGCAATGCGCACGATGTGCTGTGCGATATCAAAAGCTGAGCATGCAAAACCTACTCAACCTTGACGTCAGGCCTCTCTATTGAGTACAATGGATGCATGGCGAGATTAAAACTCTAGATGCTCTGTGTCATGAGCACATGTATAGCCACACAACCTAAAGGCAACTTCCTATTCTCAGCATGGCTTTGACGAAAATTACTAAGGAAGAGAAGATCTAGCGGCATGTAGTAATATAAGCACATTCATCATGCTGGAATTTTCCATACTCTTGTTGTTTAGAAGGGCAAACATGTTGGAATCTCTGCTCTGTACAACATGCATTCCGGTCCGATTGCCCCTCCCCTAAATTGTTGACTCTTCTGCATACCTCTCGCCTCACAAAAACATGCCGATACCTCACCGACCCCTGAATGATGGATGCATCATGAATCGATCTGACGGAGCTCTAGACGCTTTGGTTACTTGACGCGATAGGCAATGCATCGATTCGCCGAGGGGAACGGGTCTCCCAGTGTGAATTTCAATGCCACCATGTTTCTTATTTCGTAACCACTGACAAAGATCCTAACTGGTAATTCTCCCCTATTCTTCTCAATTTTGTGTTATCCATGATCAATCCAAATATCCACGCGTTTGGCCTTATACCTGTGTTTCATCCTTGATTCACATTCTCTTGTCTTGCGTTGTTTGATTTGGCTTGATTCGTCCGGTCTACACAGGTCTACCGCTCATATCGTGTTACTGTTCCCTTTCGAAGATTCCACTCGATATGGATGGATGATAGAGTCATGGCATATGGCCTCTGTTGCTGTTCTTTACCAAGCTCTGGAACACTGCTAAAATGAAACTCATATGCTATACCACTCCTGGGCCTGCACACGGATCAACACAAAATAACAAAGAAGACAAAGGGCTGGATCTGAAACATTCTATCACGAATTGGCTACTTGACTCATTCAAACCGGGATGTCTGTCAATTTACAGAAACAGCAAGCTCTTGCACAACTCCAGAGCTGGTAATATGATACCCACGTCATCGGAGCTTACAGGCAGAATACTTAACGGAAGGCGATTGCCGGGGGCAGAAGTGGACAACCTGGTTTGCTGGCGTTGAAATGCGTGTGGTTCGCAAGTGCTGACTGATGCGCAGTTCCCGCATTGCCGCCATACCGACTCACACCCTGTCAGATGTGCGTCTCATCTGTAAGAGATTCTTCATTGTGCCTAGGCAACGCTACGGGTAGGTAACCTCGTTATTCTGACGTTGACTAGTTAATGAACTGTACCTTGTGTCAGAGAGGAATAGAGCTACGTTTCGATTCAAAACAAAAGTATGTTCGACTATACAGTCCGTGCTGTCCGTATGCCTTGATCATACCTTGATCACTCAGCACGCGGAAGACCCGCCGATTCCGCGCGTTCTTTGGAGTGCATGGTCTCAACCACGCATCGGCGAGAAGTGCGAAAATGAATTAGGAAGAAAAACGTCTGTTCTCTTCTTATCTTACTGCCTTACGTTTCCCCGTCTTCTCTCTTCAGTCCTCAGTCTTCAGACTTCGAGTCTTCTTCCTGAGCTATATCTAGAGCTCCTCAAGCTTCATTTGAATTGATTGTTACTAATTTATCTGAATGCTTCTACTGTGGTTCCCGCACCGCTTGCCATGAGCTCTACGCGTTCTGTCGGAGACTGTCGTAAGTGTCTCCGATTTAACTACGGTTAGCTAGGGTTGTCCGAGACGGATTCTCGACATCTATGACAATAACTAGACTGCACTGCTCTTCGCCTTTGATATCTACCGGCCATCGCGGTTAGGTTGTCGAGCGCCAAGACAACATTGATGTATCGCTATGTTCGTGCTCGTCCGATTCCCAAGCATCTTTTTATTTAATTGTTCTCACGTGAAGACCTTACAAATGAACGGGAAAATGAACGGGAAAATGAACGGGAAAATGAACGGGAAAATGAACGGAAGGCCGTACAGCTGTACAACGTGATATCGGGCGCCTTTTTGTATGTTCCGTGTGCACCGTAATATTGATATTCTAACATGTAGGCGTGGTTGATCGGACCGTAGTAAGTTCGTGGCGAAGATGCTTACAAGTAGATCGGGGATAGGTAATTTTGAGAGATTTCTTTACTACTCAGCTTTCCGCATCTTACAAAGTGATTCGGAAGTGAGGAATTTATGGTGTATATGTACTGTACATAGAGTTTTTTTTTTTTGCAAAGAATGCTTACAAAGTTACAAGTAGATCGGGGATTAGACAATTTTGTGACTCGGAGAGAATTCTTTACTACTCAGCTTTCCGCAGTTTACAAAGTGATTCGGAAGTGAGAATTTTATGGAGTATGCGTACTGTGCGCAGTCGAACGTTCCGGAAGCGGATCCGATCGTATGAATTGAGATAGCTATGTACGTATAGCTTTACTTGTTTTCCTCGGTGTCTTGATCGAATACAGGGTATTTGCACCGTGTTTCTTGTATGAGCGTTGATTTTGTGGATCCGGCCGCTGACTTGCAGGTTCAGGGCAGAGCAGCTCTCTGGTTATCTTTTACGAAGGCGCCATCTATTATGGAGGTTGAGACACCAGTCATCGTGAATCTTGCCATCGAATCGGATATGTGTGCTGGGCTTGATGGTCGGTAAAGATTGTAGGCCAGGCGGGAAGGAACCAGGAAGTCGACTGCTTCTACTATTCTCACTCAAAGTCCTCGAGCAGTCTGCAAGGTCAAATAGAGATGGCTACTATCAACTATTGATGGTCAGAAAACCGTGGATGAAGCTAGGACGTTGATGCCCGTATGATCTCCCTGCTTATTATCCACGCTGCAGCATCCTGGTAATTTCGTTTATTATATCCTGTAAAATTGCTAACCTGTAACACACCAGAGTCGCACGTTAGGCCCCAGCACAGCATGGACACTGAAGACGACTAATCGTGAAGATTATAGGAAGGTAAGGAGGGGTGAAGGGGGTATCGTAATAAGAGGCGTTTAATGCTAAAGCCCGCAAAGAAAGTGAAAAGGCAGGGAGGGAAGGGGAAGAGACCGATGTCAGCGAGGAGGTACGACGCCATTAATTGCACTTGTTCAGGTTGAAGAACTGTCCCAAGGGAGGGTTGACTGTGTACGCGTCGACATTCTGAAGCCAGCCGTTGACGAATTGGTGTAGACTAGTGTAGAGGGGCAAGTTAGAAGGGAAGGAGCGACTGTGCGTATTCAACGACATACTAATCGCAGTTCTTCTGGCATCTGCAGCAGCTGGTGTACATTGCAGAAGTTGCATCGCCCTAATTAAACCATAGTCAGCGTTCATAGATGTGGGAACAAGATAAAAAGAGAAGTAAGCTACATACGTAAGTCATGCCCTCATACCAACCGTTGTATCTGCCGATAGTAAGGAGAACACTCCCACCGTTGTCCTGTAAAGATTGTGCAAAGTATTCTGCTCCCTTGCGGATGTTGAAGTCCTATCGGGGGAATAATGGTAAAATTGTTTTTTCTGTATAATGGTATTACGTATTGCTGGAAAGCTTACAGGGTTCTTGCAGTCACCACCTGGGGCATCACCGCACTTATCCTTAGTGAGCTGCATCAGACCTTGTTCACCCGCTCCGCCGACTGTCCAGGGCTTGCAAGAACTCTCCTGCATGGCAAATGATGCGAGCATGATTGGTGGAACTAAGTCGAAATAACGCTCAATTACCATCCGACAGAAAAGGGAAGCTCTTACTATTATTTGCCCAGCCGTACTTGTTGAAGAGGTCGATGTACTCAGAACAAGCCTTGAACGGACTGTTGTCTTCGCTGACGGCTTCCGAAAGGTCTTTCGTGACAAGGTCATTGACTGAGACGTATGGAGGGTGCCAGCCGCCATCCGTCAGCCCACAGTTTAGCCAGTCAATCTTGCCGTTAGGACCGGTAGTCGCGGTGACATCCTCTAAAAATGAAAACCCGTGATCAGCAAGGGTGCTATTTTTGACGACAAAAGTGTAATGCCGCACTTGTTGCGCCGATGTCACCGCAATTTGATTGGACATTGATGAGCCCAGTGGCAGCATTGGCATTGCTAACGTGTGGCTTATTGTTGTTTTTCTTCGGGCTATCGTTACCCTGATTCGTTTCAGGAGATGGACTCGGAGACGAGGACGACGATGAGTTGGAATTGGAGCTCGTATCGCGGGTCTTGCACCTCTTGGAATCTTTACTACCACGACGGACTTTCGCGGGGCTCGCGCTGTCTACAGAGCGTCGGTGTGCGAGTTGGCGATGAGAAGCAAGATTAGCCAGGTTGGCAGGCGGCTTGTCAAAAGAGAGCGATGCCTCAACGCTGACAAGTAGGAGACATCCCAGGATCAGTGCAGAAAGTGACCGAATTGGCGTCATTGCAGTTGAATATAAAATGAACGTGATGATTCAAAACGAGTGTAGGCCGTTTGGTGGTATGAGCAAAAGCAGTAGTCCAGGCGGAATTGAAATGCGCGGACTTTTGTCTCTGAGGCAACGGGACCAGAGAGCTCAGGGAAAAACCAAGTTGAATGGGAGCACCAATTTGAGGGTTTTCGGCTGCGAGCCTGACGATTTTCTTGTCATGTGTGGAGCATATTTTATTTCATGGCCAATCCCGTCTGCTGTCGCCAAGATATGCGCCATCACCGAAAGACTAGCACTAACGCGGCCGCATCATTTTTGGACTTCCAAAAGCAAGTTTAATTTGAGCGGCCAGATTCGTCGGAGGTGATAAATTCGTATATAGAGCAAAAACATTGCCTGCAGTGCAGCATACATAACATGATTTTGTAGCGTCGTAGTATTCAAAGGCAAAAATTACCTCGCTGCAATTGAGCCAAGACCACTCGATCAATCGAGGAGAAGACAGACGGTTGTTACCCGAGAACATAATTCGACCCGGTTAGGGTAAAATGGAAATCCCGTGCAGATCGCTTAGGACTTTTCTGCCTTCCGAAGAAATTCCATTCGCCGAACGGGCAGACGTTTCTCACGACTTTACTTCCTTTCAGAAAAAGGCCAAGTCATCCCGCCCGGAAACAAGATCTTGGAATTTCGCGAAAGTCGCGATTTTGAGTCAGGTGTCGTGTTGTACAAAATGACCACGGATGTCCGAAAAAAGCAGTCTGAACTGCTCGTGATTTGCCTCCACCCCTAGCAATTTATATTATAGACTGACGAAGGCCTGAGGATGCAGGTTGAGGATGTCGGGACCTGTCGGCGTCGGGGATCGACAATGACGGAGGAAAGCGTAGCGCACGTGATCCGGAGGCTTCCAAGTCTACGTGTCCAATATTCCCGGTTCTCTCACTCAGCTACTTTGCACCTCGTCCGAGTTCATTCCTCACTCCTTGACACTGCCTGAAAGCATATACGGTCGCTGGCAGACATTTTGGTGGACGTGGCGCCATTCCGGAATCCATAGTGCTTCATGATTCCCAGTGTCCTCCTTGCTCTGCTTCCGGCTGTTGCCTCTGCTCAGTCAGCAGACCAGTCATTCCTTGGCGAGTCAATTCTGAGGGAGAATCAGGTTCAGAATGTATTGGAACACCAGCCAGCAAAGGGTGCTGAATGCCAACATGTCGTGCGTCAAGTTTCTACCTTTCCGAAGAATGGACACTAAACTTACATCGCATATAGCCCACGGGGCCAATTGAAATGACACAATGCAATTACGAGTCGATAGAGAGCGTCTCGGATGACCTATACAACAACTTGCACGACCTCGTTAGCACGCCGTTCTTCAGATATTTCAGAGTGAGTCGACTGTTCCGTCCCGGGTACGTTCGGATCCGATCAATTGGGTTTAGGCGGACCTATACCGAGAATGTCCGTTTTGGAACGAGAACGGCTTTTGTATGAACAGACAGTGTGGTATAACTACGGTTGACGAGGTGTGTGGTTATATGTTGGTATATGATACCCCGAGACTAAGTCTTCATTCAGAGCGAAATTCCAGAGAAATGGCGAGCCGCAAGTTTGAGTAAAGTGGAATTGCCCCCACCAGGATTAGTACGTCTTGCGCTTAGTGGATGCGTTGCGTTGTTCAGACCTTGTTTCATTTCAGCGTAATTCGCTACCAGGCTGTTATTACAAAGATACGGATTATTGTTTCTTAGACGACCACTCGGGTAAGCCAGCCTTAATTCACTTTTCAAAGCTAAGCTCATCCATGGTATTTCCAGAGGGAGATTACGTAGACCTTATCGCCAATCCCGAACAATTCACCGGTTATGCAGGTATTTCAGCGAATAGGATATGGAGTACAATTTACAATGAAAACTGTTTTGGAATTTCCGAGCTGGATTTGAAGGGTGGCACAGACGGTGGCATTGCGCCCGCTACGTCAGGAGCAGATCCCTTCGATAAGGCTACTTTGGAAGAGCCTGCACAATGTCTAGAGAAGAGAGTATATTATAAGATAGTTTCTGGTGAGATTTTCTCCCCTTCAGTAAAGCAACGCTAATCAACTAGACTTATAACAGGTCTTCATACCTCTATCTCAATTCATCTTTGTCATGATTGGTTCAATCAGACCAGTGGGGAATGGGTATGGTCGCTCTTATTGATGTATTTTACGTTGTGCTAAATTGCTTCGTAGATGCCGAACTTGCAATGTTTCGTTTCTCGAGTTGCTTCCCATCCTGAGCGACTCAAATATGTCTACTTCAACACGGTACTGCTTTTACGAGCCATCTCCCGACTTGGTCCTTATCTCTCAGCATATGACTATTGTTCGTGCAACTCCGAAACCCATGAAGAGGACAAGTTCACGCTGAGCAGGTTAAACTCCATCATCGACATTGCCAAGAATGTTGGACAATTTGACGAGACGACACTGTTCAAAGGTGAAAATGCCAACGTAGGTTGCGTATTTAATATTAGTATGTCAGTAATCTTACTTTTGGTTGCAGATCGTGAAAGAGGAGTTTAAGACACATTTCCGGAATGTATCGCGCATAATGGATTGCGTTGGCTGTGACAAATGTCGTCTGTGGGGCAAGGTGCAAACATCTGGTGTGGCCACCGCGCTGAAAGTTCTGTTCGAGATGGACGAGAAGGCTCTTGAGTATGTGAAATCGATTGTTATTAGTAGCCCGTCACTCATATACTTCTGTAGTCCGGCCGCAAATACGAATCTCCTCACGCGTTCTGAAGTTGTCGCATTGATTAATACATTGCATCGGTTTACAGAGAGCTTGCAATACGTGAACAATTTCCGTAAAATATGGGCTGATGCCCCCGATGACGAATATGAGGAGCTTATCCGAGAAGCAAAGAGGGCTGTCGCTAGTGCTGTACGTATAAGCTAAGCTGATAAAAAAACACTAATTCTAACGTCCTTTCAGCCCCAGATTACACCGTCTTCTGATCCATTACTCCTTCACGAACGTGATACCGTCGGTTGGTTGAGTCAGCTGGAGACATACCGGTTACTCAAGCAACGGCTTTGGGACGTCGTATCTTTATGCAAACGTTGCACGACTGATTGCTTAAGCACATGTAGGAGGGTGATTGATTCAGTCGTTGAGCTTGTCCGTTCGTCGTTGCAGTCTTTCAAGGCTGACAAGAGAGGTCCTCCACGAAGTGATCTTTGAAACTTTACTTCTTTCCTTCATTATTCTAACGTTCATTGTTGTTCGTTTGTGCTAAGTGGACCACGACTCATTTGTATATCATACTTTAGACGCATTCTATTCAAGGACTTCTGATAAACTGACCGGTTTGAATTATGAGCCACTGACGACTTGAGACCGATACCGGAGCCGCGCAAGAAGTTTGCTGAAAGACAAAGCCTTTGTTTCACCCATGCATGATCCTTTAACCTCATATCCAACGCCTTCAGCCGGTAACCACTCTTAGTTCGGCTTCCACTCATATCAAATTCACGTTCTAATTCAAGCAACATTAATGTCGTCTGATAGTTAGCCAGTTTGGATATTCATTTTCGAGTGGATCAGGGCACAGTAGACTAATTAACTTCACAATATCAAGAGACTACAAATCATAGAGGCTCCAGGGAACTTTTGACAAGGCCCTTTTGACGACTCTCAATAAATGCACAATAAAACAAACACACAAAATTCTAATGTACGAGTCATGTGTAAGGCACGTGATAAGACATTTGAGTACTGATTCCAAAACTGAGAATCTCACGCTGACATTCTGTTGTTTATTTGTGTGCCACAATCCCTATAATGTTGCCTCAACACAGAGCCTGGACAAAGAGTACACTGGAAAAATTTTGTGTTTCAGTTAACTGTTAATCTTAGGGTGTGAGATAGTTGTGTTAATTCTATATTCAAACCCTAAGTCCTACAGCTCTTTTTTGGTTAGTCTGAATTAGCCACTCACTGTCCAACTTGTATTTTACTAAGTCAAAATAAAGTCAGTTTTCTAATGAAAATACATATTCCTCTCTCTAATCCTATCCCCAAGCCTAACTAATATCTAACCTAACACCCTAACCTATTCTAAACCTAATTAGAGAGCTTTACCCCCCCAAACCCTCCCTCCTAACTTCTTAGTCTGAGAGCCACCACATAAGTATTATGTAAGTGGCTATTCAGGGTTGTCCAAAAAAGAGTTGTAAGACTTAGAGCTTAGATACAGAAAGTTAAGTTTAGTATAAGATATACTTTTACACTTATTATGTTAGATCTTTATAATATAAAATTACAAGTTGATCTATAAAAGAATTAATTATTACTGTTTGTATAATTCCTTAGAATAGTAGTGTACATAATTTTTTTGTTGTATTGTGTTCAACTTAGTCAAAATTACAGAAAAACATTAATTTCTCTATTAATATAAGATATTATCTTATAATTAAACAATAAAAAATTAGACAAGTTAAAGACTTATTATAATATGAAAAAAAAGTAAGAGATCTAAGGCTTGTTTAATAGATATAGTAAAAGGAAAGTGTATCTGTCTGATTTCTAACTAATCAATATTCTTTTGAAAATTCTGTAGTTTCCTCTAGAGTAAGGATAAAATTCAGAGAAAGATATATAAATTATTATATTTCTTTCTTTCACAGTATTCTAAATTTTGAGAGACAGGAGTACTGTATTTACTTTGTTATAAAGGTAATTGTACTCTGATCCCTTATACATTCTCAACCTTAGTATTATAACTATTAGTAAATTATAATGTAAACACTTGTAAACTTCCCTTATAAATGTAATTTAAAGTATGAGTAATAATATTATACTCTTATACTATAAGGAACACTTATTTGTTACTTTATTAAACTAATAATACACTCATTTAACTTGAACTAATACTAAGTGTAAAGTTTCTTAGAATAGTCTTATTTTACTTATTTTAATACTATATACAATATACACATGTAGATACAAAAAATTACAAGAAATTGTAACACTAGAAATGCTAATTAAGATCTGCCTTCCTCTTTCCCTTAAAGAGCTTAACATCTGTATTTACATATAATACAATATGATTAGTAAGACCCCTTAAGACAATAACTCTCTCCTTACAAGTAAGGTTTATAATATCCTGTTAACATGTATTACAATCAATGATACAATTACAGACACTACAGTAATGATAAGATGATTAATACACATATAAACAGAACAGACACAGAACAATGAGACATGTATCAGATACACAATACAAGACATGTATTGGATACACAATAAGTATCAGATACAAGATAATGATACATTGGATGTCTAAGACATACAGACGAATGAATAACATAAAAGCAAGTAACTTAGTAACTAAATATATATCATTATCAGGGTCTACACCCTCATTACTTGTGTGATAACCTAAGAATACACATTCTAACAGGTTATGAGCCTTGCACTCTCTGCTTAACACCTCACATTACTACTACAAGACTATGCTACACTACTTTGCATTAATACTACAAATCTACAATGGACTCACCAAGTACCTGTGATCTCTATACACCAAACGAAACTGTACCAAACTCATCTACACCTTTGAATAACTTGTAAAGGACAAATACAAGTCATTACAAACCTGCCAATGTACCTAAACACTTTGGACACAACATTACACAACTAAAAGACACATCTGGATTCAAGATATGGAAGTATCAGATTAACTCTGCTATTGCAGCAACAGGCTATATGCACTTGTTCACAAATGAACCAAAGCCTGAAGACATTAAGGTTGTGCACACAATCTACACATTAATAATTGATAAAGTAGCAGATCATATAATGGCTAACTTTATACATACCAGAACATCAATTAAAACTCTTATGAGCAGATTAGAAGAACGTTTCAACCCTCATACAGTTACACATAAAGTATACAATGAGTCTTTGCTATTTAAATACAATGACTATGTTAAAAACTTCGGACAAGTACTTGATAAACTAGAGCAGATATATGTACAGCTAGTAGCAGACAATTTAAAACCTACAGACACTATGTATTGAGCAGCTATCTATGCTACAACCCCTCCTGAATATAGTGGTACTATTACAGCTATGGAACAAGCTTGAGACATGTTTTACAATGGAAAACCTGAATCTGAGTATCAACCTATCAAGCTGTAAAGACTTATTACAGTACTGCACTAAGTGTTTAACGATTTTCGCATCAAAAACCCTACACAATACATAAACAACAAGCCTACAATATGCAGACAGGCAAATATGTTTTGTACAAAAGATAAAAAGTACAGAAAGAAGAGAAACAACAAAAATACAAGCAAACCAACCTCTGCATCAAAATGCTTCAATTGCAGCAAATCAGGGCACTTCTCCTGTGATTGCTGGAAGTCACTGACTCAATCAATGCTAGATGCCTGAGCCAAAAAGGCTAATCCTTTGGCTAATACAATAGAAGCAACAGAAGCGAAATCTGTACCAGCAGCAACTACACCATACATGAATGTATACATTGAACAGGTGCCAGACATTGAAATGACAGATGTACTAGCCTCTCAGCAGGCAAATACTATTGCAAATGCAGACACAAACGACCCATTTACTAACTGGGTATGTTATAATAATATCTTGGACAAAAATAACACACTAATAAATAAATATATCCCTAATACAATCAATATAATTGATTCTGGTGCAACAATTCATGCTACACCATATTACTTTCACCTTACAAACGTATGAAATGTATCCCTGGTAACAGTTACACTTGCAAACAAATCAACAGTGACTCTTACAAAGGCCAGAGATATGATTATTGAAATTAAAAGGGGAAATTCAGGAAATACACACAATCCTGTAATTAGCAAAATAACATTAACACATGTTTATTATCATTCAGATTTGAACTTTTCACTTATAAGTCAAGCATTATTATGCAACAACAGTTTCACATTCATGTTCAAACAAGTGGAATGTATTTACAATCAGGATAACTATAACTTCTTATTACTTATTCTCATTTTTGAGAAGTATGAGTTTACTTAGGTTGACAATATAGTTATACTTCCTCTAAAGGATATGTTAGAATGTGTATTCTTAGGTTATCACACAAGTAATGAGGGCATAGACTCTGATAATGATATATATTTAGTTACTAAGTTACTTGCTTTTATGTTATTCATTCGTCTGTATGTCTTAGACATCCAATGTATCATTATCTCATATCTGATACTTATTGTATATCCAATACATGTCTTGTATTGTGTATCCAATACATGTCTCATTGTTCTGTGTCTGTTCCATTTATATGTGTATTAATCATCTTATCATTACTGTAGTGTCTGTAATTGTATCATTGATTGTAATACATGTTAACAGTCCCCTTCAAACATTTACAAGACCTATTAAGTCTGTAAGGTGTTTGATCTTTGGAACATGTAATGATTTAGTTAGGATATCTGCCCTTTGATTGTCCGTTTGAACATACTTAATATTAATAAGTTGTTCCTCAACATAACACTTAATAAAATTGTGTTGTAAGCCAATATGCTTGGTTCTTGTTGAGTATTTTGTTTTGTCTGCTTCTATAGATTTAATTACTGTTTGGTTATTGTAATAAATATTTGTAGGTGTATCAGAGATCTGCAGTATCTCATCTGCTAGGTATTGTAATACTATAGCTTCTTGTATTCCATTTGATAGCACTATTATTTCTGCTTTGTACATAGATAAGGATACTAGTTTCTGTCCTTTACTTGACTAAGATATGAGCAATTCTCCTAAGAAGAATGTGTATCCAGATATTGCTTTATTATTTTCTTGCATCATTCTGTCTGCATCCATATAACCAGTGATATTATTATGATTTCCTTGTCTAAAGATTAACCATTTGTCTTTGGTCCCCTTCAAGTATTGTA